TGTTTCAGTGATGAATCCCCCTCCCCCAAAAGAGAGCTCCTCATACACACTGTTTGTGTGTTTATGTCTGTGTGTGTGTATTTTTGCATTTCCTGTGCTGGTGGTCTATAAAGTGACACTCTGGAGAATTCTTTCAGATTATATATCATAGCTTTTTGTACTTAAAGGGGAACTTTCTTGTACTTAAAGGGGAATATTTAAGATGTAAACTGAGTGGTTTGGTGTGAAATGCTCTGTTCTAGAGTCAGAATTGTTCACAGTGGTGGTGAAATGGAACCAGATATCCACCTCTAAAAGCTCCCTCACAAGTTATTACATCAAATGATTATGAATTCACTGCCTGATGTCTGAGACATTGTTTATGATAGTTTTGAGAACTTAAACTCCATTCATGGTGGAGGGATACATGCAGGATGTTGTGAGGCAAAATAGTCCCCAGTGAAAACGTATTATTTCAGATTTTTCGCTACTTTCCATCATCAACATTCCATATAAACTCAGAAGACACGTGTAGGTTCACTGGTGGTTCTGGATAGTAAATAAAATGTCTATATTTGTGTTGTAGTCATGGCAACCCCTGGTTCCTATCACCACCACTAATAAGAAATCTGAACCATTTCACCCCAAAACACTCTGAATCGCTCTGTTTACACCTCACACACAGAACTATGCAGAAAAATGGGTGGAATTCCCCTTTAATCTCTCTCTCTCTCTCTTGCTCTCTCTCTCTGGTATGATGTGATGTCCACAGTCCTCCAGAGGAATCCACTCTAACACTTACATAACACCACAGTGTGTGTCAGAGAGTTAAAGCATGTATGTGGGTGGGTGTGGTGGGGGATTTTTACACCCTGTATGTGTGTGTGTTTGTACCGGATACACGGATTCCCTCACTTAAATATTTATGTCCGATATAAAAAGAGACTTTCTCTCTCTCTCTCTCTCTGTTATTTTCACTTCAGTGTTCTTGATGTGCTTTATGGCATATCTGAGCTTTCACATCCATCAGGGAGAGAGAGAGAGTGTTCTCTAGTAAACACTATACACCCAAAAGACTGTACACACTGCTCAACCATTCAAGAATATTAAAAGGGGGATTTCAATAATTTTCTAAAGTTTTCAAATATGCAAAAAATCTTGGGGGGAGTGAAATACGGCATTAGTGTTTATGCATTTTTTTATGTACTGTTTCAAAAATGTATGAAAGGTGTCTGGAAAAGCCTGTAGTAGCTACGAAAGAACACATCAGTGGGAGGAGCCTGGAAAGGGGGAGGAGCTGAAGAGGAAACACAAGGACAGAGTGTGTGTTTGTCCTCTACTTAAAACTGTGTGTGTGTGTGTGTGCAGCAGAGCTCTTGTATGTCCTAGGAGACCCTCACACACACACACATACACAAATACACTTACACTCCCTACCTCTCTCTCTCTCTCTCTCTCTCTCTCTCTCTCTCGGTCAGTAGTGGTCAGGTTTCCTGCAGTGTGAGAGTGGTGAGAGTGATTTAGTCCGAGTGTAAAGTAAGCCCGTCTGAAAGTGCTGATTCAGCTGCTCGACTCCATCATAATGAACTACAGCCCCATTTCCAAAAAAGTTGGGAAGCTGTGCAGAATGTGAATACAAAAAAGATTGCAATGATGTGCAAATCATTTAAACCATATTTTTAAAGGAAAATACTACAAAGACAACATATCAAATGTTGCAATTTTATTGTTTTTTGAAAAATATATGCCCATTTTGAATTTGATGCCAACATCACATTCCAAAAAATTTGGGACGGGGGCATGTTTACCACTGTGTTTCATCACCTCTTGTTTTAACACTCTGTAAGTGCTGTAGTTTTGAAATTGAAATTTTTTCCCATTTTTGTTTGATATAGGATTTCAGCTGCTCAACAGCTCCTTTGTCTTATTTTTCATTTCATAATGCACCAGATGTTTTCAGTGGGTGACAGATCTGGATTGCAGGCAGGCCAGTTTAGCACCCGGACTTTTAATACAGAGTCATGCTGTTGTAATACATGCAGAATGTGGTTTGGCATTGTATTGCCGAAATATGCAAAGACGTTGCTTGTATGGCAGCATGTGTTGCCAAAACATGTATGTATCAGATGTGCACGTCAGCCATGCCATGTGCACTAATGCACTCCTATATCATCATGAATACTGGCTTTTGAACTGTGCACAGATAACAAGCTGAGTGGTCTTTAGCCCAGAGGACAGTGTCCATGATTTCTAAAAAGAATTTCAAATGTTGATTTGTCAGACCACAGGACACTTTTCCACTTCCCCTCAGTCCATTTTAAATAAGCTGAGGCCCAGAGAAGGTGGCAGCATTTCTGGACCCTGTTTATGTATGGTTTCTTCTCTGTGTTTTAGAGTTTTAATTAGCATTTGTGGATGCAGTGCCAAACTGCTTTCATAGACAGTGGTTTTCAGAAGTGTTCCTGAGCCCATGCAATGATTTCCACTACAGAATCATGTCTGTTTTTAATGCAGTGCCGTCTGAGGGCCCAAATATCATGGCCATCAAATACTGTTTTTTGGCCTTGTCCCTTGCATACAGAGATTTCTCCAGATTCTCTGAATCTTTTAATGATGTTATGTATGATGAAAAGCAAAATTTCTTTGCTATTTTATGTTGAGAAATGTTATTCTTGAATTGTTGCACTATTTGATCGTGCAGTCTTTCACAGAGTGGTGAACCCTTCTTTACATCTTTACTTCTGAAAGACTCAGCCTCTCTGGATGCTCTTTTATATATCCAATCATGTTACTGACTTCTTGCCAATCAACCATCAGTTGTTTTTTTTAGCATTACACAACTTTACCAGCCTTTTGTTGCCCCCAACTTGCAACTTTTTTGGAACGTGTTGTTGGCATCAAATTCAAATTGGGCATGTATTTTTTCAAAAAACACAAAACATTAATATGTTGTTTTTATAGTATTTTCAATTAATTATGGGGTTTAAATGGTTTGCACATCATTGCATTTTGTTTTTATTTACATTTTGCACAGTGTCTCAAATTTTTTGGAAATGGGGTTGTATAATTATATTCAACACTGTAATTTACACTGAACTCATCACATTCACAGGCTTTTACGAACACAGACAGACAAACAGACATACAGACAGACAGACAGACAGACAGATAGATAGATAGATAGATAGATAGATAGACAGACAAACATATAGACAGACAGACCTAAACAGACAGATGGACAGACACATAGATGGGTAAACAGATAGGTCTGTATTCCACTGCTGTGTAGTAGTTTCTCCGGTTAATTTGTATCTTCATTCTGTTTTTAATAGTCAATTTGAATCACTTCCAAAGAATCAACTGAATCAAATGAGACCGAATTGTTGTAATTTCACCGCAATATCACAACACACACAGACACACACACAGACAAACACAAACACAGTTTATTTAGCACAGAGGGTCTTTACTGGGGGTCTGTAATTTATCTAGAATCAGTGAGGGCTCACTGACAGTAATTCATCTCAGACTGATAACACTGATACCCCCTACACTGCTCTCTCTCTCTCTCTCTCTCTCTCTCTCTCTCTCTCTCTCTCTTGGTCAGTAGTGGTCAGGTTTCCTTCAGTGTGAGAGTGGTGAGAGTGATTCAGTCCGAGTGTGAAGGAGGCCCATCTGAAAGATTCAGCTGCTCGACTCCATCATAATCAACTATAATTATATTATTATATAGCACAGTCATTTACACTGAACTCATTACATTCACAGGCTTTTATAAACACACAGACAGACAGACAGACAGACAGATAGATAGATAGATAGATAGACAGACAAGGTTTATTGTCTATATTCCACTGCTGTGTTTCTCCAGTTAATTTGTATCTTCATTCTGTTTTTGATAGTGAATTTGAATCACTTCAGATGAATCAACTGAATCAAATGAAACTGAATTGTTGTAATTACCCCACAGTATCAAAACACACACAGACACACACGCACAGACATACACACACGTAGTTTATTTAGCACAGAGGGTCTTTATTGGGGGTCTGTAAGTATCCAGAGTTAGTGAGAGCTCATTGACAGTGTTTCATTTCAGACTGATAACACTGCTCTCTCTCTCTCTCTCTCTCTCTCTCTCTGTGTGTGTGTGTGAGTGTCTGTGTGTGTGTGTGTATGTGAAGGTTGCTGTGTGATCGTTTGTGTCAACTAGAATGTCCCTAAAACCAGATGAAGCTGACACACACACACACACACACACACACCAGACTGTACCACACACAACACAATGCAACAGAGCAAGACACAGAGAAAGGAAGAGACAAAGAGAGACAGAGAGAGAGAGGAAGGACAGAGGAAAAGAAGGATAAAGAGTCAGATACAGAATGAGGCAGAAAGTACAGAAGACAGAGCGGGGAAAGGAATGAGAGAGAGAGAGGAAAGAGTGAGAGAGAAAATGATGAAAGTGATGACTCTGAGCTTGGTGCTGTCTGATGTGGCTCTGAGTGTGTGTTGTGTTTCTGGAGTACCGTGTGTTTTTCAGTTTTTGCACTGTTGAAGCTGGTGGGTGTTTGGTTATGGATAGAGATCGTTCTCACCGTTTGACCTACTGGTGTATCTGACTGATGATCTGACGTGCCGCTGCGGTTCCTCTGTGTTTTTCTGCGTGTGTTTTTTCCGCATCAGTGTGGTAGTTTTAGAGATGGATCTGGTCGGTTCTCCTGAACTGGACTGTAACGTTCCCGCTTTTTTGCAGATGTTCTGTGTTGATGGGTGTGTGTGAGCTTCTGCTCAGACATGGACCTGGTACGTGGATTTAGTCCCTCTGCTTCACAGAGCTGAGCTCTGCAGTGATGATCAATCCTCAGAAGTTTGGAGTTATTACTGACAGTGTTTTGCTATTGTGCTGTACTACTTAAAAGTAATTACATAGTTACTAATGAATTACATTCAAATACAATTTACACTCTCTCTCTCTCTCTCTCTCTCTCTCTCTATCTCTCTATCTCTCTCTCCTCCAGTCGGACAGTAATGCCAGTTACCTGCGGGCGGCAAGGGCAGGTAATCTGGAGAAAGCTCTGGACTACCTGAAGAGCGGAGTGGACATCAACATCTGCAACCAGGTGAGAACCAGACGCTCAGTGTTTACTGCTACTGCTAGTCATTCTGCTACTTTTACTGATACTGCTGATGTTACTGCTATTTAAACTACTAGGACGAGTCATACTACTACTGCCACCACTACTGCTATATAAACTACTAAGGCTACGTTCACATTACCAGGTTGAAGTGGCCCAAATCCGATTTTATGCCCTAATGTGACTCAGATCTGATGTTTTCAGAGCTGTGTGGACACGCAAATCTGATCTTTTCAAATCCGACCTGAGTCACTTTCATATGTGGTCCTAGATCGGATACGTATCCAATTCATGGCCATGCGACCTTAATGTGAACGTTCGGAATTCATGTGCTTTTTTGCACCATCATTCAGCGTTACCGTGGCAGCAGCGCCAAACAGAAGATAAAGCCTGTAAAGGGTGGAAAAGAAATACATCTCTTCTTTTTCGCCTTCGTCTCGCTCCAATAATGAAGAGCTGAGAGCTGATCATAGTTAAATATCTCCGCAGCAAAGGCTCATTCTGACCCTTAATCTGTATGTTGATGATGCACATGACGGACGCTATTCATTCACGTGACATTACTGAGTAGGATGTGTGCATGCGGGTCATTTGAGGACGCTGGTTCGTTCACATTAATGACAGATTTGAATCACTTACCTAAACGAGTGTGAACCATCGCGTCAGAGGGATTGGATTTGAGCAAAAAATCGGATTTGAGAAATGAGGCTTGTAATGTGAACGTAGCTTAAGACAAGTCATACTGCTGCTGTTACTGTTACTCATACTACTACTGCCACTACTACTGCTATTTAAACTGCTAGTTATATTGCTACTGCTAGTCATACTGCTGTTGTTACTGCTAGTAATACTGCTAATTGAAGTCATACTGCTTACTACTAGTCATACTGTTAATGTTACTGCCAGACATACTGCTGCTGTTACTGCTATTGAAAATGCTACTGATACTGCAACTGCTAGTCATACTGCTGGTGTTACTGTTACTAAAACTGGTAACTAATTATACTGCTGGGGCTACTGCTGGTCATATAGCTGCTGTTTCTGCTACTGCTACTCGTACTCATACTGGTTGTGCTACCTCTAGCCTTACTGCTACTGGTACACATGCTGCTACTACTCATACTACATTCTGCTAATGCTTCTCATTCTGCTACTTCTTGCTGTACTGTTCCCGGGAGTCATACTCATACTACTATTCATAATGGTACTGATACTGTTACCGTTACTGCTCATACTTCTACTGCTATTCCTTCTTCTATTCACACTGCAAATCCTACTGCTTCTTGTACTCATACTGATACTAATTATGCTGATACTGCTACTCTTGTTGCTACGTACTGCTATTCATACTGCTATTGTTATACAAACTCCTGCTAGTCACCCTGCTACTGCTACTGCTAGTCCAACTGCAACTCATACTTCTTACAGTTATTGCTACTGATACTTCTATTCATATTTCATAATTCATTCTCCTATGTATAGTACTACTGCTACTCCTATGTATACTTCTAATTTTACTTCTACTTATTCTCCTAATGCTATTCATAATTATTTTCTTAATGCTACTGCTATTCATTCTTCTCTGTTCATATTGCAACTCCTACTGCTTCTTGTACTGTTACTAGCTTATACAGCTACATGCTACTAGTGTTATTCGCACAGCTATTGCTGCTGCTAATAATACTGCTATTGCATACTGCTACTGTTACCATGCTGTCATTGATTCTCATGCTGCCTTTTCTTTTTTTCATAATGATCCTCTGGGTGGGTAGGGTGGTCTTCCATTTGCGTCCATCACTCAGTGTGATGCTAGCCAACGGGGGGTGTCTGTTAGCTAATGCGAAAGAATTAGCAACTAGTTCTCCTCCAAGCATGTTGAGCTCCAATGATGTTGCATTGGCAGCAGTTTGAGAAAAAGAAGTGTAGTGTCACATGTCTCAGAGAGAGAACATGTTAGCCTTCACCCTGCCAGCTTTGTAGCATGGTGTGGTATCAATGTGCAGCCCTTGTTATTGATTTATTGATTCATCAAAGGCTTTTGACATAGTAGATCAGACATCATTCTGTGGTTTGAGAATTATTTATCTAGTAGAATGCAGTGTGTGCAGGCCGGTTTTAGGTCTACACCCTTGATGATGGCTAAGGGTGTACCTCAAGGATCAATTCTGGGGCCTCTGCGTTTTACTGTATATATAATCATAATGTCATAATGTGCACAAATTTTCATTATTATGCTGTTGATGTTGTCTACTGTTCAGCACCTGCTATTATTAATAAATATTATTCAAGCGGTGGAAATGACTAAAACTGTCAGCGTTTTTAATGATTTATTGGGGGTTGTTGATTTTTGATTTTCTTTTTTATGTTTGTAATGTTATTTGTTTTGTGGGAACATTTTGTTGTGTTGCTGCCTGTCTTGGACAGGACGTTCCTGTTAAAGACATTTTTAATCTCAGCAAGATTTTTTGGTTTAATAAAAATGATAATAAAGGTGTGATAGAGGGAGAACCATCTAAGAGGTGGAACTGGCAACACCTAAATTGAGGAAAAATCCCCTGTGTGTGTGTGTTGTGTACGTGTATGTAACATTGTTTCCTGTGTGTTTCAGAACGGTCTAAATGCGCTGCACTTGGCGTCTAAAGAGGGTCATGTGGAGGTGGTGGCAGAACTGCTCAAACTGGGGGCCAGCGTTGACGCTGCTACCAAGGTCAGTCACACACACACAGACACACATTTGTGAGATACTGATGCGGTCGGGCTCGGGATGTGCAGTTATTAGTGACAGAGTGTGAATGAATGTGTCTCTACCTTCATTTTTTAACTGTAACTCACACGTGTATCACGCGGCACGCTCTGCTCTCTCAGCTCACATTCCACTGTTATAAAAAGACCCCTGTATGCGGTGTGGGGGGGAGGTGAAGTACAGGCCAGCGGAAACTGCGGCTCATGGGCAGTGTGTGTGGTATGCCTGTGCCCGTATGTGTGGCAGAGTGACATTAACAGGTGTGTGAGGCTGTCTGTTTTTCCGCTTTCACAGTGTGTGTGTGTGTGTGTGTGTGTGTGTGTGTTGCAGAAGGGAAACACAGCGCTGCACATTGCATCTCTGGCCGGACAGACGGACGTGGTACGGGAACTCGTGACCAATGGAGCCAACGTTAATGCACAGAGCCAGGTACATACACCTTGGCCACTTTACTGAAAACGCCTTCCTTGTACATCCACTAACTGGCCACTTTATTAGAAACACGCACATTGTGCTTCCACTAACTGGCCACTTTATTAGAAACCCCCACATTGTAGTTCCACTAACTGGCTATTTTATTAGAAACACCCACCTTGTGCTTACACTCACTGGTCACTTTATTAGAAACACCCACCTTGTGCTACCACTAACTGGCCACTTTATTAGAAACACCCAGCTTGTGCTTCCACTAACTGGCCACTTTATTAGAAACCCCCACATTGTACTTCCACTAACTGGCCACTTCATTAGAAACACCTACTTAGCCATCCTCTACCCCTTCATCAATGATCACTAATCAGTTTCTGACCACTGTGGGTGATGGACCACTCTCACTGCCATGGCAAGACCGCTGCTATGCTGAGAATGGTCCACCACCCAGATGGTCTACTGGTGGTCCCCTTCCGCTGGTGGACGGGGCAGAAGGGTGCTGACAATCATGTGTACTCAAAAGCAGGTACATGTGCAGGGTTGATTTTGCTGTGTCTGTATGTGTGTGTTGTGCTCGATCATCATAAACCCTCATCCTGCGTCAGCAGCTCTTCGTTGCCATGGTAACAACGCTGGGGTCAATAAGGTCACATCAGAGCGGAGCTCAGTCTGATGGAGACCGTGCATGTGTGCGTGTGTTGGTAGTGCTCCTTGGCTGCTGCAGTGACCAAAATATCAGGAATGACAGTTCCCATAGCAACCCATGGCCTTGGTGCCATGGCAACAACACCAGAGAGCCCCACCCACTGGAAATTCAAATAAATAAAAGTTTATTATTTTGAACCATTTAGCTTCTGTTACAGTGCAGATCAGATGACACCTCAGTGTCTCTCTCTCTCTCTCTCTCTCTGTCTGTCTATCTCTCTCTCTTGCTCTCTGTCTCTCTCTCCTGCGCTGGGTGATAAAGCGGAGAGTTTTGCTGCAGAAGGCTGTTGAGCTTCATGCATTCTAATGTTACAGAAGGAGGGAGAGTAGAGACTGAGAACTCTCTCAGTATCCTCTTTCTGCGGTGCCCCCTGGTGGTCCTCCCACCAGCAGAATGCAAATATCAACTCAGATATTTTCAATTAATATAATCAAATAAAATATTTTGTTCCCTGTAACTGTTATCAGATGAACTAGGACTCTGTTGTCTCTCTGTGTGTATAATGCTGTTGAGCTGCTAGCGAGCACTTAGGGGTAAAAGGGGACCCCTAGCTGTGAAAAACTATTCACACCTCTCCACAAAGACAGACAACTGCAACTTTTTTTCATATCAAACAATCCTGAACTGACACAATAAACACACAGCATTTAAGCATAGTAAAACAGCTGCTTTTAATACTTAATCCTAGTTTTAATGAAATTCTTAATTAGAATTTTGACAGTGCTTTTTACATAAATAATAATAAATAAATGTCAGTGTTGTTAAGTGTTTGTGTGATGATGCAGTGTCTGTGTGATGATGCAATGTCTGTGTGTGATGATGCAGTGTGTGTGACGCACTGTGTGTGTGATGATGCACTGTCTGTCTGTGATGATGCACTGTCTGTGTGATGCAGTGTCTGTGATGATGCATTGTCTGTGTGATGATGCAATGTCTGTGTGTGATGATGCAGTGTCTGTGTGTGAAGATACAGTGTGTGTGTGATGATGCAGCGTCTGTGTGTGATGAAGCAGTGTCTTTATGATGATGCAGTGTCTGTGTGTGATGCAGTGTCTGTGATGATGCACTGTCTGTGATGATGCAGTGTCTGTGATGATGCAGTGTCTGTGATGATGCACTGTCTGTGTGTGATGATGCAGCGTCTGTGTGTGATGCAGTGTCTGTGTGATGATGCACTGTCTGTGTGTGATGATGCAATGTCTGTGTGTGATGATACAGTGTCTGTGTGTGAAGATACAGTGTGTGTGATGATGCAGTGTCTGTGTGTGATGATGCCGTGTCTGTGTGTGATGAAGCAGTGTCTGTGTGATGATGCAATGTCTGTGTGTGATGATACAGTGTGTGTGGGCGATGATGCAGCGTCTGTGTGTGATGACACAGTGTCTGTTTGTGATGATGCAGTGTCTGTGTGTGATGATGCAGTGTATGTGTGATGACACAGTGTCTGATGCTGTGTCTGTGTGATGATGCACTGTTTGTGTGTGATGATGCACTGTCTGTGTGTGATGATGCAGTGTCTGTGTGATGATGCACTGTCTGTGTGTGATGATGCAATGTCTGTGTGTGATGATGCAGTGTCTGTGTGTGATAATACAGTGTATGTGTGTGATGATGCAGCGTCTGTGTGTGATGACGCAGTGTCTGTGTGATGATGCAGTGTCTGTGTGTGATGATGCAGTGTCTGTGTGTTGAGGCAGTGTCTGAATGTGATGATTTAGTGTCTGTGTGTGATGATGCAGTGTCTGTGTGATGATGCAGTGTCTGTGTGTGATAATGCAGTGTCTGTGTGATGATGCTGTGTTTGGGTTGATGATGCAGTGTCTGTGTGATGATGCGATGTTTTTGTTGATGTTCTGATCCAGAATGGCTTCACTCCGCTGTACATGGCCGCTCAGGAGAACCATCTGGACGTGGTTCGGTTCCTGCTGGAGCACGGAGCCAGCCAGAGCATCGCCACAGAGGTAACTGAGTGTTATTGATTATTGTGGTAGGGCTAGGTGACCTTGAGTAGTGTACTTCCTCTCTCTCTCTCTCTCTCTCTCTCTCTCTCTCTCTCTCTCCTTCAGGCCCTCTCTCTCTCTCTGCCTCTCTCACTTTATCAGTCTCTGTATGTCTCACTTTTTCTACCTCACTCTTTCTTTTTAGTCTCTCTCTCTGCATCTCTACGTCTCTCTCTCTCTCTCTCTCTCTCTCTACACACACGTGTATATATACATATATATATATATATATATATATATATATATATATATATATATATATATATACACTATATTGCCAAAAGCATTCACTCACCCATCCAAATAATTGAATTCAGGTGTTCCAATCACTTCCATGGCCACAGGTGTATAAAACCAAGCACCTAGGCATGCAGACTGGCTCTACAAACATGTGTGAAAGAATGGGTCACTCTCAGGAGCTCAGTGAATTCCAGCGTGGTACCATGATAGGATGCCACCTGTGCAACAAGTCCAGTCATGAAATTTCCTCGCTACAAAATATTCCACAGTCAACTGTCAGTGGTATTATAACAAAGTGGAAACGATTGGGAATGACAGCAACTCAGCCATGAAGTGGTAAAATGACAGAGCGGGGTCAGCGGATGCTGAGGCACATAGTGCACAGAGGTCGCCAACTTTCTGCAGAGCCAATCGATACAGACCTCCAAACTTCATGTGGCCTTCAGATTAGCTCAAGAACAGTGCGTAGAGAGCTTCATTGAATGGGTTTCCATTGCCGAGCAGCTGCATCGAAGCCTTACATCACCAAGCACAATGCAAAGCGTTGAATGCAGTGGTGTAAAACATGCCACCACTGGACTCTAGAGCAGTGGAGACGTGTTCTCTGGAGTGACAAATCACGCTTCTCCGTCTGGCAATCCGATGGACGAGTCTGGGTTTGGCAGCTGCTAGGAAAACAGTACTTGTCTGACTGCATTGTACCAAGTGTAAAGTTTGGTGGAGGGGGGATTATGGTGTGGGGTTGTTTTTCAGGAGTTGGGCTCGGCCCCTTAGTTCCAGTGAAAGGAACTCTTAATGCTTCAGCAGACCAAGAGATTTTGGACAATTTCGTGCTCCCAACTTTGTGGGAACAGTTTGGGGATGGCCCCTTCCTGTTCCAACATGACTGCGCACCAGTGCACAAAGCAAGGTCCATAAAGACATGGATGAGTTTGGTGTGGAAGAGCTTGACTGGCCTGCACAGAGTCTTGACCTCAACCCGATAGAACACCTTTGGGATGAATTAGAGTGGAGACTGAGAGCCAGGACTACTCGTCCAACATCAGTGTCTGACCTCACAAATGCGCTTCTGGAAGAATGGTCAAAAACTCCCATAAACACACTCCTAAACCTTGTGGAAAGCCTTCCCAGAAGAGTTGAAGCTGTTATAGCTGCAAAAATCATATTAAACCCTATGGATTAAGAATGTAGCAGTCTCTCTCACTCTTTACCAGCTTTTCTCTCTGTCTGTCTCTGCTTCTGTATCAGTCACTCTTTCACTCTCTTTCTCTCTCTCTTTCCTCATCTCTCTCATCTTTTTTTCTTTCTCTCTCATGTGTAATATCTTCAAGTATTTTAATGGACTCAGTTTTCTTCTCCTCATTTTATACATGTATATCTATATTTCTGTGTGTGTATTGTTACTGTAATATCTCCTGGAGAGAGTGTCTATGTTTATGCTGTGTCTGTTCACTGTAACTGTGTTAGATTAATTAACTCTGCTGTTGTGATCAGTGTTGCTCTGTCCTGTGTGTGTGTGTGTGTGTGTGTGTGTAGGATGGCTTCACTCCACTGGCGGTGGCGCTACAGCAGGGTCATGATCAGGTGGTCTCTCTGCTGTTGGAGAACGACACAAAGGGTAAAGTTCGACTGCCCGCGCTCCACATAGCCGCCCGCAAGGACGACACCAAATCTGCAGCTCTGCTCCTGCAGAACGACCACAACGCCGACGTGGAGTCGAAGGTACAGACCGACTCTGCGGCTCTCTGAGGAGGTGCAGGCTGAGGGAGGAGAGTGTTACGTTTCCTGTGTTTTTATTTGTTTAAAGACTTTTCTGTTGTGTGTTTATCGCTTTCCTAATGGACTCATATTTATCTGTTTATTGTTTGTGTTTATGTGTTTGTTTGTACTAACGGCCCATTCTCTCCTCTTCTCACATCTCACCGTAGATGATGGTGAATAGAACAACGGAGGTATTACCCATAATGCACCACAGAGTACCTGCCCTCCCTCGCTTTTACAGCCCTCCCCCTCCTGTATTGCTGCCCCTACTCTCTCTCTCATGCTGTCTCTCTCCTTCTGTCATTCTGGGTCCTCCTTTTCTGTTTAAGATGGACAGATTCAGAGATGGGTGGATGGATAGATGGATAATTACATGGATGACTGGATAAATGGATGGTTGGTTGGATGAGTAGTTGGATAAACTGATCGATTGCTAGATGGACGGATTAATGTATGCTTAGGTGTATTGATGGATAGATGGACAGATGAATGGATGGATTGAGAGATTCTGGATAGTTGGATAATTGGATAGATGGATGGATAGATGGATAAATGGATGTAGGGTTGGATGTTTTGATGGATAGATGAAAGGATGGATGGATGGATGGATGGATATATGGATCGATGGATGGATAAGTGGATTGATTGGATGGATGGATGGATGGATGGATGGATGAACAGTTGAATGGATGGATGGATTGAGATGTAAACGTAGAGGTAAATGGATAGACAGGTTTCTGGATAGTTGGATAGATGGATGATAGATGGATGAATAGATGGATGGATGGAAGTACGGTTGGATGTATTGATGGATGGATGGATGAATAGATGGATGAATAGATGGATGGATGGAAGTACGGTTGGATGTATTGATGGATGGATGAGTTGAGTGAGTAGATTAGCTGGATGGGTGTTAAATGAATGGGTGGATGGATGGAGGATTGATGGATTGTTAAAAAAAGTGGATGGATAGTTGGATGAGTGGTTAGATTGGTGGACACATGGATGGATGGATAGATAATGGATTGATGGATGACTATTGGATGGTTGGATTGGAGGACAGACTGATGGACAGAGTGAATGGACAGATGGATGGATGGATGGATGGATGGATAGATGATGGATTGATGAATAGATGACTTAGAAGGTTGGATTGGTGGACAGACTGATGGACAGATAGATGAGTGGGTGGACAGATGGACACATGGATGGAGAGTTGAATGAAGGAGACTGTGCTGCAGCTTTGAACGGATGGAGGATGTTTCAGACCGCTGGGTTCTGCAGTCTGGCCTGGGGTTCCACATCTCAGTATCAATCTGATTGGCTGATCACAGACTCAGTTTAAGGCAGTTTGTTAGGTGCAGGTGTGCTCTGTGCGATGAGGCGATTTTATGTTGGGGAAAATATTAATCAATCATCAACATTTTACTAAAGAACATAGAACTGGGGAAATACCGTACGTTCACATTAGCAAACGAGACATTACTAAGTGAGGAGGAGATATGTAGCCACGATTTGGCAGCAAGCAGCATGGCTGCAGGGCAACAAGCACTAAGTCAGGTTGAAATTTTCTCAACTTTATGCAAATGAACTGTGACACAGTGAAGTAATCTAAATATTTGCCTCAAACAAATTCAATCGTAGAGCCCTGACTCTCTCAACTCTTCAAGGATTCCTTCCAGGATTCCACTTCTATTCCCAATAGATAGTATTGATTGATTGATGTCACTTTTGTTATCACCACCATATTGTTGACAGACCACTGCTCCATGTGGCAGTGTCACTCGTAGAGCCACCGTTTGTACAGCGATAGTTAAAGGTGATCTATTATGCTTATTTTCAGTGTTCATAATTTTAGTTTTGGAGTCTAAAAATCATGCATCTTCAAGGATTCTTTAGTAAAGAAAAGGGTCATATATAGAACCATGAAAACTCAAGGAACCCTTTACATGATTAAAGGTACTTTGCATCATGAAATTGTTCATCAGATTGATGAAGAATGTGCTGTAAATGGTTCTGTATAGAACCTTTTTGAAGTGGGTACTATACAGCATCAAAAATAGTTCTGCTATTGCTACAGTATGGGCTTCCAACAATTCTTGGCACTATATAGAACCCTTTTCAAAAAGGTTCTACATAGAACCATCTACAGCACGTTCTTGACAAAAAGCCCGTTCGAACATTCCCGCAAAAAAACAGACTGGGGCGACTTGAGCGCCTGCTAATGTGGCTAATGTGAACGTACAGTTTCTCTCTGGATTCCTTGTGTGATGGAGTGGAGAACCACTAGCAAAGAGGAACCCTGGTGTCCAGCTGCAGAGCCGGTCTGCAACTTCATCACTGAAGTTTTTGAGCCTTTAGTCCCTGGAGGAGGTGCATGGTGCTTTGGACGGTTCTTCCCCTGGGTTTCTCTCAGGCAGCTGGGTTCTCCCCTGTAGATCCGTGCTGCAGTAGTGTTAGCGTGAGCTAGCCGTCCCCGCATGCTGCTGGGCTAGCAAACATGGCAAGCACTCCTACTCTGGCTGTGTAGCAGTAGAGGTGCATGGTAGAGAACATCCTTACCTCCCAGACTAACGGCCTCAATCGGCCATCCTCACCAACACGGAGCGTTTCAGAACCATGGAACGGGAGAACGTGCATTGCCATGGAAACGTGACAATCTCTGCTTCTCAGAGTTGGTGGTTGTTTCCATGAGGTTAACAGAACATGTTCAGAACTCCATATATACCCTCATACATGCCCTGGGCACTTTATCAGAACCCCCTCCCCTGTAGCTGCCTGTAGCAGTGGAAGTAGAAGATAATGTTTCTAATAAAGTGGCCAGTTAGCAGAAGGTGAAGGTGGTGTTTTAAATAAAGTGACACGTTAGTGGAAGTAGAAGGTGGTGTTTCTAATAAAGTGGCCAGGCAGTACAAGTAGAAGGTGGTGTTTCTAATAAAGTGGCCAGTTAGTAGAAGTATTATGTGATGTTTCTAATAAAGTGACCAGTTACTAGAAGGTGGTGTTTCTAATAAAGTGGCCAGTTAGTGGAAGTAGAAGGTGATGTTTCTAATTAAGTGACCAGTTTGTAGAAGTAGTAAGTGGTGTTTCTAATAAAGTAGTGACCAGTAAGAAGAAGTAGTGTGTGTTTCTAATAAATTGGCCAGTTAGTAGAAGTAGTAGGTGGTGTTTCTAATAAAGTGGCCAGTTTGTAGAAGTAGTAAGTGGTGTTTCTAATAAAGTAGTGACCAGTTAGAAGAAGTAGAAGGTGGTGTTTCTAATAAAGTTGCCAGTTAGTGGATATAGAAAGTGGTGTTTCTGATAAAGTGGCCAGTTAGTGGAAGCATAAGGTGATGTTTCTAATAAAGAGAAAACAGGATGTTTGGCTTTTATTTGATATGTTTTACAATCTTGTGATCCAAAAAGCATAAATGTGTATGTTGTCAGTTCTGAATGTGTCCTGTTAATCCTCTTGTGTCTAATCTGGGTTAAGTCTCAGACTGTTTGGGACTGTGCAGTGGTACCGTCTGTACCTGTGGTTTGTAACTGCAATAATTTCCTGCAAAGTGGGTGAAGACCTGTTTCTATGGAGACAGGGGTGAGGGGGAAAGTGGGAGGGGCCATACCTTCCCAAACATCACCTGCTTTGCAGCAGATTATTGGCTGATTGAGATGGACCTCTCTGTGATTGGAGGGCTTTAGCTGAAATGCAGCCAATAGCATGCCTCCATCTCGCTTTAGCAGCTGTGTTTTACTGTCACATCACAATGTAAACAAAAATGACTCATTTACATCAGCACCAAAGCATTGAAGCTCTAAGAGGTTTCTGAGGATTAATTAACTTTAATTTATGCTTATAAATATGCTGCTGTAAACGCTTCTCAGTTAACCTCTCCAGGCTCCCCCCCATATGCTCTTTTTTGTTAAAACAGCTGAACTTTCTGCTTAGCCAATCAGACAGCTTTTCCATCCTTGCAACAGTAGCTAGAGAAGAATGCATTTGTGGGCGGAGCCAGTTCTTATTTCTCATTTTAGGTTTCCCTGCCTGATAGAAGCTTGCATTAGATCAACGCAAATCCAGCTAAATGAAGTAAATGTGTGCGGTCTGTGGGCTTCTGGGTAATGTAGTTTTGTCTGTGTCTCTCTGTTAGAGTGGCTTTACTCCTCTGCACATCGCTGCCCACTATGGTAACATCAACGTTGCCACGTTGCTCCTGAACAGAGGAGCAGCAGTGGACTTCATGGCCAGGGTAAGAACACAGTGCCACCTGTTGACCTGGAGTAGCAGGTACACTCATTTCAGACACATGCTGAAAGAAGAAGGTCAGATTTCCATTTCTAGGAGATATCTTGCAGAACCACCACAGAGGGTTAATGCAGTAGAGGGTGTTGTTTCACAAACCAGAATGTGGTAAGTTTTAAGGCCACCATACACTGGACGCGCAGCGTCACTTAGCGTAGCGTCACATAGCGTAGCGTCACATAGCAGAGCGCTGCTACAGAATACCAGCAGGGAAAGCTAGTAAAACAAGGTTCAAGTTCATTTTTACGCTCTACTGGAGTTGAGTGAATGAAGTAATGATTGAATGAAATTAAAATGAAATTGAATGAAAACTAAACTGAATTAAATACAGTGTTCAGTATCTTATCATGCCTATTATCAATTCACTACCCCTACACAGTCTGGCTGTTTTCGAGCTGAGAGATACGAGCTGAAAAAGGCTAGGCTAGTAACCTTATCTGAGCTAACTTACCGTTAACATCTGTCTGTTTATCTAAATATTTAGCTTGAAATATTCACCTGAACCTGACAGGACCTGACTGTTCATGTTCACGCTGTGAACAGCAGTGCTGTTCAAAAGTGTTATTTTACTTAATTTTAGACAGCTGATTATTATAGCATGTTATTCAGTATTGTTTTATATTTCATTTATCCACGCTGTAAAGATGGCTATTACTGTTCTTTCAGGTTTTAGTCAGCACTTTGGGTAATTCTCAGGCTGTATTTGGGTTCAGACCAAATTATTTTATCCAATTAAAGCTCTCATGCACACTAAACTGCAAAAAAAAAAACAGCTTAGAATTCTTAGTAGTAGTGTTTAAAAATAACTGACACATTTACATATACCCACTCATACAGCAGTTTAGCCCTACCCATTCAGCCTACAGCAGTTTAGCCCTACCCATTCAGCCTATAGCAGTTTAGCCCCACCCATTCAGCCTACAGCGGTTTAGCCCTACCCATTCAGCCTACAGCAGTTTAGCCCTACCCATTCAGCCTACAGCAGTTTAGCCCTACCCATTCAGCCTACAGCAGTTTAGCCCTACCTATTCAGCCTATAGCAGTTTAGCCCCACCCATTCAGCCTACAGCAGTTTAGCCCCACCCATTCAGCCTACAGCAGTTTAGCCCCTCCCATTAGCGCTGAAGTTAAGCCTCACTTTAGGCCTAAATTATTCACCTAACTGAGTAATGTTGCTTTGTGAAATATGTTGTTGATTTGAGTCACACTGTATGTCTGAATTAGTCCAGCAATTCTCCTCAGACTGTGCCACTGCTGAATTTATGTGTGTGTGTGTGTGTGTGTGTGTGCCATCTGCCCTCCCAGCTGTTAAGATAATAACACTTTTACTGAGTCATATGGTCATCATGACACACACACACACACACACACACACATATGAGCAGCAGTACCCTCAAACTCTCTGATCTTCTGATTAACACAGTTTATCAACAACAGTGTTTATATACACTTTTCATCTCACATACAGTGTAGAGTTACAGTGGAAATGAAGTTTAATATATTTGATAGCTTAGATGGTGTCAGTAGTTTTGTGAAAATGTGTTTTTTTATGTTTGTTTTTGTGTATATCTCCCTCTGTGTGAATGTGTGTGTGTTTGTGTGTGTGTGCAGAATGACATCACTCCGCTGCATGTAGCGGCTAAAAGAGGGAACGGGAACATGGTGAAGCTGCTGCTGGACCGAGGAGCCAAAATCGATGCCAAGACCAAGGTACAAACGCACAAAAACACACACACACACACACTCTCTCACACACACACACACACTCTCTCACACACACACACACTCTCTCACACGCACACACACACACACACATTCACACACACAAACATATGATATTGCAGAAGGCTGCATTATTCAAATTCAAGCATCTGACCAATCACATAGTGCTGTGAGCATCCTGACCAATCACAGCTCCAGATGAGTTTCTATGGGCGTTTTGATGAACCTGCACATTCATGTAATCAGAGAAAAGGACATTATTTTGGATAAAATAAAGCAGACAGATCTTTAACTGTTAGCTTTACTGACTCACCATTATAAATGAGTCTGTAATATATAACAGTGTATATTGCAATCATGATGTGCAGTGAAACAATCACAGTTCTGGTGTTTAGTCAAAGCTCTAACACTCACATTTTATCCACTGTGATTGATGTTACGGGGAGCTGACGTCTGTCTGTGTGTTGTGTTTACATGCAGGATGGGCTGACCCCACTGCACTGCGGAGCGCGGAGTGGACATGAGCAGGTGGTTGAGATGCTTTTAGACAGAGGAGCTCCAATCCTCTCCAAAACTAAGGTGAGTCTCACTGACCCCAGCTGGTGGAACACTGAACTGCAACAAAAAACCTGGGGCACATTCAATCTCAGCATTGTGCGTTAGTTTGCTACGGTTTTTGTCAAAGTGGTGTGTCTGAGGTGTTAGCCAATCAGCAGTGGCGTGTATATAAACCCCACTGTATTAAAAAGACAGCACACAATGGATTCTAGTAAAGTCTCTACAAATGCGGTGCTGCAGCTTAGTGTACGCAACTGATGAAGGTATTAGAAGATGTGTTTGTTGTGATTATTTTATTGTAAAGTTTTTTTTAATAGAATGCGCTAAAAGAATGACCATCTTAGCTGCCGTAGTTGCAACACTTGCATAAAATAACACGTGTTTAACACATCGTTTCTGTTTAAATAAACGCTTTGCTACGTTTTCTCACTTCAGTGTGAAATTATACATTTTAAATTTATGGATCCGATAACAGGTCATCAAAATTCTTCAGTGGGTTGTATGGCACTTTATACAGAACCACAAAGAATAATTTATAATAGATCAATAATAATTCATAATAGATCCACATAACAGTTTCAGAATAATTCTTACTAGATCCAGAATAATTCAAAACAGATCTAGATTGATTCATAATAGATCCAGAATAATTCATAACAGATCCAGAATAATTCATAATAGATCCAGAATAATTCATAGTAGATCCAGAATCATTCATAACAGATCCAGATTAATTCCTAATATATCCAGAATAATTCATAACAGATCCAAAACAATTCATAACAGATCCAGAATAATTCATAACAGATCCAGGCTAATTCAGAACAGATCCAGAATAATTCATAACAGATCCAGAACAATTCACAATAGATTCAGAATAATTCATAAGAGATCCAGGATAATTCATAACAGATCCAGAAAAATTCACAATAGATTCAGAATAATTCATAAGAGATCCAGGATAATTCATAACAGATCCAGAAAAATTCACAATAGATTCAGAATTATTCATAAGAGATCCAGGATAATTCATAACAGATCCAGAACAATTCACAATAGATTCAGAATAATTCATAAGAGATCCAGAATAATTCATAATACATTTCGAATAATTCATATTTGACACTGAATAATTCTCAGTAGATAGCAAACAATAATCTATAATAATAATTTGTAGTAATTTAATAGATTAGTAGATTAATTCTGAAGAAAATTGCAGTTATACAGGAGCAACAACATAACTGTCTAACTTACACACATTTATTCAGAAGAACTATATAATTTACAGAATTTACAAGAGTCTCAGGCTTTTGAGAAGACTGTCCACACTGTTAGTCATAAAGTGGTCAGCTCGGATTTGTGTGCCCTGACATCACCAGTCTATCTGCATGGGTCGCCATGGAAACAACATAGGCGTCAGTAACTACATAGCTACGCTGGTGACGCGGATTTCAAATGCAGATGTAGAAGAGATGGAGGAGCATCATCTCCCCCTCCAAACTCTTCAGAACTCTCTTCATAATCATGAATCTTTGGAGCTCTTCTTGAATCCCAGCACTCATTACTCTGGATTTGACTTGTTGCTGTTTGTCGTGTTGTGAGTGACGCAAAAGACAGTTTGAAATCTGATTTGAGCGTCCAGAGCATCCAGACTGAGACACATCTGTAAAAATCTGACATCTGAGTCGCATTTCAAACCACCTCCAAATGTGGTTTGGATCCAATTAGCAAAAATCAGATTTAATGTGTTTCTGCTGATCAGACTATCAAAAATCAATCTGGATTTACAGTACTGTGCAAAACCAGAGACCCTTTGTTTATTTAATTTCTAGTCAAAACAGCCGTTAAGTACATTTTTCAGTATCAGCAAAAAAGCAGAAAACATATTTAACAGTAAATGACACAACAACTAAATCTAATCTCAGCTGCGTGAGTGCTGAGTGAGTCACTCTTTACCTTTATTACAGCTTCCATTCTTTTCAGGAGACTCACTTTCAGATTTTCAAAGAAATCTGCAGACACACCTCCAAAGTTCAGTTTTAGAAGTTGATCATTTTCTGAAGTAATCAAACACATTCAGTAATGCTGAGGTCTGGACTCTGGGGTGGTCAGTCCATTGTTCAGCTTCTTTGTTTGATGTGTCTCCTTTTCAAAGTGAGGCTTCCTGACAGCTACACATCCTTTCAGACCCATAGCGCTGAGTTGTCTTCTCACAGTGGAAGGATGGACAGAAACACCTGTGGATGTTTTCAGATCTGAAGCAGCTTGATTTTCTCCTCTCTCTCAAAGATGAAAGCTTTAAGTGCTATTATTGGCCGTTTTGACTGTAAATTAAATCTCTTCACAGTCTCTGATGTAATTGAGGTGTTTTTAAAATGTGCAGATGGAGATTGAACTTGAGTAACGTTCTATCTGTGTGTGTGTGTGTGTGTGTGTGTGTGTGTGTGTGTGTGTGTGTGTGTTTGTAGAACGGTCTATCTCCCCTGCACATGGCCACTCAGGGTGATCACCTGAACTGCGTCCAGCTCCTCCTGCAGCATGACGTACCAGTGGATGATGTCACCAACGACTACCTGACTGCTCTGCATGTGGCTGCTCACTGCGGTCATTATAAAGTGGCCAAAGTTATAGTGGACAAGAAGGCCAACCCGAATGCTAAAGCACTGGTGAGAGAACCACACACACACACACACACACACACACACATACATTTACACCAATCAGCCACTTTATCAAGTCCTCCTTGTTTCTACACTCACTGACCATCTTATCCACTGACCATATAGTTAGTTCTACAGTTACTTGGGTGGTGGATCATTCTCAGCACTGCAGTGACACTGACGTGGTGGTGGTGTGTTAGTGTGTGTTGTGCTGGAACGAGTGGATCAGACACAGCAGTGCTGCTGGAGTTTTTAAACACTGTGTCCACTCACTGTCCACTCTATTAGACACTCCTACCTTGTCAGTCCACCTTGTAGATTTAAAGTCAGAGACGATAGCTCATCTACTGCTGCACAGTTTGTGTTGGTCATCTTCTAGTCCTTCATCAGCGGTCACAGGACGCTTTGGTTCTCAGTCCAGCAGCGACACTGAAGTGCTTAACTCCAGCAGCACTGCTGTGTCTGATCCACTCGCACCAGCACAACACACACTAACACACCACCACCACGTCAGTGTCACTGCAGTGCTGAGAATGACCCACCACCCAAAAAACACCTGCTCTGTGGGGGTCATGTGGGGGTCCTGACCATTGAAGATCAGGGTAACAAAGTATGCAGAGGTCTCTTTTTCTTTTCTCTCTCTCTCTCTGGGTGGGGTTTTCTAGTAAAGCAGGTGTTTCCCCTCCTCACCCTGGTGACCAAGCCAGCGGTCAGTCATGTGTAACACACCAGCCTGCATTAAAATAAACAGCACCCTCTAAATGCTTGTTAAATATTTCTGATACAGCATATACAGAGTCAGTAAAGTACAAATAAATGAATAAAATGAAAACTGACACTGTTACTGTGAACACTGGGGCTAATTATCACAAACACTGACTCAAACAGTACAAATGGAGAAAAACATGTAGGTTTGTAGTGTGTGAGCATTAGGCCAAACACTTCAGGTACTGTGTTAGACAGTAAGGCCCCTAAAAGTAAAACTGAAACAAAAATATATCAAAAAACACAAACCTGTGACTGATCTGATCTGGTCTTGAAAAAAAACGACTGTGTTATTCTGATAACAGTCACTCAGAGAGGAAAAGGGGAAGTAGAGCAGAGTGATAAACCCCCACTGAGTATTAAAAACAACTTTATCTCACTGCATGTTCAGCAGAGCAGATCAGCCATTAACCCAGATGGATCATCAGAGACTCAAACACACCCAAAAACACCACGTTTCTGTATGGGGAGAAATATCCAAATATATTATTGTGTATAAATAACAGCTGATAACATTCAATATTTAATAACATAGACTTATCAAATAATATACAGATATGCAATATAGAAATACAATAAACATATTTATAATAGTATAATAATAATAATATATATAATATATATAATAATAATAATAATAATTTATAATAATAATATTGCCCTGCGATGGACTGGTGACCTGTCCAGGGTGTATCCTGCCTTCCACCCAATGACAGCTGGGATAGGCTCCAGCACCCCACCGCGACCCAGAAGGATAAGCGGTTTAGATGATGTATGTATGTATGTATGTATATTTATAATATTAATAACATTGGTCACACTTTATTTTGACAGCCCCTATAGATGATCTACACATACTTACATTATTAACACACTTTCTGGTGATACGTTATTAGATTATCAGTAACGTTATGATTTTGTTCAGAGGTCACAGCCCAAATGTTAGGAAGAGCCATTTTTTGTCAATCCTCCTTGGGAGCCACAACATTTCATGTCCATTTTATTGAAGTAACGTTTTACCGCCTTGGCTGTAAATATAGCTGCTTTTCACCCACATGGCACGGCTCGACTCGACTCTACTGGCTATTGAAACTAACTACTTCATTTTCCACAAAGGCGGCGCAAGAGGCTACGCTAACCTGGTAGCTAACGTTAGCATATGTGTTTAGCCATTCCCTCTGACCAATTAGCAGCCTGTAGCGTTTTTACATCACCTTTTGGTATCGGCTCAGCTCAGAATAGTACCTGGTACCAGATTTGCCTACTGGAGAACCAGCTTATATCTCATTATGTGCTGATGTCCTAGTATAGACCAAAAATATGTAATATAAATAAAAACCCAGACTCATTTAGCTCTGCTTCAAGCTTTAGCTCCGCTGCTTTTCTTGCATGTCTGGCAGGAAACTTTTCCTCAAAAGTAGAACAGTTTCTTGTAAATTGTCTCTCAGTGTTCAACTTTTTAAATAATTTTTTTTTTATTAGTTAAAAATAGTGGCTGAGGCCCTGGAATGTAACTGCTGTGTCATTTAAGGTGGAATGGGAGAATTCAAACAAGAAGCTGGCGAATGAGAAACTGACTTCAGCTTCGCGACTTTTTAGTGTTTCAGTTTCTCGTTGCAGATTAAACATGTCAGGAAACCAGTTGGAGTGATTATAAATGTAAATAAGTCCATTTGTCTCTCAATTATCAATATTCGTGTCAAATCTCTCTTTGCTGTTTCGTTAGCTACTAGCTAGGTGATATTGTTTCTGTGTTGCTATGGTGACCAGCAGTCTGCGCTGATCTTCAGGGTTAAAGGGTGAATTAGCAGTTCTTCTTTAACTCCAGAGTTTAAGACTGTTTATTGTTAAAACTGTGTTGAACGGTCAGCAGAGCTTTATTTTACCGTAAAGGAGAATTATTTTATTTTTGCCTACAAATGTAATTCTGCTGTGGAGCCACAACAGGACAGTAAATGAGCCGCAGGTTGCCGACCCCTGAGTTAGGAGTGGGCGTAGGTTTTGCGTTTAATTGATATATGGTTGAATGTTAATTAAAGACAGAGTGAGCATCTACAGCATACCATCAAAATAAAATGTTACCATAATATTTATATTGTATTTTAGCTGTAATATTTACAGTGGTTTCTTTGGTGGAGTGATATTTATACTGTTTATAAGTGTTATAGTGTTAAAGATGGAGTGGATTTAATAGGACAAACAAAATAAAAATAATAGAACAAATATTTTTCTTAAAAACAGAAATTAAAAGAATATTAGAAATATGAAATAAAAATCAGCATGCTCTAATATGAATAATAATGAAATTAAAATGGTTGATTAATGTTTCTGTGAATTATATAATGTATTCCTGTCTCAGACTGAAGTACCCACAATCCACAGCAGCACTCATGTGTGTGTGTGTGTTTATTGTGCAGAACGGCTTCACTCCGCTGCATATCGCCTGTAAGAAGAACAGAGTGAAGGTGATGGAGCTGCTGCTGAAACACGGAGCGTCTCTACAGGCCGTCACTGAGGTATGTATCGAGGTTTGGGGTACTTTCAGTAATAATTAGGGGCTAAAATACACATCATCTACCTCTCAGCGTGTGGAACTGGTGGATTCGTGTGTCCATCTACATTCTGTTTGAAACCGACCAATGGACACTCAGGAAATCGCTAAGCACTGACCCATAAACGGCAGAAACCCTTCATTCTTCATTCAGTCCACATCGGAGACACATGTGAAATGGTGTGCAGAAAGTTTACAGCTGCTGAAGTTGCTGCAGTGGTTTTGGAAAGTAGTGATGAAGATAATGGAGCGTTTTGATATGAAACATATGAGGATCGTATTATATGAAGAGCCTTTAAAGGAGAGTTTAAGAAGAGATGAACAAGTCAAGAGAGAATGACCTCAGACCACAGAGGGTTAAAGCCGCTTAGTCTCCTTAGCTCGTTCTTCATTTATTTATTTTTTCATTTTTACTGCAGCGAGTCACCTTGAGACAAGCTTTAAATCAAATCAAATCTCGTTGAATGGTGGGTGATATTTGACATTTTGTGATATATTGATCGTTTCCTGATGAAACATAATTGAATCAATTTGAATATGTCACTAAGCAGTGGATCATGATTTGTTTACAGAATTGCAAACTTGTTAAATATAAACATTGTGAAATTTGAAATGTTGTGATGCATTGAATCATTTTATAAAGAATTGTAATTGAATCAAAATTGATTAAAATGTAGTGAAACTGAGATTTTATGATTCATTGAAACTTTTCTGAAAAAAATGGAATCAAATTGAATTGAATTACAGTATATTTGAGATTTCGAAAAGTACTGAATCATCCATTTTTCTAAAGAATCATGTAGAATCTTTGAGCAATTTAAGATATAATGATCCATTGAATCATTTCATAAGGAATCGTAATGGAATCAAATTGGATCAGTGTCAGAACTGGATTGTGTTGATATTTAAGATTTCACGAAGCAATGAATGATTCATTTTCTAAAAAATCATAATTTTAAAAAGAATCACTGTACAAATTTGAAAATGCATTAAATTGCATTGAATAATTTCATAAAAAATCACAATTGAATCAAATTGGATCAGTATCAGAATTGAATGGTGATGGCATTTGGGTTTTCAAGACACATTAAATTGTTTATTAATAAAATGTAAATTAGTCAAATTGAAATTGTGAGTCATGGTGATAGTTGAGATTTGATGATGCATTGAATAATTTCCTACAGAATCGTAACTAAGGATAATGGATTAGAGCTTCTATATCACATTAACTCTGTTTTTCATGTTTGCTTTGTTTTCTTTGTTTGTTTATGTAGTCGGGGTTGACGCCGATCCATGTGGCAGCGTTTATGGGTCATGAGAACATAGTGAAGCAGTTAACACACCACGGAGCGTCACCAAACACCACCAACGTGGTATGCTAAACACACACACACGCACACACACACACACACGCACACACCAACTACACATGATTCACAGCATTGACGGCAATAGAATCAGTGGAACATGGAAAGCTGTGAACGTTCAGTACCTTAGTAATTCCTGTAGATGGAGCTGTTGGTTCATTCAGTGATAAATTCTGTGCTGTTTCATGTTGTTGACGGAAAATAACCACAACTACAGCTTTATATTACTGCAGCGCCACGTAGCAGAGTGGTGTAGTGTAGTGTGTATTCATACTGTGGTGTGAAAAGTGTCACCTGAGAACATGATGAGTGCAGCAGTGTGTGTGTTTCCTGTGTGAGCCTGTGTGTCTCTGTGTGTTGTAGAGAGGAGAGACGGCGCTACACATGGCAGCGAGAGCCGGTCAGGCCGATGTGGTCAGATATCTGCTACAGAACGGAGCGAAGGTGGACATCAAGGCCAAGGTGATATATACATGCACACACACACACAAACACACAGAGACAAATGTGGAAAACATTGCTGTGTGAAACTGATACGCACCTTCTGTGATCTGACTGGATGTTAGTTTACTGTGTTTGATACAGAACAGTTTTCATTAAAGCTCATTTAGTAGAGTTCACTGTTACATCATAGACAGATAGACAGACAGATCGGCAGATAGATAGATAGATAGATAGATAGATAGATAGATACTCAAAGAGACAGACAGACAGATAGTTAAAGAGAGAGATAGACAGACAGACAAACAGTCAAAGAGACAGGCAGACAGACAGGTAATCAAAGAGACAGACAGACTGACAGTCAAAGAGACAGACAGGCAGACAGACGGACAGATACTCGACAAGACAGACAGGCAGATGGACAGATACTCGACAAGACAGACAGACAAACTGATAGTCAAAGAGACAGACAGACTGACAGTCAAAGAGACAGACAGATAGACAGGTTAATAGTCAAAGAGACAGACAGATAGCCAAAGAGACAGACAGACAGACAGATAACCAAAGAGACAGACAGACAGACTGAGAGTCAAAGAGACAGAAAGGCAGGCAGAAAGACAGATAGTCAAAGAGACAGACAGACAGACAGACTGATAGTCAAAGAGACAAACAGACAGACAGACAGATAGATAGATAGATAGATAGATAGATAGATAAACAGACAGACAGACAGATAGATAGATAGATAGACAGATAGATAGATAGATAGATAAACAGACAGACAGACAGACAGACTGATAGATAGATAGATAGATAGATAGATAAACAAACAGATCAACAGACAGACACATAGATAGATAAACAAACAGATCAACAGACAGACACATAGATAGATAAACAAACAGACAGATAGACAGATAGATAGATAGATAGATAGACAAATAGATAGACGCAGAATGATAGATTTGTGGCGGGGCTTTGGAGGTAACACTGAAGGGGCCTTTATATTTTTGGGGGAGTGGGGGAGTGGCTGTATTTGTTGGGGGCGGGGCTTTGGCTGGAACACTGAAGGGAGTTGCTATAGTTGTTGGGGTGGGGCTTTGGCTGGAACACTGAAGGGAGTTGCTATAGTTGTTGGGGGTGGGGCTTTGGCTGGAACACTGAAGGGAGTTGCTATAGTTGTTGGGGGTGGGGCTTTGGCTGGAACACTGAAGGGAGTTGCTATAGTTGTTGGGGTGGGGCTTTGGCTGGAACACTGAAGGGAGTTGCTATAGTTGTTGGGGGTGGGGCTTTGGCTGGAACACTGAAGGGAGTTGCTATAGTTGTTGGGTGGGGCTTTGGCTGGAACACTGAAGGGAGTTGCTATAGTTGTTGGGGGTGGGGCTTTGGCTGGACCACTGAAGGGAGTTGCTATAGTTGTTGGGGTGGGGCTTTGGCTGGAACACTGAAGGGAGTTGCTATAGTTGTTGGGGTGGGGCTTTGGCTGGAACACTGACGGGAGTTGCTATAGTATTTGTTTGTGGGCAGGGGATTTGGAGGAAAAAGAATTGTAGTCAATAGAAGAGGAAGGAAAGAAGAAGTACGTCCATCTCTAATTGGTCTTCTGTGTGTCTGTGCTGTTCGTCTCCAGGACGACCAGACGGCGCTCCATATCTCCAGTCGTCTGGGGAAAACGGAGATAGTTCAGCTGCTGCTGCAGAAGGGGGCGTGGCCTAGCGCAGCCACAACCTCAGGCTACACCCCACTGCACCTGGCGGTGAGGGAGGGGCATCAGGAGACCGCCGCCCTGCTGCTGGAACACGGAGCTTCACTCTCTGCAGCTACCAAGGTTAGTGTGAGAGTGTGAGTGTGTGTGTGTGTGTGTGTGTGTGTGTGTGTGTGTGTGTGTGTGTGTGTATGTGTGTGCGTTCTGACACTGATGCTGGTGCTTGTCTCTCTTTAACAGAAAGGTTTCACGCCTCTGCATGTTGCTGCTAAATACGGCCAGATAGAGGCAGCAAAGCTGCTCCTGCAGAAAGGAGCAGCACCGGATACAGCAGGCAAGGTGAGTTACACACGTACATTAATACACCTGTAATAATGCTCAAACTGACATGCTATAACACTCTAATAAGCCTGTAATAGCACTTAAATTGACACACTATAACACTCTTAAACACCTGTTATAGGGCTCAAACTGACATGCTATAACACTCTAATACACCTGTATTAGCCAGCAAACGGACATGCTATAACACTCAAATACACCTGTAATAGCACTCAAACTGACACACTATAACACTCTAATATGCCTGTAATAGCACTCAACCTGAGACGCTATAACTTTTAATACGCCTGTAATAGCACTGAAACTGACATCCTATAACACTGTAAAACACCTGTAATCACACACCTGTCAGCTCTCTGCAGTGTAGTGTGTTGAGGGAAATCATCATTCCTTTTACAAAAAAATACAGATTTAACCCCTTAAACTACAGACACAAGCCCAGAGTTTATTATTCAGCATCAACTATGAATTATTCAGCTTCTACAATGAATTATTCAGGAACTACTACAGATATTTCAGTATATACTGTGAATTATTCAGTAACGACTACAAATGAATCAGCATCTACTTTAAATTGTTCAGTATCTACTATGAAATACACAGTAATTACTATTAATTTTTTAGTATTTATTAGTACTGTTAGTTTTTTAGTATTTAGTCTACTGTAAAGCTAATATAAATTATGTGGTTCCATACAGGCTATAAGAGTTTATGGGGTTAAATTTATTGTCCTTTTTCATTTCCTCTCACTGCTTCTCATGCTTAATACCACTCATACGAATGTGTGTGTGTGTGTGTGTCTGTGTGTGTGTGTTATAGACTGGGTTAACTCCGCTGCATGTAGCTGCTCACTATGATAATCAGAGAGTGGCTCTGCTGCTGCTGGATCACGGGGCGTCACCACACGCTGCAGCCAAGGTACTGATATCACGCCCTGCTCTGCTCTCCGCTTCACTAACAGTACTGACAGTTATTAACGTCATCAGCCATTAAACCATAACATCACAACCTGCTGAAACACACACACCACTAGCGCTGCGCTAATGTGTCCAGCTTAAAGTGACAGTTCAACAAATATTAAAAGTGTCAGAAACCACTGTTTGATTACTGATCAGCTCCACACACTCTGAGATGACTGCACGGCTGGCTTTACATGGTGAAATCTTAATGCAACCTACCCCTTGTTTTCGAAGGTCTCCTTGCCCCTTGGAACTGAGTTTTAAGGGGTAGTGTTTGAAGTCTTCCCTACGAAATGGGACCCTCAAATAAAAACAGCATTACATCATTAACAGGCAACTAGCCCTGCTCTGTAGGCGACCCTGCCAGTCTGCAGTGATAGCAGAGGAGGGTAAAGTTCAGCTCCTCACTGCTGGGCTTTAGTTACATTTAGGGCATCATATGCCTTCAAAGGGGGCAATTATTTATTATTACCCACCCCTAATTCTTCAGTGATATGGAGCTGAAGTCAGTTATTCGCCAGCTTCTTGTTCAGATTTTCCCACGGGAACGGGAAATTAGCTAGCTAGCTACCGAGACATCAGCTACTACTAGTGATTATAATACATCAAAACAACATTACACTAAGATGATACAGTGGTTATCATAATTTTTAACAGAGAATTCTCACATTTATGTGTTTCTTTGGTCACTTCTGCAGCCATCTTGCCATTTTTTCTTTTTTTCCTAATAACACTCTGTTTGGAGTGTGTCTCTGAAAAACCTCATGTAGCCCTAACACTTTGCCTGACCCCTCTATCTCAACAAGAATTGGGACCCCCTACCCCTAGTCGTGAACTCACAAAACAGAAGGGTAAGGGCTAAGGAGTTGTAGGGGCGAGGGGTGAAATGGGATTTGGGCCTAAGTTGCCCTTGAGTTAGATAATGTAAACAATCCTGAAATTTATTTAAAACTTTGTGAAGAAAGTTTCATGAAACACCAATAACGTATTTAAACACTAACAGCTGCTTGTGCTACTGTTTATTCTTCTTTGTTAGTCTAGTTAATATTAAGAGACCCTTATCAGTCCCACAACAGAGAAATTTCACCTCTACATTTAACCCATCCATGCAGTGAAATACCACATACACACTAGTGAACACACACACTAGGGGGCAGTGAGCACACTTGCCCAGAGCGGTGGGCAGCGCTATCCGCAGCGCCCAGGGAGCAGTTGGGGGACTTCAGTCACATACTGTCGGTTCAGGGATCGAACCAGTGAAAAAATTAAAGCTAACCTTGTAAAGCCCACCTAAGAGGATCTAGACTTGCAGTTAGTACCATGCTAGTTGGTGAGGTGTAAGCAGAGTTGCTCATTAGGTTAATAAACGGTGCTGCTCTCTCTCTGTAGAACGGATACACTCCTCTCCACATCGCCGCTAAGAAGAATCAGTTGGAGATCGGTACGACTCTGCTGGAGTTCGGAGCGGAGACGAATGCAGTGACGCGGCAGGGCATCAGCCCGCTGCACCTCGCTGCTCAGGAGGGCAGTGTGGACCTGGTGTCGCTATTACTGACCAAACACGCTAACGTTAACATGGGCAATAAGGTACACACAAACACACAAATATAACCCTGCATTGTTCATAGAAAATGAGCAACCACCAGGAATAACATAGCATCCACTTAGCAACAGCATTGCAACCATTTGTAATACCATAGCAACCACCTGGAGCACCATAGCAATCACCTGGGATACTACAGCAACTGCCTAGCAATGCCCTAGCACCCACCTGGGATCCCATATCAACAACCTAGCAGTATCCTAACAACCACCTGGAACACCACAACAACCACTCTAGTAACTACCTGGAACACCATAGTATCCCTTTAGAAACACCCTAGCAACCACCTAGAAACATTCTAGCAACTGCTTAGCAACACCCTAGCAACCACCTAGAAATATTCTAGCCATTGCTTAGCAACATCCTAGCACTCACCTAGAATCATTCTAGCAACTGCTTAGGAAGACCCTAGCAACCCCCAGAAACATTCTAGCAACTGCTTAGCAACATCCTAGCAACCAACTAGAATCATTTTAGCAACTGCTTAGCAACACTTTACCAACCATCTAAACACATTCTAGCAACCGTTTAACATTGCAATCACCTAGCAACACCTTACCAGCTACCTGGAATACCATAGCATCGCCCTAACAAATCCCTAGCAACCACCACAGCGACCACTTTCTTCAGGAAATGCAATGTTCTATTTATTCTTTATTTATTTATTATTTATTTATTTATTTATTGTCAGTGGATTTACTTATCTGATTTACTTGATGCTCGTCTGTGTTACCTGTGGTAAATCTACCAAAGCCTCTAGAGGCATCACAAAATACTGAAAACTTGCTGTCACCATGGCAACATTTACAGGGCTGCGTGCCATTGTAGGTCGCGTATCGAGGCTGTGGTGCTCTGAGGAGCAGAGCAGCTTTTTACAGCAGCAGCAGGTAAAGCTTTAGAGGTGATGAAGTGGAGGCAGAAGAGTCTGTACACTCACACCGTGTTCCTGCTGTGTGTGTGTGTGACAGAACGGGCTGACTCCGCTGCACCTGGCGGCTCAGGAGGACAGAGTGGGCGTGGCTGAGGTTCTGCTGAATCATGGGGCTGAGGTGGACGCTCACACAAAGGTCAGGGGTCACAGTGTTTCCATAGAAACCTCAGCATGCTGCACTTTGACAAGAATCACACTGCACACTCTCTGCATAGTATGTGTGAGTGCGTGTGCATGTGTCACTATATAGCCTCTTAGGTCTTATTCATACATTGGCCACTAGGGGTCTCCAAATCCTTGGTTTCTCAAAATAAAAAAGTTTTTTATATATATATATATATATATATATATATATATATATATATACATATATATATATATAAATGTGTATTTCTCTATCTTACTTTTTCTCTTTCTCTCACTCTCTGTCTTTCTTCTTTCTCTCAAGCCTTTTGTTCTTTATCTCTCTTTCTATTGTTTGTACTTGAACAGCATATTATATATTTTCACATCAAACCGTGCTACTGAAGCTCTCTCTCTCTCTCTCTCTCTCTCTCTCTCCAGACGGGTTACACTCCGTTGCATGTGGCCTGTCACTATGGCAACATGAAGATGGCCAGCTTCCTGTTAGAGAATCAAGCGAAGATCAACAGCAAAACAAAGGTGGGTTTGTTTACATGAGATATTTTTATCAGGAGTTTGTATTTTCATCTGTAAACATAAGCCTCTCTCTCTCTCTCTCTCTCTCTCTCTCTCTCTCTCTCTCTCTCTCTCTCTCTCTCTCTGCAGAGTGGATACACTCCTCTACACCAGGCAGCACAGCAAGGCCACACCCACATCATTAATATGCTTCTTCAGCACCGAGCCTCAGCCAATGATCTCACAGTGGTCAGTACACATACAGATATTTATACAAACTTTCAGTGAAATATGAGGACTTTAATTGATTAATCGTACTGAAAGTGTCTCACTGTGTTTTTCAGAACGGTAACACTGCTCTCTCGATCGCCCGGCGGCTCGGATACATCTCTGTGGTCGACACTCTAAGAGGAGTAACAGATGAAAACCTCACTGCCACGGTAACACACATACACACACACTGTACAGTAAGGGTGTACAGTACAGTACTGAAGGAAAATCAGTGAATGCAGTGTGTGAAAGACCCCTGGTATTCAGGAGTCCCATGTTGTTTGGCTGCTAACTCATTCACTCAGTCACTCACCATAGCGGCACTGATGCTTCAATGGCAGCAGAATGTTTGGTTTATCAATTCTTCTTCCTGAAATGCTCTTTTCAGGTTCAGTAATGTGCTCTACCACACGTTAAAGGTGAAGTATGCGATTCTAGAGAAGGATTATTGATATTTAACTCAACCACAAAAACAAAACATGCCCCTCCCTTCAGTGCTCCTTCAGAAGCTCCGCCCAAGATTCATGGATGGGCGTTGCCAAGATGAACAACACAGGGCTAGCAAACTTGTTTTTTTAGATCTTCCTGGTCATAAAACCCTTCACAAACATTGTTCAGACAAATACAATGGTATAACATCAGAGCACAATGACACAACAAGTAGTGTAGCTAGTGTTAGCTAGGTTGCTATCACAAACGAATGGAACAAAACAATGCTATTGTAACAACAGGAGGCAGAACCAGACACTTGCAGATGAGGCTTGAGTTAAGAACTTTAATATCAGAGGGTTCATCCAAAATCACAGTCGAAAAACAGAAGCAAAAAGTCAAAAACCAGAAATCCAAAACTGAGCAAAGGGACAAGATAGGTCATAAACGATATACAGGTCATACACAGAAAGGAGATAACAAACATCAAAAGAACACTTGGTATGCTCAACAGGGAATTGATACTTCGCAATGAAGCATTACAAACAAAAACAGGTGTGGGAGATTAGAAATCCAGTGATGCACAGCATTGATACATGGAGGTTAGAGTCCTGAGTCATGTGATGAAGCGAGGGGTTCTGGGAACTGTAGTGTGAGGCAGCTACATTGGCGGTAGTTTCAGCCGGGCCGGAGGGAGGCGTGACAGCTGAGCTATTGGTTCTGTGAAACAGCAAAAATAAGTTAATGTTGCCCACCTTTCAACAGAAACAGAGCAGCCTCCTCATCCGTTTTCATGCTTTTCAACTCTCCATGAAGCTGAAGGAAGCTTATTGTTCGCCAGCTTCTTGTTTGAATTTTCCCGTTCCACCTTAAATAGTGCAGCAGTTACATTCTGGAGTTTCGGCTTCTTGTCCAGATTTTCCTGTTCCACCTTAAATGGTACAGCGGTAACATTCAGGTGCCTCAGCTTCTTATCCAAATTTTCACGTTCCACCTTAAATGGTGCAGCAGTTACATTCTGCCACCTGAGCTTCTTGTTTGAATTGTTCCGTTCCACCTTAAATGGTGCAGCAATTACATTCTGCCATCTCAGCTTCTTGTTTGAATTGTTCCGTTCCACCTTAAATGGTGCAGAAGTTACATTCTGGCGCCTCAACATCTTGTTTGAATTGTCACGTTCCACCTTAAATGGTGCAGCAGTTAGGCTATATTGAGGGCAGGAAAACAAATAATTAAAAGGTGTAAACAAAATAACAATAATTAGGGAGAAATAAATAAAAACATTGTTATAAAAGAAGAAGAAGAAGAAAATAAAATGTTATGGTCACAGAACACGTGTGCTGTTCCAGTCACAGCATTTCATTCAGACTGTTTTTGAACTAATTAAATGTTGGAGGTCTTTGTTGCTTCCATTTGAGCAAAATGCATTTCTTTTGCTATAAATGATATTATGTAAATCCTCTAAACAGATATGGGGTCTAGATTTTTGTCCAGATCTATGCCAAAGAGGCACCATATATAATGTCCAATGGAATCTAAAACCTTGGCAGTTAGGTTGTGGACCGCTTGGATGAAAATCCAGCTTCTGGTTTTGTAAATCAAACACATTTCCATCAAAATTCATTCAAGGAGCTGATGAGGCTTCATTATATGGAGCGGTTCCTCATACAGTAGAATAAATATGAAGTAAATATGAATTTGGATCGTGATTCTGATCAATGAAGTTCCTTCACTCGTATCCATCTCCTCTCTGCAGCCACCAGTGACGGAGAAACACAAGCTGAACGTTCCGGAAACCATGAACGAGTTCCTGGACATGTCAGATGATGAGGGTAAGACTGGACTTTCCTGACTGTAATATGATTGGTTTGTTCTGTCCTGGTTAGGAGCAGGGTTGGAATTAAACTGTGATTAGAGTTGGAGTTAAACCATGGTCAAGGTTGAAGGTAAAGTCTGGTCAGGGTTCGAGGCAAACTCTGGTCAGAGTTGGAGTTAAACTGTGGTCAGGCTTGGAGGTAAATTCTGGTCAGGGTTGGAGGTAAATTCTGGTCAGGGTTGGAGGTAAACTCTGGTCAGAGTTTAAGTTAAACTGTGGTCAGGGTTGGAGTTAAACTGTGGTCAGGGTTGGAGTTAAACTGTGGTCAGGCTTGGAGGTAAATTCTGGTCAGGGTTGGAGGTAAACTCTGGTCAGAGTTTGAGTTAAACTGTGGTCAAGGTTGGAGGTAAAATATGGTTAGGGTAAGAAGTAAACTCTGGTCAGGGTTGGAGTTAAATCCTGGTCAGAGTTTGAGTTAAACTGTGGTCAAGGCTGGAGGTAAAATCTGGTCAGAGTTGGAGTTAAACTCTGGTCAGGGTTGGAGGTAAACTCTGGTCAGGGTTGGAGTTAAGCTCCGGTCAGGGTTGGAAGTAAACTCTGGTCAGCAGAATATGACTTGCTGTGGTTGAGGAAAGTTGTATCAGTTACTGAGTTAAAATATATGAAGGTCAATGTCTACATTATTTCTTTATCAGCAGGAGATTATTTATTAGTACCATCTTATAATTTAATTATTCATTATTGACATACTGTAACTTTGGTTATGATATAACTGATATGATACTATCATGTTAAATATTAATTATGTGATGAATAACAGTACAGATGTTATTGTGCTCTAAACACTCATATTCATTACACAGACACTCACACAGGCGCAGGATGCTGTAATATTAATGAGTGAGTTTCCACACTGTACTTCTCCATGGAAACACTCACCTGACCTACAGCTAACACCTGCTGACTGAGAGAGAGAGAGTGAGGCAGAGAGAGAGAGAGAGAGAGGGAGATAATGAAACCATGAGAGGCCAATCATTAAATTATTGTTGATTATGGCTAATTATAACTTTTTGGAAGCTCTCTGCAACCATTTTATTATTTTCTTTTATTGTCTACTCATAATACCTCAAATAACGTTTGTTTTGTTTGCGGTGTTTTTTTCATATTTATATTCATTTTTTTTCTTTCCTTTATTTATGTTCACATTTATTGTTAAATAGCCCATGTCTTACATGTTCCTTGTACTTTATTTTTCTATAGCTTTATGGGCCAAAAACCGTCATAAATCATTTCTACACAATGATTTTCCAGCCTCTCTTTATCCCTTACAGTGAAACAGCCTGTTTTTGTTACTGTGTCTTTGATCTAAATGAGCTCTGATCTGATTGGCTACCAAGTATTGTGCCTCATACTTGGTAGCCAATCTGGGCTGAAACACTTCTTATAGCTACAGAACGAATGGGCAGGGCTAAACTGCTGTAGGCTGAATGGGCCGGGCTAAACTGCTATAGGCTGAATGGGCCGGGCTAAACTGCTATAGGCTGAATGGGTGGGGCTGAACTGCTGTAGGCTGAATGGGTGGAGCTAAACTGCTGTAGACTGAATGGGCGGGGCTGAACTGCTATAGGCTGAATGTGTGGGGCCAACCTGCTGTAGGCTGAATGGGTGGGGCTAAACTGCGGTAGGCTGAATGGGAGGGGCTAAACTGCTATAGGTTGAATGGGTAGGGCTAAACTGCTATAGGTTGAATGGGTGGGGTTAAACTGCTGTAGGCTGAATGGTTGGGGCTAAACTGCTATAGGTTGAATGGGTGGGACTAAACTGCTGCAGGCTGAATGGGTGGGGCAAAACTGCTATAGACTGAATAGGAGAGAGAACAGGAGAATATGTGTAAATTTTGTGACATCACAAAAACACTGAACTCAGAATAGGCTGTTTTGTGGTTCCATAGTTTCCATATATGGACTGGAGAGTAAATAGTATGCTTTGAGAATTTAATAGTGTTTATATTAGACTCTTTATTAAAAAAGAGCGAGGAAGTTTTAACTTTAACTGCTTCAGCAACAGCCTGTCTCCTTACATTCACACTAATAAAGTCCAACTGAACTGAGAGAGAGGGAGAGAGAGGTGAGGTCAGTGCAGTAGAGATGAGTGCTGGGTGGAGAGCCGTATTCCGTCAGTTTATGATCATCATAATCTAAAGCGAACAAAGTTCTCCATGTACACGCCCTGACCGCGTTATCTCAGCACATCTCCACCGCTGACCCTGAGTGACCACACGGGTTACGTAATCTTCTCAAGAACTTTTACTTATGACTTCCAGCTGAATCCGTCAGCTCTACAACTGTACATTACACAGAGAGAGAGAGAGAGATAAAGATAGAGAAAGAGAGAGGGAGTAATGAGAGAAAGAGAAAGAGAGACAGAAGAGAAAGATAAAAGAGAGAGAGAGAGAGATAAAGAGAGAGAAAGGGAGAGGAGAAAGAGAAAGACAGAGTAAGAGAGAGAGACAGAAGATAGAGGAAGAAAGAGCAAAGAAAGAGAAAGAATAAAGAGAGAGAGTAAAAAGAGAGACAGAAAGAAGAGAGAGAGAGAGAGAAAGAGAGGAAAGAGAGGCACGTCCTAGTTTCATTTGTGTGTGTGTGTGTGTGTGTGTGTGTGTGTGTGTGTGTGTGTGTGTGCGCTAGATAGGCCCCTCCCCCTCCCATCTCTCTCTTTCTGAGCTTCACTGAGTCGATTCTTTGGATTCACTGATTCATTCTGCTGATGGAGCTGAACAGCCCGGAGTATCCCACACTGGGACGAGCGAGAGAGGGTGTGTGTGTATGTGTGTGTGTATGAGCTGATCCACTGCTGCAGTGCGCGACACACACATACGGAGAGAGAGAGAGAGGGAGTGAAAACGGGACGGCTAATGGCGACGGACTGCAGATCCTGCAGATACAGAAAGAGGTGAGAGAGAGAGAGAGAGAAAGAAAGCAAGGAAGAAAACAAATAGAAAGGGAGAAGAAAGATAATGCATAAAGGAGAAGGAGAGAGAGAACTGTGACAGAAAACAAGAAAGTGATCTAGAAAAGACGAGAGAAAACGAGAGAGGAAAATGAATTTGTAGAGGGAGAGAGAGAATGAAAACAAAGAGAAGGGAGAGAGAGGTAAAGAGAGAGCAGGAGAGAGAGAGAGAGAGAGAGAGAGAGACAGAGAGAGGTAAAGAGAAAGGTACAAGTAGAGAGAAAGACAGGTAGAGAGAGACAGATGGAGAGAGAAAGGTAGAGAGATACTGAGGTAGGGGTAGAGAGAGGGTTGGAGAGAGTTGGAAAGAGAGAGCTAGAGAGTGGTAGAGAGTGAGAGAGATAAAAGTAGAGAGCAAGAGAGAGAGGAGGAGAGACAGAGAGTGGTAGAGAGTGAGAGAGAGGTAGAGAGACACAGAGAGTGGAAGTGAGTGAGAGAGATAGAAGTAGAGAGCAAGAGAGAGAGGTGGAGAGACACTGAGAGAGTGGTAGAGTGTGAGAGAGGTAGAAGTAGAGAGAGAGAGAGAGAGGTAGAGGTAGAGTTGAGTGTGGAGTGAATGCTGATGTTTGGAGTGAATGCTGCATCACTGAAGCTTTTCTGAAGACGGTGACTGACCGCTCCGCTCCAGTCAGTGAGTAAGAGTGGACGCTGTGGTTTTGTTTATAGCTGTGTTTATATCAGTGTGAGTACAGAGCAGCTCTGTGACCTGCAGGAACCCGGCTCAGCTGCAGCAGCGCTGCTCTGCAGCAGCCACCAGAAAAAGCAGAGGTGTTAAGTGACCGTGATGAATTATCTAGTGGATACGAATCGGACGCCGGGATAACGTGAGCGTGTGGAGGGCTGTGGGCGCTTGTTTTCATACTTGACTGTAGTATTGACTTTATAAGGTGCTATTAACAAAAACTCCATATTTCATTTCATAAAACTGAAAAAGCAAAAGCTTTTAGTGTTTGGTTTTTGAGGTCTAGAGAGGCTATAAGGTAGTTATAATTGAGATAACAAGTTAATTGTCTTATTATCACAAGATAACAAAGTTGTTTTGACATAGCGAGTTAGTTATTTTGTTACCTCGAGATAACAAAAGTGGTTATCTTGAAGTAACGAGTTAGTTATCATGTTATCTCAAGATAGCAAAAGTTGTTATCTTGAGAAAACGAGTTAATTATCTTGTTATCTCGAGATAGCAAAAGTTGTTATCTTGAGATAACAAGTTAATTATCTTGTGATCTCAAGATAGCAAAGTTATCATCTTGAAATAGCGAGTTAGTTCTCTTGTTATCTCAAGATAACGATCCAGGAAATTATAGCAACAGCTCATGGCCTTTCCGGACTTCTGTAAGTTTTGGTTCCTGAGCCCACCCTTCATTTATTTCGTACTTTTCAGGAGACTCACTTCCAGTTTCCCAAAGAAATCTGCAGACACACCTCCAAAGTTCAGTCTCAGAAGTTGGTTGATCATTTTCTGAAGTAATCAAACACATTCAGTGATGTTGAGGTTTGGACTCTGGGGTGGTCAGTCCATTGTTCAGCTTCTCTGTTTGATGTGTCTGTCTCCTTTTCTGTGAGTGAGGGTTCTTTTTGAACAGCTACACATCCTTTCAGACCCATAGCGCTGAGTTGTCTTCTCACAGTGGAAGGATGGACAGAAACACCTGTGGATGTTTTCAGATCTGAAGCAGCTTGATTTTCTCCTCTCTCTCAAAGATGAAAGCTTTAAGTGCTGTTTATCTGATGGGGTACAGTTTTGGTGTCTACCAGGTGTTCCAGGTGGTTGTTAGGAGTTTTCTCTGCAGGGGTGTGGAAGTGGATTATCTGATATCTCCTCACAAATATCTCCTGAAAAATGAACTTATTCGTTAGTTGCACAAGATGGCGCTGTTTAACTTGGGTTATAAGCAATGTAATGATAACAGCATCCTTCAGCGTATCAGCTGGTGCTACACAGTGACTTTCAACATGGGATTTTAGCAGATCTTCCAAAGATCATGATCACCTTAAATGGTGCAGCAGTTACATTCTGGCACCTCAGGCAACATTTAAGGTAGAACAGGAAAATTTGATCTAGAAGCTGGCGAATGAGAAGCGACTTCAGCCTCGTAAAAACAAGAAACTGTTCTACTTTTGTGGAAAAGTTTCCTGCCAGAGATGCGAGAAAAGCAGCTATAGCTGAGCTAAAGCTTAAAGCAGAGCAAAGTGAGTCTGTGTTTTTGTTTATATTATATTTTCAGTCTATACTAGGACATTAGCACATACTGAGACATGCTGAGCTGCTTTTCCACTACATGGTACCGGCTTGACTCGAGTCTACTCACCTTTTTCGGTTCTCCACTAGGCAAATATACTATTACTGTTACTACTATTTCTGGTACCACCTCCATTGAGGTTCCAAGCGAGCTGAGTCGATACCAAAAGGTGATGTAAAAACACCGCAGACTGCTGATTGGTTGGAGAGAATCGCTAAACACACATGCTAACTTTAGCTACCAGGTTAGCGTAGCCTCTTGTGTCGTCTTAGATCAGCCAGAATCGTCTTGTCGACTGAACTCTGTTGTAGCTTTTCCCAAACTCTCCTATTTTTTGTTTCGCTGCCGTCAGCCTCTTCTGAACACAGTTTCTCCTTCACATCTCGGCAGTTTCATGTGGTGGCGTTATGATGACCAGCTATGGTTCTGTATCTGCAGTGGAAAATGATGTAGCTGTTGAGTCGAGCCGTGCCATACAGTCAAAAAGAGGCTATATTTACAGCCACGGTGGTGAAATGTTACTTCAATAAAATGGATGTAAACTGTTGTAGCTTCCAAGGTGGACTGATTTTTTTTGAAAGGACAAAATAGCTCTTCTTAACATTTGGGTTGCGACCCCAATATATATATGTATATATATGTCTATGTGTCCCAAGAAGCTATATACATCAGTGTGTATGTATTTGTCTTCAGGTGAGGATGCGATGACCGGTGAGACAGAGAAGTACCTGCGGCCGCAGGACCTGAAGGAGCTTGGAGACGATTCACTGCCGCAGGAAGGATACATGGGCTTTAGTATCGGAGCTCGATCAGTCAGGTATCACCTGCACGGCTGTGTGTATGTATGTGTGTATGTATGTACAGTATGTGTGTGCGGTTTGTTTATATGTTTGTCCAGTGCGCACTGGACGCTGACTGTCGAACAAATAGAATTCTCCTGCAGGTAAAAGGGTTTAGAATTAGGTCAGATCTGAGGGCAGGTAGAGGTCAGATAAGGCCTCTGTGTGGACGTCATAAAACTAGAGTCAGTTTAAAGAGTGCCTGGCCACTTGTTTCTCCCGTTATATTAAAAAACATCACTGCAAAGCACTAGAGGGTGCCAGAGATAGAGTCCTCAATGAATGGGGGAGAATAGAGCTAAACAGGTTATTGGTGATTGGTTAGAATTAGCAGGTGATTGGTTAGCATTACTGCTACTTATTGTTGATTGGTTAGCATTACTGCTACTGGGTGCTGACTGCTTGGCATTACTGCTACTGAGCATTGCTTGGTTAGCATTACTGCCAATGAGCGCTGATTGGTTAACATTACTGCTACTGAGCGTTGCTTGGTTAGCATTACTGCTACAGAGCGCTGATTGGTTAACATTACTGCTACTGAGCACTGATTGCTTAGCATTACTGCTACTGAGTGTTGATTGGTTAGCATTGCTGCTACTGAGTGCTGATTGGTTAGCATTACTGCTGCTGAGCGCTGATTGGTTAGCATTACTGCTACTGAGCGCTGATTGGTTAGCAATGCTGATTGGTTGGTGAGCTGATCAGCTCGTTGGCCAAGTAAAGCGGCTCACTGATATCATTTAGAAAGTTCTGGAGCTTAAACGCGCTAAAAAGTATTGAAGTATTTTATGCTTTTCTGTGTTGAGTGAATTAGTGCATTTTCTGTATACGAATGATTGTACATTTTTAAATTACAATTTTGCTCAAAAGCTCCATAGAAACTAATTCATTTTGGACTTGTTCAGGAGCGCCCTCTAGAGTTTCACCAACACAGTGGATGTTATTGAGTGGCAGTTCTCCTCACTAGTGATTCGCTGGTGATACATGTCTACAGACATCACTCTCACAGCTTTAGAGCAACACTGAACGTCTGATAATAGCCACTAATGTTAGCTAGCTGTAGCATCAGCAAATGTTAGCTAACTACCTAGCTCTTTACTTACTTGGTGATTTATTTACATGCTTTTATCATGAGTTACCCATTTTGTAATGCATGTAAACTTTTGTAGCTAACAGTTAGCTAGCTAACTAGTTAACATTACACTAGCTTGTCACTAATCACTAAAAACGTATTATGATTTAGGTTAATAATTAGACAATATATAAACAATATAATGTATATAAAACATAATCATGTTCAGATTTCATCTAATGATAGACGTTGATTAATTACAAAGTACCAGCTCTTATGTATCAATATTGTTATAATCATTATAATAGTGGTCAGTTACTGTTCCCTATAATAGTGTTCTGTTTTCCAGTGTACAACACAATTCCCATCAATCACATTTCCCCATGCAATCTATATGAGCATATAGAATTCATGGTTGTATACAGAACCATTCCTTTTACTAAAGAACCCCATCTTTGTTAAGAGTTTAAGGAATAGTGATTAGGGGGCCAGTGCAGGTGAATCTGAGGTGAGTTCAGAGGGCAGGTGGAGGACGGGCTGAAGGTCAGAGGTTAGGTCAGGCCTGCAGGGAGAGGATTAGAGCTGTGCTGTATACGGCCGGAGCTGCACGCAGTTAAACTCTATTTACAGCAGATACATTTCACACGGAGGATTTAAGCAGATTAGATTTCTGTGGCGCGCAGGACAGAGTTACTGACGGAGAGGCTTAGATTCATTCAGAACCTAAATAATACAACTCAAATCCACAAAATGAATATTCAGAGCATCCACAGTGTATTGCAGTTATAGACGCAGCTCATCTGTTAATGTACAGGCTCCTCTAATCCTTCATTAGCGCTATCAGTGAGTGAGTGGCAGTACAAGGTATGCGTTTCTAATAAAGTGGCCAGTTAGTGGAAACATAATGTAGGTGTTTCTAACAAAGTGGAGAGTTAGTAGAAGCACAAGATAGGTGTTTCTAATAAATTGGACAGTTAGTGGGAGTACAAGGTGGGTGTTTCTAATAAAGTGGCCAGTTAGTGGAAGCATGATGTAGGTGTTTCTAATAAAGTGGACAGTTAGTGGAAACACAAGATAGGTGTTTCTAATAAAGTGGCCAGTTAGTGGAAGTACAAGGTGGATGTTTCTAGTAAAGTGTCCAGTTAGTGGAAACATAATGTAGGTGTTTCTAATAAAGTGACCAGTGAATGTGTAAACCTTGAACGTTTATTAACAGCCTATAATCTGCCATATGGACAGAAGAGAGGGAGAGAGAGAAGGATGGAGGGATTGAAACAGTACTCTGTCAGTGCTGCATTGTATGGAACAATCATTGTTGATTGTGTGTCATGCGCGTGTGTGTGTGTGAGTGTGTGTGTGGTGGCAGGTGGCCGGTGTAAAGGTTTGATAGGATGTTTTGTTGACAAGAGTGTTCATCACATCACAGACCAGAGCAGTCGATACCACACTCATTCTCTTAAAGCGATAGTTTGGCAAAGTATCTAATTCACCCACCCACCTCCCTTCCAACCCTAAATGTATAGGACCAGCCAAAACTTGCTTGGTGTCTGAACCTCACTTCTTAAGTTTTAGCACTGGAGGTTTAGCGTTAGCTAGTTCACATTAATCTTGAATGACTGAATTTAGAAAAACAGTTGTCGTCTGCAGAATTAGTGAGATATCATGTCCAAATTCAGTTTTGAAGTTTCACATGTGAGCATTACAGAGTCTTATTTTACAGCTCACATTTTCCCTGATGGTGATATAATTTTAATACCTTTATTTCCTTCTGACCTAGCTTCTAATATCACTGGATAATATATAAAGATACACTGTTAATATGCAGTGGATCTCCCCGTTTGTTTGGTCGGAAACCGGAGGTTTGACCCTTCTTCTGGACAAGCTCGTCCATTTTACTCTCTCCCAGAAAGTATTCCCATGATTCTTCGTTTGGCTTCAAATATATGTTATAATCTTTCCATGTTGATTTCAGAGGGGGTAACCACACACTAGTGTTCTCAGGGCTTTGTGCTTGAAACAAGCCATGGAGCAGCTTGAATTGAAGCATGCTTGACGGAAATATTTTCCAAATTCCTACAGTGTCTGACAGTCGGGGGGAGTGAGTCTATGGGATGCATGTATGAGACAAATTCAATGAAGTTAAAGCTGACTACTTATTTCAATTTCCAGTTCCACCTTAAATGCTGCAGCAGTTACATTCAGGCGTGTACAGGTGACAGTATGTAACTGCTGCTCCATTTAAGGAACAGAAAATTAAAAAAAAAAAAAAGCTGCTGAATAAGAAGCCAACTTCAGATGTGAAACAACGTTGAGCATAGTTTATTAATGTTAATAAGGAACACTGACAGGATGGTCTACGTACTGTTGAGTTTTGTCTTTGCTATTTTGCACAATAAAATATTTCAGATTTACTTTGGTTGTTAAATATGGTTCCTACTAAAAAGTGAAGGAACATCCCTGAATAACAATCCACTGTGAACCTACTAAAGCGTCTAAAATGTTATAGTGTATGTTCATATACACTGCATTATTATGCACACACACACACACACATATATATATATATATATATATATATGTATATATATATATATATATAGAGAGAGAGAGAGAGAGAGAGATTGATTAAATAAAGACGATATATTCAATGATATCAATCGTCATTTCAAGGGTTCTTTAGTAAAGACAGTGGTTCTATCTAGAACCATGAACACTCAAAGAACCACTTAGCATGCTTAAATGGTTCATTGCATGGTGAAATGGTTCTTCAGATTGATGGAGAATGTGTAGTATATGGTTCTAAACAGAAGCTCTTTGAAATTGGTTCTGTATAGCGCCAAAAAAGTTCTCTTGTTACAAGCTTGACATCATAACAATAGCAGAACCCTTTTTGGTGCTATATAGAATTTTTCATCAATCTGAAGAACCATTGCGCCATGCAAAGAACCCTTTAATCATGCAAGGGGACCTTTGAGTGTTCATAGTTCTGTATAGAATCACTATCTTTACTAAAGAACCCTTTAAGAATCTTTAGTCTTTAGACATGCAGTTAGCACCATGGTAATTGGTGGGGTATAAGCCTCCATTACTTGTTAGCCACATTAGCCTCGTAGCTCCTGTGCTAAAACTACAGCAGCAAAATTCGGACACCAAACACCGGGGGTAAGGATATTTTGTTTTTTTATTTGTTTATTTACACCAAACTATCGCTTTAATGGCTTTTCTCATAGCTTTGGCTGATCACACTCACCTGGTCAGGTAGAGTTAGCAGCTGGTTCAGTGTTTATGATGCGGAGAATGAGAGCGTACAGTGATGTCTTGTCATATTCATATCAGCTCCTGCTTTACTTATGCAAATGTCTGGCTTTATGGATGTGAGCACACAGTGATGATGATGATGAAGGTGATGTTTTATTATTAGTGTGTGTTGTGAGTGGGTGAAGCTGCTGGTCAGGTGAGGTAAGACGCTGCTCTGTTCTTTAACTTTGAGAGAGAAACTATTCCTCACTGTTACAAATGAAGAGCTTGTTTGGTTTTGATGATGATGATGATTATGATTATGATGATGATGATGTCATGGTTATTCATTTTCCGGCGATGTCATTGCTGTGAGCGCGTCAGGTGTGTGAGTGTGTTTGCTTCTGTTTGTGACATCAGCCGAGCATACACACACACACGAACACATGCTTAAAGAAAATAGAGTATCACTGCTGTCGGAACAAAAACATAAAAACATACTTTACTTTTAATGTAAGTCAATGTAACCATGTTTGTTTTGGTCCATTCATCATAAAATTTACAGACAATGTAAAGAGCAGCGGGCGTTTTCAAATTATGTCAAAAACTAAAAAACAACAATAATACAGATGTGAGGTTTTGCTCTGACAGCAGTGATATGCTGCTCTAACACAAGTATTACAGAGAGAGAGAGACATGGGGAGAGAGAAAGAAAAGAGAGAGACAGATACACAAGGGGGAGGAATAGAGGAACAAAACATGCAGATAAAGAGAGAAAGGAGGGAGGGTTGAGGTAGGGAGGAGAGAGGCAAAAAAAGGGCAGAGAGAGAGGAAGAAAGAGAGAGAGAGAAAAAAAGAAGAACAATAAAGTAAAAAAGGAAAGAGAGGGATAAAGATAGCAAAGGGAGGAGTAAGACGGAGAAAGAAAAGAGGTACAAGAGAGACATATACATAGATAGAAGAGAGAAAAAGGAGATGAAGAAATAGAGGTGTATAGTAGTACAACAGTAGTACAATAGTACTATAATACAGTAATAATACAGTAATATTGTAGCAAAATAGCAGTAGTACAGTAATACTGCAGTACAGCAGTAATACAGTAATATTGTAGTAAAGCATAACACTGTAGTATGGTAATACCATGGTACTGTAGGAGTACATTATGGTACTGTAGTACAGTAAAACAGTAGTAGTGGTAGTACAGGAGTACTGAAGTACAGTTGTAATACAGTAATACTATAGTACAGCAGTAGTACGATTATACTGTAGTGCAGTAGTAGTATAGTAATACAGTAGTAGTACAATAGTACTGTAGTACAGTAATAGTAGTAGTTTAGTAGTACTTTTAGTAGTACTTCAGTAGTAATTACTATAATACAATAGTACTTTAATACTGTAACAGTACTGTAATGCAGAATTTATAAAGTAAGAGTACAGTACTAGTACAGTAGCAATATAGTAGAGGTACAGTAATACAGCAGTAGTAATATAGTATTAGTACAGTAGCAGTGCAATAATATAGACATCTTGTAATAATACAGTAGTAATACTGTAGTAGCAATATAGTATTAGTACAGTAGTAGTACAATAATATAGTAGTCATGTAATAATACAGTATTAATACTGTATTATTATACACAATTACTGTATTATTATACACAATACTGTAGTAGCATAATAGTACAGTAGTAATACAATAATGGAATATTTATACAGTATTAGTACAGTAATACAGCAGTATTACAGTAATGCAGTATGAATACAATACTAGTACAGTACTGGAATAGTAGTAGTAGTACAGTGATACAGCTGTAATACAGCAATGCAGTATAAATACAGTATTAGTACAGTATCGGAACAGTAGTAGTACAGTGATACCCCAGTAATTCAGTATGAATACAGTACTAGTACAGTAGTAGTACAGCAGTATAGTGTATGCTGGAGCCTCAGTGTGGCGCTGCATTATCTCACTGCCTCTCACTGCTTTGCTTTTCACTCCTCTTTTTTCTTCCCTCGCTTTTTCTCTTCATCTCCAGCCCCAGAATCAGGTAAGAGTTATAACAATACATCACTCTCACTTTCCCTTTCCTCTCTCTTCTCTCCCTGCTGCTCTCTCTCCTTCGTTCTGTTTCTTTTTCTTGTTCTGTCTCTTTCGCTCTCTCTCATTCCTCTTCCTGTCTCCCTCTCTCTCTCTCTCTCTCTCTCTCTCTCTCTCTCTACTCTCATGGTTTCTGTAGCTGTCAGTTCTGTCACTGCCGCTTTCCTCCTTTACTGCAACTCACATCATGTATCACTATGTGCCACCTGGCCTGGTGCGTTTCTATAGGAGCTCATTTTACCCTGAAGAGCTCTGAAGCTCCTCAACTCAACACAGTTCTAATTCAGAAAGTGTTTACTGAGTTGTAGAATTTAGTAGAATTTACCGATTCGGTTGTAGAATTCGTTAATGGAATTAGCTAGTTCACCATCTCACGTTCTTACCTGGAGTATATTTAGTTTCAACCATATAAGCACAGTCCATAGCTGCACATCAGTGAGATCCTGCTGGTGTGGGTTTATTCTATATCTCAGTGATGCTTACACCTGAGTTGCAGTGTTACTTGTGTTCTGGAATGTGTTTAGAGAATTCCAGGCTGAGTCAGTGTGCAGTTCAGGGTGAACTGTGTTGAGCATGGGGTGTTCGGTCTGGTGTGTCACTCAGCTCATCACTCCATAATCAGCTCAGAGAGTGAGTGTGCAGGTGGAGGAGAGAGCGCAGTGCGGTTGTGTGTGTGTGTGTGTGTGTGTGTGTGAAGTTGTGGTGCCGCTGGTTTCGCTGTAGTGTTCCATGGTTGGTTTAGTTAGCATGGGTTCAGTTTTGTTGTGTTTTTATGTTGTTGTGTGTTGTGTTATTATTTCAGTGCCACTCAATGTAACTTCCAGGGACAAACCAAACCACCAATCAGCAATCAGCCACATATTTATGCCTCATTATGTTAAATATTCACAAACCAGTACATGCAATCAGTCAGATGTTAATTTCAGAGTCCATTCAGAATCATTTTTATTCTATGTCTATGAATGAAGGGGATGGTGGAGCTGTTAGGGTTCTGTGCTGGTTTCGTGGTCTACAGGTTCTCCAGAACTGCAGTTGCTCTAAAGAAGAGTGGAGAAACTGCAGCTCTCTATAGAGACACACTGCATATACATCACACAGAAGAGAGGGTGGGAAAAGAGAGATAGATAGAGAGAGGTGGGTTAGACAAAGAGGTGGAGAGAAAAAAAAACTAGAGAGAGAGAGCTATAATGAGAAGTGAGAGAGAGAGAGAGAGAGAGAGAGAGAGAGAGAGAGATGTGTGGAGAGTTGCACTGCAGCAGTGAGTTGCAGTAAAAGTGCATTAGATTAACAACATCATAAAAGTTGTCCTTCAAATAAAACACAATAAAATAGAGAAAAGAGAAAGAAGAAAGAGAAAATAAGAAACAGAGAGAAGATATAAAGGGTAAGAACAAGAAAAGAGAAGAGAGAAAAAAGAAAGAGAGAGAGATGGGGGTGGAAAGAGAGAGAGAGAGAGAGAGAGAGATACAGCATTGTATATCTGCTCATTCATGTGAGTTGCTCAATAAAAGAACACACACAAACACACACTGACACAGCAGAATTGACCACACACCCACACACATACACACACACACACACACATACACACACACACACACTTTGTTCTGTAGAGTGGAGCAGCTCTGATTCCTGCTGACTGCTGCAGAACTCACACACACACAGTTTGCAGAGAGTACCACAGTTCACACAGCACTGCAGTGCACACACACACACACACACACACACACACACACAGTCATAGTGATATAGATCTCTCTCAGATTCAGACAGATTTATTCACACAGTCCTGAATTACTTTCTTCAGGCTCCACCCACACACATACTTTCACAGCTACTACTGAGGTTAGACAGGCTTTATATAAACTTACCATCCAGGCTAATATGTATATATATCACAATACCTACATTTAGAGTCAGTTATTCATTCAACCTAATGAGAAACTGTAGAACAGACTCAGTTTATATCACAATACCTACATTTAGAACCAGTTATTCATTCAACCTAATGAGAAACTGTAGAACAGACTCAGTTTATATCACAATACCTACATTTAGAGTCAGTTATTCATTCAACCTAATGAGAAACTGTAGAACAGACTCAGTTTATATCACAATACCTACATTTAGAGTCGGTTATTCATTCAATCTAATGAGAAACTGTAGAACAGACTCAGTTTATATCACAATACCTACATTTAGAGTCGGTTATTCATTCAATCTAATGAGAAACTGTAGAACAGACTCAGTTTATATCACAATACCTACATTTAGAGTCGGTTATTCATTCAATCTAATGAGAAACTGTAGAACAGACTCAGTTTATATCACAATACCTACATTTAGTGTCAGTTATTCATTCAGCCTAATGAGAAACTGTAGAACAGACTCAGTTTATATCACAATACCTACATTTAGTGTCAGTTATTCATTCAGCCTAATGAGAAACTGTAGAACAGACTCAGTTTATATCACAATACCTACATTTAGAGCCAGTTATTCATTCAGCCTAATGAGAAACTGTAGAACAGACTCAGTTTATATCACAATACCTACATTTAGAGTCGGTTATTCATTCAATCTAATGAGAAACTGTAGAACAGACTCAGTTTATATCACAATACCTACATTTAGTGTCAGTTATTCATTCAGCCTAATGAGAAACTGTAGAACAGACTCAGTTTATATCACAATACCTACAATTAGAGTCAGTTATTCATTCAACCTAATGAGAAACTGTAGAACAGACTCAGTTTATATCATAATGCCTACATTTAGAAACATACATTTAGTTATTCATCCAGTACATGTATACATATATATATAATGTACATACACTCGCAGCTGCACACCTGCACATGCTGAGACACAGATATCTTTATACCTATGGGATTATATACACTCTATCTATGTAATCTCTCTCTCTCTCTCTCTCTCTTTCTCTCCCTCTCTCTCTCTCTCTCTCTCTCTCTCTCTCTCTCTCTCTCACCATTCTGAAAGACTGTAACTCATCCCTGGAGGTTGCATGCAGTAACATTTGTGTTTTTGTTTTTGTGTTGATGTTTGTTTGTCCCTCTGTGTTTGTGTGTCCTTTTCTCTGTTTTGCTCTGTGTGTATGTGTGTGGGTGTGTGTACGTGTGTGTGTATGTGACTCTCTCACACACCCCAGTATGCGCTCCTTTAGCTCGGACAGATCCAACACCCTGAACAGGACGTCCTGTGTGAGGGACAGCATGGTGATAGAGGAGGTCATCGCTCCGACCAAAGACACGGTAAGACATACATATTTATATGTAATATATACACATATACTGTACATATACATGCCATATTTACACTTTTGGTTACATATATACGCTATACAGAGAATGCATGTATATACATTATGCACTTCATATATACACTATACACATATACATATATACACACCATTTCTGTTGGTCTGTTGAATCATGAAATTTTGACACAACGTAAAGGGCAACTGCCTTTTTCAAATTATGTAAAAAAATGAAAAACAACAAAAAAGGAGATTTTGTCCCAACAATATATACACTCGTACACATATATGTACTACATATATACACAATGAAGACTATTCATAAACACTACATACTATATGTATATATAAACATATATATATATATATATATATATATATATATATATATATATATATATATATATATATATATACAAACACTATACAGCTGCAGTACATATACGCACACTAATCATAAATGCTACACACTACATATATACACTATACACTACATATGTACATTACATACTATATAAACTATAAACATCCATACATGCACTAAACACATATGTATACACTGTAAACAGACATATATACACTATTCATCTACATGTATACACAATAAACTAAATATATACCCTGTATTCATACATATATGCTCTTTACACTACACACACACACACACACACACACACACACACATATATAGACTGTGCACATATATGTATACACAGTACAGTGCACATTAATACTATACACTACATGTATTCGCTGATGTCGGAAAAAAAACTTGCATCTCCAAAATGGTAACTTTACAGGAGAAGGAAAAAAATTACTTTACTTTTAATGTAAGTCAGTGGAACCAGAATTTTATAATATCGGGCCATTTCTTTTGGTCCATTCATCATGAAATTTACACAAAATGTTTAGGACAACAGGCATTTTCAAATCATGGTAAAAACTGAAAAACAACAAAAATGGAGATACAACGTTTGTTCCAACATCAGCAAACTATACACTTCTCATAAACACTATACCCTACACATGTACACTATACACAACACATTAAAACAATACATTGTTTAAATACACCATACTGTACATATATACACAATTCACATACAGAGACTGTAACTTTATAGACTGTGCATGTGCACTATACATTATACATATACGTGATACACACAATACACATACATGTACTTACTATATACACACTGATAAATACATAGAGAGAAAAAGACAGACAGACAGATGGTCAGACAGTCAGACGGGGAGAGAATAAGTTGTGAAATTCCGCTCTGTCAGGATTTTCCATCACATGTTTCCTGTTTGGTCTGGTTGTTTTCTTTTCCAGCAGAATTCCTTTGTGGGGCCAAAATATGTATCTGGGATCTGGAAGTATTTTTATCAGACGTGTTCTAACGCTCCCACAGACGTTGTGGAACGGGCCTTTAGAGGCCATCGCCGTTTAGTCTGTCCTTCTATCTGATGTGTGTGTGAAAAAAACTCAGCAGACTGAGGACCCAATGCTGTCTGACCTGTAAAACAGACTGAGGACTCACTGCTGTCTGACCTGTAAAACAGACTGAGGACTCACTGCTGTCTGACCTGTAGAGTAAAGACTGATGTTCTGATTTTTCTATTATTTCTGCTCTGAACACATTTCTCCAATAAAACAGCCTGGACTGCTTTCACTTCCTTTCCCGGAATTCATTTTCCTTCTTTCTTTCCTTCCAGTTTTTTAGCACTTGAATTCTATGATTTATGAGGAATGGGTTTTTTTGGGAGGATGTCCTGTTAACATTTCTTTCTTTCTTTCTTTCTTTCTTTCTTTCTTTCTTTCAGTTTAAAACACCTGAATTCTATGATTTATGACATATTATTTTTGGAGGATATACTTATGACATTTCCCCACTTCTTTCTGTCTTTCTTTCTTTCTTTCTTTCAGTATTATAGCACTTGAATTTTGTGATTTTTTAGGAATATTATTTTTGGAGGATGTACTTACAACATTTCTCCACTTTCTTTTTTCTTTCTTTCTTTCCTCCTTTCTTCCTTCCTTTTCTCTTCCTCTTTCTGCTTTAAGGCTGTTACTTTCTTGCATTAAGAGTATTGTAATTTCTTCAGAAAATGTAAATATAGTTTATTTTGTGCTTATATGAACAGTTGAAACACTTTTTTATGACTCTGTAGTTATTAAAACAATAGTTTAATGAACAGTCAGTTCTCCCAGTTAGCCAAAATGTAGTCAGTTGTTCCAGACATATTTGGTGTCTGAACTTCGCTTCTTTAGTTTTGCGTTGGAACTACGAGGCTAATGTTCAAGCAACAAGCGTTATTAGCCTTATTAGCCTCTATCAGTCTTCTGTCTGTACTTTAGTCCATGTTTATAGAGTCATACAGAGTCAAAGACCAAATTATCAGGACTATTAGAGATACTGAACACCTCCACACAGATGATTTAGGCATGCAGTTTGCTACAGTGCTAATTGTTAGCTTAGATGTTAGCTACGTCAGTCTCCAGTGCTAAACCTAAAGAAGAACTTCAGATCCAAACATGTCTTAGCTGACTGACTACATTTGTGTGAGGTGGGATGGGGAATAAAGGAATCTTCTGATCACTTTAAAGGGGACCTGTTATGCTCATTTTCTGTTACAATTGTATTTTTGCTCTACTAGAATATATTTACAGCTTCAGTGATCCAAAAACACATTATTTCTCTCATACTGTTCATCTCTACTCACCCTCTGTCTGAAATGCCCTGTTAGAGCTCCTGTGTCTTTAAGCCCCGCCTCCCAATCAGTCCAGTGTACTCTGATTGGTCAGTTCGCCCACTCTGTCCTGATCGGTCAGCCTCCAGAGTGGTTCCACCCCTCCACGTTCCACCCTTGTCCTGCAGTCTGCAGATAGACCCTTCTCTCCTGAGCAGCTGTAAACTCCGCTGTGGCTGTTTCTCCAGCAGCATCGGTTCTGCCATACCAGTTTGATCCAGAGTCGATCCTGAAAGTCCAGTCAGCGTCTTCTCCACATGGCTACAACACTGACCACACTCATCCTCCTCCAGTAGCCGCTGTGTGCTGTGTGAGGGCGTGAGCTTTGTGACCCTGCAGAATGTTTACATGCACAAAAATATACAACATACTAAAGGAAAGGAAGAAAATGGAAAAGCATAACAGGTCCTCTTTAATGTGTGAAGATCTTCAGGGGATTAGACAAAAAGCACTCTCTCCTCATCTGATCTCGCTTTTCTGGCTTTTTACTGCCTGTTGAACTGAACTTCTTTCTTCTTTCTTCTGTGTGTTTCCTCTGAAGCTGCAGAGCGTTTTTAAAGATATCTCCTACATGGTGGACCCTCAGAATAAGGTAGAACCACAAAGTCATGACCATTTTCAGCATAATCACCTCCAACAGAGTATATGTGTGTCTGTGTCTGTGTTTCCCTGTCATCCAATCACACTCATCCATCATCCAAACACACCACTGCGCTCCTTCGCTGGCCTGCTCGCTGACGTTTGTGTTTGTTCTTGTTTATAATAAACATCATTTAGCTGGAGACGCAGCCCAGGCGCTGTTTGTTTATGTATTTATTTATTTATTTATTTTTCACGTCCCTCGTCTTTATTTTTATCACTGTTTTTGGTTCCAGTTTCAGCACAGACTACTCTGATACTACAGCAGTTCAGCCCCGCCCATTCAGCCTACAGCAGTTTAGCCCCACCCATTCAGCCTATAGCAGTTTAGCCCTACCCATTCAGCCTACAGCAGTTTAGCCCGCCCATTCAGCCTACAGCAGTTTAGCCCCACCCATTCAGTCTACAGCAGTTTAGCCCCACCCATTCAGCCTACGGCAGTTTAGCCCCACCTGTTCGGCCTACAGCAGTTTAGCCCCGCCCATTCAGCCTACAGCAGTTTAGCCCCGCCCATTCAGCCTACAGCAGTTTAGCCCCACCCATTCAGCCTACAGCATTTTACCTATGCCTATTCAGCCTTTAGCAGTTTAGCCCTGCCCATTCAGCCTATAGCAGTTTAGCCCTGCCCATTCAACCTACATGAGTTTAGCCCTACCCATTGGGCCTCCAGCAGTTTAGCCCCACCCATTCAGCCTATAGCAGTTTAGCCCTGCCCATTCAACCTACATGAGTTTAGCCCCACCCATTCAGCCTACAGCAGTTTAGCCCCACCCATTCAGCCTACAGCTGTTCCCACATTCAGCAGGGTGAAGAGGTGCTGCTGGATTGTTCGTGTTCCTGCTGAACTGCCTGCATGTCAGGGTGGTGTTTATGACTAAATCATAGAGGCCTGAAATATTTAGTGTGTCTGGGTTTTATGGCTGTAGCTAAAAGTGTGATGGAGGTTTACACTGATGTCTGCATGCTGAAGAGTTTCAGCTGCATCATATGCACCATTACTGTAGCAGTCAAAAATTTGGACACACCGACTCACGGAGAGTTATTCTTTTATTCCTTTATTGCACATTGTAGAATAACTGTAAAGACAACAAAACTGCAGAATAACAAAAAACACACTGCAAAAAATGCAGGCAAGTGAAATTATTTCAATTGTAGTCGATATATGTTATATTTCTCACTTTGACATTATTGTAAGCTTATTATAAGATAATTTAACTTATTTCTAGACACTTTTTACTTGTTTAATGTGATTTTGGTCAGTCAAATTATCTCACTGTATTGGCAAATAATTTTACATGTTTCAAGCACATTTCTTAGAACAAGCAACATTATCTGCCAATATGTTGAGATAATTTGACTGACAAAATCACATTTAAACAAGTAGAAAATGTTAAGAAATAAGATAAATAATCTTATAATTAACTCATAAAAATGTCTAATTGAGAAATATTAGAAATATTGACCAGATTCACAATAATTTCACTTGCCAAGACACCAGTTTTTGCAGCGTGCGGCATTTTGCAGTGAGCAAAACTGTGTTGATGAATCCATATCGTAAAAAAAAAAAAATTACTTTGTTTCAGAATATGTAAACATTGTTTAAGGGTTTTTGTGCTTATGTTGAAAAACAACCTGTTTGGGATTTAGTGTTTTTGTGAGGTTGAAAAAAAATACAAAAAATGTAGGATATAAAGATAATTATTTAAAATTATTTTAATTATTTTAAATTATTTTAAATAATGTTTGGACCCCTAAAACCATTTAGATCTAAGGACCTAAGTGTCTTTAAAGGTCCAAACATTTTTTAAAGGTTTTACTTGTAAAATAACACACCATGTTACGTTAGAATAAATTGAAATAAACATAAATACAGCAAAAAAAAAAACACCAAGATCAGCAGTTCAGCATGTTTTTTTCCTTCTTTTCTAAAGTTACTTTTTTTGGAGATGCGAGGTTTTGCATGTGTTCATGTGTGTGTTTGTGTGTGTGTGTGTGTGTGTGCGTGTGTGTGTGTGTGTTTGCAGCAGTTGTCTGTGAGCCGTGAGCAGAATGAGTGTCTGAGACGTTACAGCTGGACTCCGGACACTGTGGACCACACACACAACACTGTGTCCAGCCCCATACACTCCGGGTAAGAGTCAGTCTGTCTGTCTGTCTGTCTGTCTGTCTGTGGACTCCAATACAGAGTCTGTATAAGATTAACTAGACTTCAGTCTGAAATAATCACCCTGTGAACGATGGACACAGTAAACATTAAGCCCTCCAGCCTCTCTATCTAAATCCTTCATGTAAATAATTTTAAAGCCAAAATTTAATTTACCCAGAGCCCCCCACCTTCCCCCGCCCCACCCAACTGCTTACTCCAAACGTAGTCAATCACAACACGTCAATCGACTACATTTAGAGTGAGGGAGAAAAGTAAAATAAAATTTTCACTGAAGTATCACTTAAAGGAATTTACAGCTACTATAAGATCTCCTTAAAGGAATTTACAGCTACTATAAGATCTCCTTAAAGGAATTTACAGCTACTATAAGATCTCCTTAAAGGAATTTACAGCTACTATAAGATCTCCTTAAAGGAATCTACAGCTACTATAAGATCTCCTTAAAGGAATCTACTGCTAGTATAAGATCTCCTTAAAGGAAACTAAAGCTACTATAAAAGCTCCTTAAAGGAATCTACAGTTACTATAAAAGCTCCTTAAAGAAATCTACAGCTACTATAAGATCTCCTTAAAGGAATCTACAGCTACTATAAAAGCTCCTTAAAGGAATCTACAGCTACTATAAGATCTCCTTAAAGGAATCTACAGCTACTATAAGATCTCCTTAAAGGAATCTTCAGCTACTATAAAAGCTCCTTAAATGAATCTACAGCTACTATAAGATCTCCTTAAAGGAATCTAAAGCTACTATAAAAGCTCCTTAAAGAAATCAACAGCTACTATAAAAGCTCCTTAAATGAATCTACAGCTACTATAAAAGCTCCTTAAAGGAATCTAAAGCTACTACAAGATCTCCTTGTAGCCTCAGCGCTAAACTACAAGAAGAATTCTCCAAGAACACTGCTATTCAATTGCCAACTTTCGTTAGCACATTAATGTTATGTTATCGCTAAGCTAACTCTGTTGTACCTTGACTTATCCTGTTTTAATGCTAGTTAGCAGTTCTGGCCTTAAATGTGAACATTTGAAGGCTGTAAAAGACCTTCAGGTAATGGTTTTTAGCTCGTACTCTGCAGATTTGCAGCTCTTTTAGTAAATATTTAAACTTAAAGCCTAACTCTGCATATAACTGCCCTGTTAGCCGGTCAGCATTCTGAGCTTGTCGTTCTTGTTGTTCTTTAACCTGCAGATTTTCCTCCTCAGAGCCAGATTGCACTAAAATATTCTACTTTGTAAAGTCTACGAATGTTTGAATGATGTTATATTTCCATTTAGACAGGGACATTGCCTGGCCACTTTATCAGAAACGCCTCTCCTGTAGCTCCACCTTGCTGGGTTCAGTTAGAGACCGTAGAACATGTGCTGATAGTTTGTGTTGAGGATGGCTAACACCAACAAAAGGCTAACAGATGAGCTGCAGACTCTACGTGTTCACCAGCAAGGCCGAGCAACAGGAGAGGTGTTTCTGATAAAGTGGCCAGGGAGTGTATAGTTACAGGCTTTGCCAAACAGAATTTTTCATTTGCTTTGATACCCAAATGCATGCTGGTCCAGTGTGGTCTGTGTTTGAGTTTTGCTGCTATCATCATGCCAATGCAAATCAAACAGTTAGTTATGAGCCATGTTTGGCTAATGATTAGCGCCGACGTTAACGGTGGAGCATTACAGAGTCTGTGTGTGGTGTTTTTCTCTGGCCAGGCGTGTTTGTGTGAAGCACACAGTGTTGTTATTGTTATTGTTGTTTGTTTTGCTCTGCTTGTTCTTCTGGTCTTATTTCTCCCGTCACTCCAGCGTCCCGTCTGGCCTTCATGTGAGCCGTGTGACCGTTACAGCGAACGCAATAATGAGTGTTTGTTTTTGCCTCCTGCACTCTTTTCTGTTCTTCTTTTCGTTTGTTTTGTTTTTGTTTTTCTTTCACAGCCCTTCCTCCCCGCTCCCCCAGTATGACTCCAGGTGAAAACTGTCTACAGTTACCTCTCTCTCTCTCTCTCTCTCTCTCTCTCTCTCTCTCTTTCTTTCTTTCTCCCTCTCCCTCTCTCTCTCTCTCTCTCTCTTTCACTCTCGCTCTTTCTCTTTTGTCTCTCTCTTTTATCTCTCTCTCTTTTATTACTTTCACTGTCTTTCTCTTTTTCCTCTCTCTCGCTCTTTCTTTTTCTCTCTCTCTTTCCCTCTTTCTTTCTTTACTCTCACTCTCTTCCCTGCTATTTCCTCCTTTTATCTCTCTCCCTTTCTCTTTCTTTTATCTGTTTCTCTCTCCCCTTCACTTTTTTAAGCTTATCCTCTTTCTTTCTTTCATTCTCATTCTTTCTTTCAGTCTCGCTCTCCATGCTCTTCTTCTTCCTGTCTTAAATCTCTCTTTCATTCTTTCTCTTTCTTTCTCTCTTTCTCCCCATTTCTCTCTCTGCACTTTCTCTTTCTCTCTTACTTTCTTTCTTTTATCTTTTGCTCTCTTTCTGTGTATGCTAACCCACACTGTGTAGTAGTAGCCATGTGATTGTGTCATTAGACATTACTGCGTTACACTGGATAGATCAGACATCACTGCAGTACACTGGTTAGATCAGACATTACTGCATTACACTAGTTAGATCAGATTTCACTGCATTACACTGGTTTGATCAGACTTTACTGCAGTTCACTGGTTAGATTAGACATTACTGCATTCAACTGGTTAAATCAGACATTACCACATTACACTGGTTAGATAAGACATTACCGCATTACACTGGTTAGATCAGACATTACTGCATTGCACTGGTTAGGTCAGACATTACCACATTACACTGGTCAGGTCAGACATTACCGCATTGCACTGGTTAGATCAGACATTACCGCATTACACTGGGTAGATCAGACATTACTGCATTTCACTGGTTAGATCAGACGTTACTGCATTACTCTGGTTAGATCAGACATCATTGTGTCACACTGGTTAGATCAGACTTCACTGCATTACACTGGTTAGATCAGACATCACTGCATTACACTGGTTAAATTAGACTTCACTGCATTGCATTGGTTAGATCAGACATTGCCACATTACACTGGTTAGATCAGACTTTACTGTCAGTGTTAAATGCTTTGTTAACAGTTAGCAGTCACTCCTTTTCTTATATTCACTGACACTGTAGGTTTCCTCCTTTCTGATTAACAGAATTTTTTATTTTCTGGGTTTCTCATCTGTAAAGGTGTAGCTGATCACACTGTTGATCAGTGATCGCCGCTTCGAAACCATTGATCTTGGCAGTAATTAGATTCTGATGATTTTAGACACAATAGCAGGAGATCATTCTGACAGGTGATCATTCTACAGATCAGACTCAGAATGCTGCCAGGTTTAACAGCTCGAAGCAACGTTGCTCCTTTTCTCCTTTTGCTCTTTTTCTTTTCTTCTTCACTTTTACACTGTCTGTTCTGTCTGTTTTATCTCTCTCTCCGTCTCTCTCTCTCTTTCTCTCTCCCTCCTCGTGTTGGTGGTTCAGTGGTGCAGCATGGGAATCGTCACTAATCAGTGTTTGTGTCGTGGGTTAGCGTGGTGTCTCTCTCTCTCTCTTTCTCTTTCTCTTGTTCTCTCTCTCTCTAACTCGTCCCTTCGCTCTCTCTTTGCAGGTTCCTAGTGAGTTTCATGGTGGATGCTAGGGGCGGGTCCATGAGAGGAAGTCGCCATGACGGCATGCGCATCATCATCCCGCCCAGGAAGTGCCCGGCGCCCACACGGATCACCTGCCGCCTGGCCAAACGCCACAGGCTGGCATACCCACCCCCCATGGTGGAGGGGGAGGGGCTGGTGAGCAGGCTGGTGGAGGTGGGGCCAGCCGGAGCTCACTTTCTGGGGTAAGAACAGCGGCCATGTCAGAGCATACGAACCACGATCAGCATCTAAAGTGATACTCTTCTCACTTCTGTTCGCTCTCTGCTGATGTTCATGTTAACCTGTTCTAGATCCCTGTACCGGTATCGGCACACTTCCCTTAACTTCTGCTTTATATACATCATTTTGTTGCATCAAGGATACGATTCCCGCAAACCATTTTATAATCCGTTACAATCGTCTCATTTGCAGCATAAGCACCAAATGAGCAAATGCCAGCAAATCTGTGTGCCCACACCATCAGAGCCTCACCACTCTCCACAGAGACACCATAATCCAAAACATGTGGTCTGAGAACACGGCAGGAGTCAGAGATCAGTTTAGAGATCTGTGAGTCTGGAGGAAATAAACTCCTCCAATCTAGAGGAGGGTTTCCTTTCAAATGAGACCAAGATCATGACTGCAGCCCAAACTATGTGGGAACTGCGCCCCCTTTACTTTGGGTTTGTTGCTTCAGGCAAAAACAGGGCAATAGATAAAAGGCTAAAGCAAAATGTCAAACTTATCCAGTTCCCCCACCCTTACTTCAAACGTAGTCGATCAGCCAAGACTTGTTTGGTGTCTGAAGTTTGCTTCTTTTGTTTTAGCACTGGAGCTATAAGGCTAATGTAGCTAACAAGCAGTGGAAGCTAAAGCCCCATCATTTAGCCAAAAAACAGTAGTAGCCGCCATATTGAGGACTTCATTTTGCTTTAGATTTGCATTTGAATGTAGCTTCCATGAGATCCACAAGTAGTGCATCATTTTTCAAAAATTTTACATATTTAACATGGTATTTGTTTAGCTGGCTTTGAGGTTATTACACAACAGCTTATTACAGTCTAGCAGATACCACTGTTACAACACATGAAACTGGAACTTTTATTATTTCATAGATGAAAACTTTGGATATTTTAAAGATATATTGACCACCAGATTGGAAATGTGCCCGGTTTTGATTTCTGAAATCTGGTCACCTTAATTTATTAGACATTGGAACGCTATTCAAAGTGCATACTTTGTACATACTGTGCACCTGCAAGGAAATACAGGTTCCCTGGGATTTTGAAAGTCAGTTAATTTCACCACGGTATTGAAAAATCAGGGAAAAAGTGTAACCATGTCGCTAATATACCCATTGCTGTGTTCTCAGGGTCTCGGATTGGTTGCCAAAGCATCTGTGTATAATAGAATAATAGAAGCTCTGTAGAATCAGGAACAGAACCTCAGAACTTTGTCAAATCTGAATATATATGTATGGGTGCACCGCTACTAACAGCATCTCATACAACGTCAACAGCCACATAATCGTTTGAGGCAAGTGATGATGTAGGCATGCTGTTAGCACCATGCTAATCGATGGGGTATACGTTTTCATTTTTTAACCACATTAGCCTCTAGTTTCAAAGCTAAAACAAAAGAAGCAAACTTCAGACACCAAACATGTCTTGGCTGGTGGACTACATTTGGGATAAGGAGGGAACCTCTGCTTTAATGCTATCCTTTGGTCAAGGTAGTTATCTGTGTACACAAGACATTTAAAGGCATTTGGCATCATATTCTAACAGGCTGGTGCTGGTATAGCAGGCTCACTCTGCTGTACTCCCAGCCTGTGAGGGTTTCAGCTTTCTGTTTTGGCCCAGCAGTCACAGCTGAGGTGCAGCAGTTTCATATTTCTCTGTTTTTATTTCGCAGGCCGGTCATTGTGGAGATCCCCCATTTCGGCTCCATGCGTGAGAAGGAGCGCGAGCTGATCGTTCTGCGCAGTGACAACGGCGACACCTGGAAGGAGCATCACTACGACTGCCGAGGAGAGGACCTGACAGCTCTGCTCAACGGCATGGACGAGGGTAAACAACAGTGTAATAAACAACAATCACTCGGATGAAACAGCCTCAAAATGAAACGTTTTTACAGTTAAATACCTTAAAGAGCCCCCTAGAGGAATGTATTTATAATTACATACTCTAATGCACCCCCTAGGGGAATGTTTTAGTAGTTACATACTCAAATGCGCCCCCCCCTAGAGGAATGTTTTTATAATTACATACTCTAATGAGCCCCCTTATAAGAATGTTTTAGTTACATACTGTAATGCGCCCCCTAGAGGAATGCATTTGCATTTACATACTCTTATGCGCCCCCTAGAGGAATGTTTTTACAGTTTCATACTCTAATGCACCCCTTAGAGTAATGTTTTAGCAGTTACATACTCTAATGCACCCCTTAGAGTAATGTTTTAGTAGTTACATACTCTAATGCGCCCCTAGAGGAATGTTTTAGCAGTTACATACTCTAATGCACCCCCAAAGGTATGTTTTTACAGTGTTGTACTGTAATCTGCCCCCTAGAGGAATGTTTTTTACAGTTTCGTACTCTAATCTGCTCCCTAGAGGAATGTTTTTTACGGTTTCGTACTCTAATCTGCTCCCTAGAGGAATGTTTTTACAGTTTCGTACTCTAATGCACCCCCTAGAGTAACGTTTTAGCAGTGACATACTCTAATGCGCCCCCTAAAGGAATGTATTTGTAGTGACATACTCTAATGCCCCTCTGCAGGATTATGTTTAGCAGTACGTGTTCACTATGAGTTACTTCGTCGATAGTTTGGCGTTAGGCCCTTCCGTGCCCCTTAAAGTATGTGCCCATTGTTTAAAGGTGTTTGTTTTTTTACAGAGCTGGACAGCCCAGCTGAGCTGGAGAAAAAGCGAATTTGCCGCATCATCACTAAAGATTTCCCACAGTACTTTGCGGTGGTGTCCCGCATTAAGCAGGAGAGTGACCACATGGGTCCGGAGGGCGGAGTCCTGACCAGTGAGGCAGTTCCCATGGTGAGGGCCGCCTTTCCTCCTGGAGCACTCACCAAGAAGATCCGTGTTGGCCTACAGGTACATACACACCCACATGGAGTCCTGCATGTGCACATTTCTGCCTCAGTTCTACTGAGTGCTTAAAATAAAATACTAAAATGTTATCTAACCCCCATCCCTCCCTCCCCAGGCCCAGCCTGTGCCGGAGGAAGTGGTGTGGAGTGTGATTGGGAACAGAGCGTCTTTCAGCCCCATCGTTACTGTGGAGCCCCGCAGGAGGAAGTTCCATAAACCCATCACCATGACGATCCCCGTCCCTCCCAGAGCAAAGGAGGCAGCGGCTAATGGCCGCAAAGGTGACCCCGCCCCCTGCCTGAGACTGCTCTGCAGCATCACAGGTACCAGAGGGAGAGAGAGAGAGAGAGAGAAAGAGAAAGAGAGAGAGAGAGAGAGAGAGAGAGATATTATACCACATTTAATCAAATAAATTTGTTTTATTATTGTCATTAAAATGTTTTGCATAGCATTGTGTCGATCAGTTTGTGTTGGATATCAGTGCTGAGTCACTAACAATTAAACAGGTGTAAAAAACTTCATTAATCATGAGTATTTGAGTTCTAGTTCAGAAGATTTGTGCTTTACTTGAGTATTATTGAAAGTGAACAGTCATTCATTTTCCTTTAGAGCTTCAAAGTAACAAATCTCAGTCCTGCAGTTGAGGGTTAAAACACACTGACTGCAGCACTGGGTGATGTATCATCTACACTAGTCTAATCTGATTTTGTTTTTTACATATGATGAATAATGAACATTATGTCTATGCTATGATGCCCTTAAAACCGCAGTGTTCCTGTTACTGAGCAGTTTTTCTGTTGTTTTGTGAGCTGTACCTGCAGTTTACTGCAGTGTCATTTACTGAGTGCTTCAGATTGTTTTAAAGAACAGTTTAAATTGAATAAAAATGTAAATGTGTTTCTGTCTGGTTGAAGTTTGCAACACTGTGTAAGATTCTCTTCTGTGTAATTTTAACAGAAGACAACAGAACAACACAGTCCAATTAATACAAACTTAGACGATCTTCTCTTAGTGTAGAGCAGCACTCAGAAAGCACAAGCTCATTAACTTTATTAATGCTGACTTATTAACTTTATTAATACGGACTTACTAACTTTATTAATACTGACTTATTAACATTATTAATGCTAATTCATTAAATATATTAAAGCTAATATATTAAATTCTTGAATACTGACTTATTAACTTTATTAATATTTATTAATGCTAACATTAACTTTATTAATACTAATTCAAGTGTCATCTGATATTGTGAAAATATGATATATTTGAAAAAATTATTCATGATACTGAATTTGATCAATATCACCGAGCCCTAACTGTGTACTGTGTGTAGGTATTGTATGTATGTATTGTTTTATATGTATTAAATAATTTTAGGCCTGTGTGTTTATATGAGCTTTTTAAATGCTCTGCATGTTTGTGTTTAGGGGGCACATCTCCAGCTCAGTGGGAGGACATCACTGGAACCACTCCACTGTCCTTCGTCACCGACTGCGTCTCATTCACCACTAATGTTTCAGCCAGGTAATACCCAAATACGTATATATATATACACCATATTTGCCACCTTCATTCAAACATGTAAACAGTGAAGAGCGTCAGTGGAGATGATCTCAGCTCTGCGCGCTGCCGCTGTGTTTAGATTGTGCTGATTCACGGTTTATTTCAGTCGTGAACAGCAGCAGCTTCTGCAGCATCACTGCCTGCTGATTCAGCCTGTTGCCTAGCAACACACATCTCTGTGAGTGGGTTTAAACATTGTGCTTTTGAAAGGCAGTGAGATAGTGCTGGTAATGCTGTGGAACTGCAGTGAAATGGTAATGATAGGAATGCAGTGGGATACTAGTGGAAATGCAGTGGGATAGTGATCGGAGTGCAGTTGAAAACTGATGGGAGTGCAGTCAGATAGTGATGAGGATGCATGGAGATACTGATGGGAAGGCTGTGAAACACTGATATGAATGCAGTGAAATAGTGACTGAAGTGCTGTGAGAAAGTGATAGTGGTTGGCATACAATGAGATACAAATGGAAATGCAGTGAGACAGTGGTAGTAATGGAGTGAAACAGTGATGGAAATGTTGTGAAATGTTGGGAATCCAGTGAAAAACTGATGGTAATGCGGTGAGACAGTGATGGGAATGCTATGAGATAGTAATGGGAGTGCAGTGGTAAACTAATGGTTATGCAGTTAATATTTGAAGGGAATGCAGTGAGATGCTGATGGGAATCCAGTGAAAAACTGATGGTAATGCGGTGAGACAGTGATGGGAATGCTGTGAGATAGTGATGGGAATGCAGTGAGATAGTGATGGGAATGCAGTGATAAGTTGATGGGACTGCAGTGAGATAGTGATGAGAATGCAGTGATAAATTGATGGGAGTGCAGTGAGATAGTGATGGGAATGCGGTGATAAACTGATGGGAATGCAGTAAGAAACTGATGGGAATGCAGTGAGATAGTGATGGAAAAGCTGTGAAATATTGATTGGGATACAGTGCAGCACTAATGGTAATGTGATGTGATCCATTTAAAGAGCTGCACTGAGATTGTTGGGAATCTGATGTTCTAAGCAGAGGCAGTTTTTTCTCAGGCTTTTGCTGAGAGCTGTTTCCAGAAGCTGCTCAAGCTTCACATAAACGGTACATCTTATTCAACAAGGACAAAAGCGTTTGGTCTTTTCGTATAAACAGTGACCGTGGTCATTACCACAGTGTCCTCTTCTGTTTAACTAAAATGGATGGTGTTTAAATTTCATAACTAGCGCTTATGAAAACATTTTAGTGTCACTTCACATTGTTTTAATCTAATCTGCTAAACATTCACTTTCTGACTCATTTCCCCTCCTGGCTTCCTGCTCGCTCTCTCTCTCTCTCTCTCTCTCTCTCTCTCCCTCCCTCTCTCTCTCTCTCTCTCTCTCTCTCTCTCTGTCTCTGTCTGTCTCTCTCTCTCTAGGTTCTGGTTGGCAGACTGTCAGCAGGTCAGTGAGACGGTTGCCCTGGCGACCCCTCTGTATCGTGAGTTGATCTGCGTGCCATATTTGGCGAAGTTCGTGGTGTTTGCGAAGCCGATCGACCCGATGGAGGCACGACTGCGCTGCTTCTGCATGACCGACGATAAAGTGGACAAAACTCTGGAGCAGCAGGAGAACTTTGAGGAAGTGGCCAGGAGCAAAGACATCGAGGTATGGAAGAACAGCTACACACAGCGTATTACACACACAGCTTATAATGTGAAATGTAAAATTACAGAAACATTAGCCAAACTCTTTTTTGATTGGTCCTGTTTCTTTGATTGACAGATCCTGGAGGGAAAGCCCATCTATGTGGATTGCTATGGTAACCTTGCACCCATAAGCAAGAGCAGCCAGCAGCTCATCTTCACCTTCTACGCCTTCAAAGAGAACCGACTGCCTTTCAACGTCAAGGTGTGTGAGTGTGTGTGTGTGTATGTTCTTACAGAGTGGATGCCATAATTTCTTTGTTGGCGTATTAATAAATACGTAGCCTAATAATATTGATAACTGTTCTAATACTAATAACTGTTATGGCAATATTATGACTTTAGAATATAGACCAAGTTCATGTATTGTGATTATATTGCTACATATTGTAATTGTATTGCTAGACATAACAATTATATTGTGATTTTGTTGCAATAGTTTGTACTACATTGATGCATATTGCAATTATATCGCTGCATCTTGTGATTCTATTGCTGCATATTATGATTATATTACTACATATTGTGATAATATTGCAAGACATTGCAGTTATATTGTGATTATATTGCAATATTTTGCTACTACATTGCTAAATAATGCCATTATATTGCTGTATCTTGTGATTATGTTGTAATTACTTTGTTACATATTGCGATTATATTGCTACATATTGCTCTAATATGGCAATATTGCGACTGTATTGCTACATATTTTGATAATTCTGCTACATATTGTGATTGTGATATACCTTCCAGCAGTAAATATATAATGTTCATAATTAAGACTAACATGCTTATTTATTTTAGCCAAAATAATGTAATGTAACGTAGCGTAACTCATTTTGAACTGTGATTAGTCAGGATGCTCACAGCACACTGTAAGCATCACTGTATTTGGCTCATATGTATTTTAGAGCCTTTTGCAATATGTAAAGACTGTAAATCACGATAGTGAATAATAAACAATGTGATCTTCAGTGTGATCAGAAGTGTGTTTGTGTGCAGGTACGCGACGTTGGGCAGGAGGCGTGTGGGAGACTCTCGTTCCTCAAAGAGCCGAAGAGCACTAAAGGTCTTCCACACTGCGCCATCTGCAACCTCAACTTTACACTGCCAACCCACAGGAAGGTACTGTACACACACACACACACACACACACACACTCCCAGGCCTGTGCACAGATATATTAGGGGTCAGGGGCTCAAGATAGAAAGTGCAACATGAAACTTAATGAAGTTATTCAAAGAAGGTTGGGGGGGCTCTGGCCTCCTAACTCCGAGCAGAAGCCTCCCAAAACTCCAGCTCAAGTTCTCAGAGTTCTCTCCCCTCCCTCAATCAGTCTCCCCCCACACTACCACTGTACGCTGCAGGCATGGTCCAAACTCGACAAACACTCTACTTAGAGTCTGTCAGACCCGTTTATACCTGCTCGATTGTGACGAGTATCTGGATGGTCACCTGATATGATTTAAACCACGTGTTTACACTTGCTAATCAAATGCGTCTCCGGTTAGTCGGACTGAAATTCGTTTGCTATGTGGCGCAAAATAGGCAAATCAGCTCATATGCAACAATTCTGATTATATTGCTGCATTTAATGATTATAGTTTCATTATCGTTATATTCCGATTATATTATAATTATATTGCTACAATATTGCTACATGACATGACTATAGTGTGACTATATATTGCCATATGTTTCAGTTATACTTGCAGCTATTCAACAACCAATCGCCTGTGTTGCTCCTCATTTTCCAGTTCTATTCACAATTGTGTACAGTGTTAATCATTTCCTTACACCATCAATCAATATTTACGAGAAGACGACTTTCGCAGGGCCAAGTGGGTTAAATCCCCGCCCCCCCCCACAATCTGTCTGTGCACACGTCTGTACCTACTTATTACAGTGTGTCACGACTCTGAGCTTTGATGCAGATAAATCAGCGCTGTTTCTGTTGCAGCTACAGCTTTAATTTGCCACTAAAAGCTTTTTCTTAATCTCTCTCTCCCTCTATTCTCATTTCTTCTCTTCTCCTCTCTTTTCTTCTCTTCTTATGTCTTCTCTCTTTGTTCTTCTCTCTTCTCCTCTCCTCTCCTCTCCTTTCCTCTCTTCTCTTCTTATCTCTTCTCTCCTCTGTTCTCCTCTTTTTTTTTCTCTACATGTTTTCTTCCCTTTTCTTCTCTTCTCTTCTCTTTCTTCTCTTCTCTTCTCTTCTCTTCTCTTCTAACCTTGCTGCTATAACGCTGGACCGCTGCTGCTCCATTACCTACTATCACAATGCATCATGGGAAATGTAGGAGATGGAGTCGGATCCTGATGATGAGGTAATGATGGCGTCAATCTTCCGCTTTGGCATTCTGTGTAATCCATACGCTAGTAGCTATTTTAAGACATCGCCATGGTGACGCGCTCCTTCTTTGTGATTGGTCAGAGGCTTTTTTTCTCCAGATCATTCATTGGTTGACATGATACGGACCCTAGTTTTACTGCATGATCTGTGTTTAGCAGTGAGTTGAAATCAGCTGGTTTGCTTAAGTTATTACTTTTTGTTTTTTTGTTTTTTTCTATATTTCAGTATTTTCCAGTGTGGTTATTTTTTCTGGTATGTTTGATGATTTAAAGAGTTTTCATCAAGACCTTTGACACAATGGAGAAAAACAAATTGGTTTGGGATTAGAATGAAATTTCTCACAGCATTAGAGTGAAACTCAACACTTCATGAAAATATGCAACACAATAATAATAGAGAGCTGAATTTAAGACAAAAAAAAAATGAACTGAATCTCTCACTGTTTCGTCTTTTGTATCTTTGTTTTATACACTCTTAAAAAAGATGGTTCTTCAATGGTCCTTTAATAAAGACAGTGGTTCTATATAGAACCATGAAGACTCAAAGAGCCATTTGCATAATTAAAAGATTCTCTGCGTGGTGAAATGGTTCTTCAGATAGATGGAGAATGTACTGTATATAGCACCAAAAAACGTTCTGCTATTGTTACGATGTCAAGCTTGTATACAAAAGAAAAACGCTTTTTAGTGCTACATAGAACCCTTTTCAAAATGTTTCTTTATAGAACCATCTACAGCACATTGTCCATCAATCTGAAGAACAATTTTACCATGCAGAGAACCATTTAATCATACAAATGGCTCTTTGAGTGTTCATGGTTCCATATAAAACCATTGTCTTTACTAAAGAACGACTGAAGAACCATCTAACACTTAGAGTGTGGAAGCCGCTGGTCCTTTTTTGCCAGCTACATGTTTTATTTCTTGACCGTAAGTCATCAGAGCTGAGGAAAGGCTTGGATGAGTCACCGTGTCTCCTCATTGTTTAGTCAGTCGAGGCTCGGAGCTGAATTAGCTAATGATACTGAACACAATGTCACATAGACGGTCATCTGGCATTAACTAAATCAAAAGGACGCAGCGTTCAGTAAGGCTACTACAGTAAAAATCCCCTTAAAACTCCAGCTTTCTTACTACATGATTTCTACAGTACTGTGCAAATGTCAGAGACCCTTTATTTGTGTAACCCTCTGGGGTCCACAAACTCACCCGTGCATCAAATTCAATGTTTCTGTATCTGTGCCTGTATCTTTGTGATAATCCAGCACAGAAATTCAGTTCAAACACTTCCTGAATCTGTAGAGTCGCCCTTTCCATTCCATCTTATCACAGATCATACATGACTCACATCCAGAGTTATGAGCCTATAAAGAGGGGCTGAGATACACGTCATCTGCCTCTCACCGTGTGGAACTGGTGGATTCGTGTGTCCGTCCACATTCTGTGTGAAACTGACCAATGGACACTTAGGAAATCACTAAGGACTGACCCATTATGCCGGAAACCCTTCATACTTCATTCAGTCCTCATTGGAGACTCGTGTGAAATGGCGTGCAGAAAGTTTACAGCTGCTGAAGTTGCTGCAGTGGTTTTGGAAAGAAGTGATGAAGATAATAGAGCGTTTTGATATGAAACCTTTGAGTATCATGTTATATGAAGAGCCTTTAAAGGAGAGTTTAAGAAGATATTAACAAATCAAGAAAATGACCTTAGATCCCTGTGGTTTAACATCCAGTCAAAACAGCCATTGAGTACCAGTTATTGATTTTTCAGGAGATGATTAGATATAAAATAGTCCACATGCATGAGGAAGGGAAAGGCAGTAAGAACAAATCAAACAAAGAAGCTGCTGGTGTTCTCAGAACAATGGACTGACCACCCCAGAGTCCAGCCCTGAACATCACTGAATAGGTTTGGGACTACTTGGATGCAAAACCAACTTCTAAAGCACTATTGGGACGGGATTCGTTTTTCATGGGTAATGTTTATCACCGATTCAAATGGGATTAGAAATCTCAGTAAAAATGACAGAGATGGAAGTGGCTACTTGATTTACTCTCCGCCTTCACTCCAGAAACAAGTAGAAAACATGCTGAAACATTTAATTTATCTATTATACAGTTCAACCTAACCATATGTCCTACTTAAGTGAATGCACTGGTCATTAGCTTAGGAACTCACAGCCAACAGTCAACATAACAGTTTAAAATCAAACATTTTAGCTCTCATTTGTGCGTTTTAATGCTCTGAGCTGTTCATTTGAGGAGGATGAGACATATCAGCTTTATTTTAGCCAGGATTAAAATAACCTGAGGTTATTTTTACTGCTCGTTTTATAGAAGGTAAAAGGTATCGCAGTCTTTACTGAAACATGAGCAAAAATGACCAACTTGATGCACTCAGATGGGACTAAAATCACTGAGAAACTCCTGTAAAAGTTACATTAACTCACCTCTTTCTGTAAAACTGACCCTGTCCAAATGGTGCTTTGGACTGAAAGAATAGAAGCTGCAATAAGGGGGGGACACACTAAACACTGAAACTTCTTATGTTAAATTTAATTGTTGTGTAATTTTCTGTCAAATATGTTTTTTTCTGCTTTTTTCCTGATGCTCAAAAAAGAATTTTGTACTCAAAGAACTTGTATTTTGGCGATAAATTGGGGTGGTCTCTTTTGCACAGTACTGTATAGTGTTCTACTACTATACTGGTTCTCAACATGGTCTTTGGGGCCCACCAGATGATTCCACATTTCTGATATAACCATCACGCAGATCTCAAGGCCACAAGATACATATGATGCGAACTGCCAGATCAATATTCCAATGAAATATATGAACTTTCAAGTATAGCTGAGCTTCCTTTATAGTGGAAATTCCAGATCGATTAAACCTCCAAGTATCCGAGAGCTTGAATCAACAATGGAACAACAGTGAAAACTGTGTAGTGTCAAACAGACAATTATTTTTATTTTTTTGTAAATTTGTTGAATTAAACATTTAGTGATGAAGTAGATACATGCAAATACATAGAGCAGTTGACAGAATAACTTCAGTTCCGAGTCAGTCTGTTCTCTTATAGCCTTTTTCTTTTCCTGTTATTACAGAATGACAACAAAGATCGACGTCATACCTTTGCTTCGTTTGCGTTACGAAAGCGCTACAGCTATCTGACCGACCCTGCGTCCAGTGAGTTTCAAACTTTCTTCTCCATTTCTTCAGCTAGTTTGCAGTACAGATAAGGTGTTGTATAAAGTCTGTAATGAGATTTGGTGAATAAGAATTTGGGATAGAAAATGAAGCCTTCAATTCAGATCAGCATAAATGAAAACCATTTTTTGCCTCTGTTCTGTCATCATATTTTTCTGGAGTTTTGTTTTTCTGTTGTATTTCACATCATTCCTTCTCATTTTGCTCAGTATTCAGTTATTTCTGTTTTGCATGTTTCGTGAATCAGTTTTGCATTGTATTATTTCACATTTTACACTTTTTATGTTGAATAAAAACACTTTTGCTATTTCATTGTCATTGTCATTATTATATCTTTGCGTCTCTTCTTGCTGACGAATCCCTTTCTGACATTTTGTTATAATTTCTTTATGTTTATATGTAAGTGTTTTGTACAGTCTGCCTACATTTCACAGTTGTATTTGTGGTTTTCTTTTGCATCCTCTTTGTTCATTTACATTTATTATTTTCCAGGAATTTTTTTTTCATTTTTTGTCACCATCAACTTAGGTGCTTTTATTATTTCTAATGATGATCTATGACAACAGTTTCCAATTGTTGCTATTTGCTGGCACACCTTGACTAACCTTTCTGACTAAACTTCCTTCGTGTCTCTCTGTTTTCTCTCTTTTAACAATTTCTGTTCATTTTTATGTTACGTTCGTTAATTTGCTTATGTTAGAAACAGCTGAAAGAGGCCACAACGCCACTCCGAAAACCACGTCGCAGCCTTCTGGCTACGCTTACAAGCCTGTCTTTACGACACGCTCCTACCAGGCTTGGGCGACCAGCCCGCCCGTCAGCGCCACCGGACAGGCCAAGTCCGGCTTTGGCTCCCTCTCCAGCTCCTCCTCCAACACCCCCTCTGCCTCCCCACTGAGATCCGTGTGGTCTGTAAACTCTGCCTCCCCCATCAGATCAGTCATCGGAGGCTCACCTGCATCCTCCATCAAATCTGCCAGTGATGTTGCGTCACCGATACGCTCCTACAGAACCATCTCGTCTCCGATAAAGACAGTTGTGCAGCAAGCCCAGTATCCAGTCCAGGCTTCCCCAACCCTCCTTTCATCCCCAGGGAAGAACACTCCTGACTCTGTCTCTGTAAAAGGCCTGGCAGCCCTTTCTGCCAGAACCTCTCCGGTTCCTGCTGGGGGTTCACTTCTAGAGAGATCCTCCATCGCTATGACACCCCCTGCTTCACCCAAGTCCTCTCTGAACATGTATAACTCCAGTTTACCCTATAAATCTGTCATAACCTCAAATGCTCCATCAACCGGTTCCCCCATTAAAACTGTCCCAGGCCTCTCCTCAATCCGAACAACTGATGCTTCCAGCTCCCACAGGGGATTCCTCAGTTCCCTTTCCTCACCACTTAAAACCAACTCCAGCTCCAGTGCAGCAGCCTTGATCAATGGGACGGTTTCACCCACTAAGTACCGCTCCTCCTCCCCCAATTCACTAATGTCTGGCACCCTACAGGAGAGGATACAGGCTACAACCAATGCTGCCACCACCAGTGTAAATGCTGCCTTCGATGAAGTGGAGAAGACGCTAAACTCCTGCTCTGCAGGTTACGGCACACTCAAGTCTATGTCGTCCTCTCCATCTTCCTCCTATCAGTCCATCCGGTCCTCAGGTTCCAGCTCCATTTATGCCTCCCTTAGATCCCCTCCCAACTCCACCACCTCTGTTACGTGCAGCACAATCACAGTGCCTGTTTACTCAGTCATAAACGTTTTGCCAGAACACCAGTTTAAAAAGCTTCCAGATATATCCAAATCAACAGCAGCTCTCTTGTCCCCCAGAAAGACCATGCCCCCAGAGGCCAATGCCCAAACACAGTCTTCCTTTGCCAAAACTCTGTCTCCAGTGAAAACGCCTTTGTTCATGTCCCCTGCAGCCCTCAAGTCCACCTCCCCATCCCCTCTGTCCAACAGTCAAGAGATACTGAAGGATGTTGCTGAAATGAAGGAGGATCTAATTCGAATGTCAGCCATTTTGCAAACTGACGCAAGTTCTGTCTCCAAAAACTTCCGCTCTGACTCTCCTAAAGAGCATAAGATGGAAGATGAGGAACCATACAGGATTGTAGAGAAAGTCAAACAAGACTTGGTCAAAGTTAGTGAGATACTAACCAAGGATGTTCTGAGGGAGAGTAAAGCAAACATCAAAAACAGCAAGGTTGAAGAAGATCTAGAGGATGACATCGATGACATCCAGCAAAATGGATGGAGGTGCCCCCCTCGGTATGAGACAGTGGCACCTCAATCCAAAACAAAAAACATTCCTGACAGAGACTTTAACTTAGCAAAGGTAGTGGACTACCTGACCAATGACATTGGCACAAGCTCCTTGTCGAAAATTGTAGAAGCAAAACAGACAAGAGAGGAAGTGAGGAGAGAGGGAGAGGAGAAACAGAAGCGTGTCTTAAAACCTGCCATTGCGGTTCAAGAGCACAAGCTCAAAATGCCGCCCTCAAACATGCACCCATCCCCCTCGGAGAAAGGAGCTTTGTAAGCTAGCAGATACATTGTTTGGAACAGATGTGGTTCTTGACTCCCCAGATGACATCTCTCATGACCAAGATAAAAGTCCGCTGTCAGACAGTGGGTTTGAGACTCGGAGTGAGAGGACTCCTTCAGCCCCTCAGAGTGCTGAAGGAATGGGGCCCAAAGCTCTGTTCCAGGAAATCCCACCAGTCATCACTGAAACACGGACTGAGGTTGTACACGTTATACGGAGCTACGAGCCTCCAGAAGACTCCAAGGAGCCTGTAATGGAGGAGGTTAGGATGGCAAAACCTCCAGCCCGATGCGTTGACCCAGAGCCTAGATCACCAGGTGGCTCAATCAAGGAGAGAGTGAAAGCATACCAAGCCAGAACAAATCCAGAGGAAGACATGGTGGGCAAAGGCATGCGGCTCAAAGAAGAGACTCATATTACAACCACTACGCGAATGGTGTATCACAAACCACCAAGTAAAGAGGCTACATCAGAGAGACTTGAGGAGACCATGTCTGTAAGAGACATCATGAAAGCCTTTCAGTCAGGCCGAGATCCATCCAGAGAGATAACTGGCTTGTTTGAGCACAAAGGCAGCATTGAGGGAGTGGACCAATCTCAGAGGCCTCTGGATAGAGACTCAATGCCCAAAGTGGAGCGCATCATCGAGGTTCACATTGAGAAAGGAAATAAGACCGAACCAACAGAGGTCATCATTAGGCAAACCAAAAATCACCCTGAGAAAGAAATGTACATTTACCAAAGCAGTGGTGGAATGAAGGAGCTTCAAAACAAAGAGGAAATTGAACAGCAGGAGGAGCAAGAGCCTGAAGAATCCCTGCCCTGCTATTTGGACTCCTCCAGAGTGAACACACCTGTCTTTCAGGAGGATGACAGCTCTGCCCAGCTAATGGGTGATGACTCGTACAAAACTCTGAAACTACTTAGTCAGCACTCAGTGGAATACCATGAGGAAGAATCGGCAGATACGAGGGGAGAGTCATACAAATTTGCAGAGAAAATGCTCTTCTCTGAGAAATTTGACTCTTCTCATTCTGACTCGGATGAATCTGTGATTGATCGATCTCGTTACTATGAAGAGGGAACACACAGTGGCTCAATGAGAGAATTCATGCTCAAACCTGACAAGCAAGGCACAGCCTCAAAGGACAGTGAAAACTATGACAAGCAAACTTTGCTGCAGTATGCTTCCGATCCTGGTAGTCCTAAAAAGCCCTTTTGGACAAGAGCATCTGAAGACAGACAGAATAAAAACAGAGACAAAATGATATATGAGGACAGAGTAGACAGAACTGTCAAAGAAGCAGAGGAGAAGCTTAGTGAAGTGTCACAGTTTTTCCGTGATAAAACAGAGAAATTGAACGATGAGCTCCACTCCCCTGAAAAGAAGCATCGTAGGCCAGATGCTCGAGAGACTAGATCTGGACCTAGTTCTACCTGCAGCAGCCCTGAGAGATCAGTGTTTAGGAATGGAGGGAGTGGAGAAGAGTGGAGCAGAGATAGGTTCAGAGACAAGTATGGTGCTCATGACCGGAAGTGTGCCAGCCTTCCTAGCAGCCCAGAAAGACGTGCTTTGCTTCTATACAATGATGATAATGGAAAACAAGGTGACTGCTCATCAGCAAGTAGTGCAAGCGAGTCTTCTAAATACCACCAACCCTCAACATCCAAGGTTAGTTCAGTTAGGATGAAATTTGAAGCAGAAGCTCAAAAGCAAGATAAGGGGCCCCAGTGGGATCAAACCTCTGGATCTCCAGTAAGGAAGCTACAGGAAAGTAAATTGCCTGTTTATCAAGTTTTTGCGGGGGGCAATCTCCCCAAATCATCAGACACTTCCAAAGGTGAGCATAGCCCAAAGAAAGTTCTAGAAAGTGAGAGTGGGCAAACTTATAATGTCAGGAGAGCCCAAGCACTTGCTGATAGAAATAGAAATGTGTCAGATAACACCAGCCCAAAACATCAGAAAAGTGTTCACAGCAAAGAGCAAGATGTAGATAAAGATCGGAAGATTTACAAAACTTGGGAAAGTCACGGCAATGGACAGCATAAAACGCCAAAGTCAAAAATGTCTCACACCCTAGTTCAAGATGCTATGGTTGATAGTGAAGAGAACAGAAATTCCACTAAAGGAGAAACAACCAAAAAGATCATATATACAGAGCTAGTGATTCGAGAAGACCCCAGCAGCCCTGAGAAATACAGTGGTTCTCTAAAAAAAAACTCGGAATCACAAATTCCTGTTAGGGTTTCATCTAGTTTTATAGACCATCACCAAAGTAGTACTTTAAAGCTAGATTCATCTGTTAAATCTGATGGAGTAGGGTCCCACATACCAACATTAGATAGAAGTGAGCACCACTGTAGTTCTGATGCAAACAAATCATCTAGTGATGTGTTGTCAGTAGGAAATGCTACCATAGTCTGCAATGGTGTTGATAGTGACCAAATCGAGTATATTGAGAGAGTGAATCCTGGTGTGACTGCAGACATCAAGCCTCTGCCAGTTTATGTCAGCATTCACGTAGACAAACAGTACGAGAAGGAGACAGCCACTGGGCAGCTTAGCACCTACAAAAAAGTAGTTAGCCATGAAAGTCGAACAGTACATGAGACGAGGGGCGCATTCTACACAGTCAAGCAGAAACAGCAGTGTTCACCTCAGGGCAGCCCAGAGGATGACACACTAGAGCAGGTGACTTTTATGGACAGTTCTGGAAGAAGCCCTGTCACTCCTGAAACACCAAGCTCTGAGGAAGTTAGCTATGACTTCAACTCCAGAGCGCCAGAATCTGTAATTGGCTCCATAACTGGCATGCCCAGCCCAATACCAGAAGAGTCAGAGGAAGAGGAGCAACCCAAGACTTTCATCTTCAGGGAACTACCAGCAGAAAAAGCCAAACCGGCCACTCCACCAGAGTCTTCAAAAGGGAAACATGAATCACCTGGGAAAAGAACAAAAGACAAACGGGTAGCTTACATTGAGTTTCCTCCACCTCCACCATTAGAGACTGAGCAGTCTGACCCTGAAAAGAAAGTGTCATGCCCATCTTCTGAGGCAGAAACAGAGATGATGGAGGTAAATCTCCAAGAGGAGCATGACAGGCACCTCCTTGCAGACCCTGTGATCCGAGTCCAGCCACCTTCTCCTCTTCCACCTGGAGCTGACAACTCTGATTCCAGTGATGATGAGTCTGTCTTTCAACCCATTCCTCTCAAAAAGTACACCTTCAAAATGGCAGAGGAAGGTGAAAAACGTGTGAGGCCTCGAAAACCAGAGAGAAATGGTTCCCACCACAAAGAGTCAAGTGTGAATGGTGTCATCAAAGGAGATGATGTGGACTTTGAGCAGAATGGCAATGATCAGTCTATCACTGACTGCTCTATAGCTACAACTGCAGAGTTTTCCCATGACACCGATGCTACAGAGATAGACTCTCTTGATGGTTATGATCTGCAGGATGAGGATGATGGGTTGAGTGATCCCAAAACCTCCAGCCTCTCAAACGATGGAAAACCAGGTGATCGATCCTTCAGCCAGAGCAAGCTGGAAGTGATTGAAGAGGAAAGCACTCCTAATGAGGATACTGGAGAAAAAGCAAAATCTAAAAGCAACTCATCAAGCAAAAAATCAGACAGTGCTAAAGATGAAGACAAGATCTACTCCTTGGAGGGAAGGCACCCTGACAGGCAAGGGTTTGCGGACAGTTATTTCAGCTACAAACTTGAGGAGGAACTGAATACAACATTCAAAACAGTTGCCACCAAAGGCTTGGATTTCGACCCATGGTCCAGCAAAGGAGCAGAGGAAGGAGTATTTGACACTAAAGGCAAAGATGAAGATCCAAAGCCTTTTGGTTTGTCAGTGGATGACAAGTCACAGGCTACCACACCAGACACCACTCCGGCTCGAACACCAACTGATGAGAGCACCCCAACTAGCGAGCCCAACCCCTTCCCCTTCCATGAGGGCAAGATGTTTGAGATGACCCGCAGTGGCGCTATTGACATGAGCAAGCGGGACTTTGTTGAGGAGAGGCTTCAGTTTTTCCAGATTGGTGAGCATACCGCAGATGGGATGTCAGGGGACAAGGGCAAAGGGGGCAGAAGTGCGGGGGTAGGTGCCTCCCAAACAAAGGCAGGGGAGAGAACTGTAAAGGGGAAGGTAGAGGACACCACAGACATTACACCATCCAGAGGCAGTCCAGCTCAGGTCGGCACTGGCTGCCTGGATGCACCTCCATGCACTGACACTGTAGGCGAAACTGCCTCCTCTTGTACTGTCACGGCCTCCAAGGTCGACTCTAAATTGCGCACCCCTATAAAGATGGGAATCGCTGCCTCCATAACCATAAAGAAAGACTCTGGTTCCGCTGAACTGAGCGACTTTAAAGCAGATGCCTCAGTGAGTCAGATGCCAGAGTATGTTAGCTTGGAAACCCACATGAATGAAGGTCAGTTTGGTAGCAGATGCTCTGATTCAGCTTCAACTGAAAGGAAAGATTTCCCCTCAGAGAACTGCAATAACAACAATAACCTAGAGCCCTCCAGTGTCCAGGCTAACTACATCCAGTGTGGTAGTGTAGTGTTCAACCTCCAGTCATCCTCTGAACCCACTCTCCAGAAAGCCAGCAGGATAGAAGCTCAGTTCTGTAGGGTTTCCACAGAGACAGCAGAGGACAGCTCCAATACTCAGAGTCATCAGGGGAAAGCAGACTCTCAGAAAGAGATAGACATCAAAGGTCAGCCCAAGTCTAGGCTCCCAGTCAAGGCTGCAGGGTTCACCTTTAACAACCAAAGCTCAGGGAAGCAGAAACCTAGGCAAGCTGTCAAACCTGAGGCTAGGAAAGTGGACCCTGCGTCTAGCACACTAGAGCCCAGATCTAGAATTCCAGTCAAAGATGTCAAAAGGAATGGTTCCGTCAGTTCTTCTACTGCAGGGTGCAGGTCAGGGAAGCTTGGGGAGGCAGAGAGAATCGTCAGGCAGGTAGTTTCCCCCCAGCAGCCAACCAGAGACAGGTCATCAGGGGTTGCTTTGAGCAACTGCTCAGTTAGCGAGGCAGACCGAGCCAACCTTAGTGAGCTATGTAGGCAGTCGATCAAGTTCTTTCAGAGCGTTAGCGGGGGAGCAACAAAAGTGGCGGATCGCCTTTCAGACGAGGAGAAACAGACGCAGGCAGAGCAGTCGGAGGAGGACAGCAGCACGTCACGAAGCACCTCCCTATCGGACCCCTCCCAGTCCCAGCCCTCCCTCTCTGCCAGCTCCTCCCGAGGGGTCACACCCTCAAGGTCAAAGGTCACGAGGTCCGCGGGCAGTGAGAGGAGGAGGACTAGGCGGACAGGAGGAGGGAAGGAGGGCAATAAGGGCGCAGGTGCTCGCGGGGCGCCCCCCGTCGCGGAGATCAAGCCTAGTTTGTAAAACTTTATTGAAAACTTTACTTGATCCTTAGTTGCATGAGCCGTTGTGATTGACTGACTGGATTGCCTGTGGCGTGAACAGTAGCTGTCATTCTCTGTCATTCTTCTCCCATCTCTGTACTGTGTGAGTGTTACTGTACCTGTCCTTGTCGGATCCCCTCTTCTCTCTCTCTCCCCCACCTTTGACAGTCGGTGTAGCATGTTAGGGAGGGAGGGGCCACTGGACAGTCTGTCTGTGCAAGAGCCGCTAGCAGGAAACTGCAGTCTCAGTGTCTATTTTTCACCGTCAGTGAACCGTGTTACTGGGATTGTACAGGATGCCTGCATGCCTCTTTTCATCATCAGAAGAGTCACCCTCCTTTTAATGTCTGGAAAATGGCAGACCCTTTGTTTCTTTTGTTTCTTTTAATGTATACTTTAGTAGAGTCACAGTGATTGCCTGCATAGTTTCTGTAGAATTTCTATTCACAGAAGTATTCAGAGCACCATGTGTTTTTAGACACAGCAGTTCGCCATCTTGTGTGTGTGCTGTTCCTTTTCTTGCCTCTCTCAGCGAGTCTGGTACATTTTGCAGTATGATGCTCCCCCCAACACGTCCACTAGTTTGGAGTATGAGCTCTGATCGCCCGTATGCCCTTCTCAAGCAGCAACGTTTGGCCAGAAAAGGATGCAGCCACTTGTGTTTCTATGGCTTTGAATGGTTTGTGATTTTGACTTATCAATGCTAATAGTTCGTTTCTCTGGTGTTTTCTGTTTCCCAGGTCCGCAAACCCCTTGTGAGAGGACGGACCTTCGCATGGCTATCGTGGCTGATCATCTGGGACTCAGCTGGACAGGTTAGACTTGTTGTGCTTATATGGATATGGATTTCCTGACTTGGATTTTAGACTAAAATCCCACTGAGTGAGAACATGACTAGCAAATGTTTTGAACACTCAAAAAATCATCTTATTTTTCATTAAAACACAAAAAAGTACTAAAATAAGGTTCCGCCTCCCAACTACAACTTTTTATGTTTTGGTATTGAGATGAAAATGTGAGACATTTTTTTTTGTCAAAAACTGTAACTTTTTAGTAAAGTATAAAAGTAAATCTTCTATCTATACTTTTATCTATACAAATCAAAAATATCTTTTTAATAAAACAGTATTGAAAAAAAAATTACATATTATTTTCTGAAGTGTAAATTTAGGGGTTAGGGTTTGGGACAGACTCCCCCCACTAGAAAGAACCCTATAATTGATGACTTTGTATATATTTAGTTTATTACTATCTCTATTAATGCCTTGGGTTTAAATAGATCATAACACAATCCTTGTAAATATCGAAAGTCTGAATATTTCATTTTTTTTACATAATTTTTTTACAGTTGGAGCGCATTTTGAAGTAATCTGTTAGAACAGTCCTCACACATGCAAGTAAATGATTTAAGATGGGATATTGTGCCTTTTTCATTTGGATGATTTATTTGTTCCTAAATTCTGTAACTTTTTATGTTTTTTATAGTTTTATGGACTTAGGAGATAGTGATTAGATATCAATGTGAATGTTGTAGAATGTTAATACTTTGATGTTGCACTGCCTCCTTCTGGCTAAATGTGGTATTACACTGCAGCATTCCACGTTTTGTGAGAGTACTGCATTTTCCTTGTATTCTTAGTTCAAAATTTGGAATCACTTGTTATATTAACATGTGGATGTGGATTTAAATATTACAAAAATTATAAACTAGTCACCAAAAGGTATTTTAGATGTTTTTGATATGAGTATTTCAATAATTATGTGAACAAGAGGTGATTTAAATGATAAATAATACACCGTAATGAGCACTTTACATTCATTTTTTGTGACGTTATCTGTCTTAAGATTTGATCTCCACCACTGAAATGTGATAAATTCTGGATATTCATTTTATTAGAACTTTTAATTGTATTTTTTTTTAATTCATCTGAAATTAATTTTATGTTATTGAAAACGTTGATTCCAGTCATTTGAACTCTTGGGTACATAAATGCATGCTGCTGACATTCTCCAATACAAAGTCATTCTTAATGTTTAAGTGCATTGTGTAGCTATCATAAGTGTCATTATAGCCTTTTTGGTGGATCTTATATAATTTACATTATTTGTATCTTTACACTGTTCTAGTCAACCACCTGTGGAGATTTGCTGGTAGTTCTAATGTGCATATTCTGATGTTATTAACTGTCCAATTAAATTCAAATATATTAAAAGGGAATCATACTGACTACCAAAATAATGTGTGATGGCTGTTTTCCATCTAATGTATTTGGCTATTACAAATACATTAAACCTTTGATGATTATTATAAATTGATAGTTTATAGCACAATTTTTCCTTTATAAATATAAAATATTTTCATACACACAGACCTGGTGCAGTGTGCTCAGTAGTGCTGTGCTGTTTTGTGCTGCAGTCTGCAGTGTTGTTTATTTGCGTTTATGATGTGATTGCAGAGCTGGCTCGAGAGATGAATTTCTCGGTGGATGAGATCAATCACATCCGCACGGAGAACCCCAACTCCCTCACCGCCCAGAGCTTCATGCTGCTGAAGAAGTGGGTGAGCAGAGACGGGAAGAACGCCACCAGTGAGTCTTTATTCAACCTTTCTCTATTCAACCTACAGCAGTTCCCATTCCGCTTATAGCAATTTTAGCTCCACTCTTGCAGCCTCCAGCAGTTTAGCCCCACCCGTTCAGCCTACAGCAGTCTAGCCCCGCCCATTCAGCTTATAGCAGTTTTAGCTCCACTCTTGCAGCCTGCAGCACTGTAGCCCTGCCCATCCACAGTTGAGGTATAAGTGTGAATGGAGCTTATTTGCATAGTCACATACATATAAACTAAAGGAGCCTGTTGTAGGATTTGGGCCCTTGAAACATCAAAAGGCTGTTGATATTTACAGAGATGTGCGTTTTTTATTGAATTTACTCATCATAATTCCTCTAACACTGTGGCCTGTTTCTCCAGCGGATGCGCTGACCGCAGGGCTGACCAAAGTGAACCGGATGGATATTGTGACTCTTCTGGAAGGGCCCATATTTGATTATGGTAACATTTCAGGCACCAGAAGTTTTGCAGATGATAGCGCTGTGTACCAGGAGAAAGCGGATGGTAAAGTTTAGACCCATCTAGCTGACCCCCTCCCCCTCCACCCTCACACCCATCCCTCCTTTTCCTTTTTGTTAATCCTCCTCTGGGCTTCCGGAGGCATCACATGTTCCTGGATGGAAGGGCCTGCTGTGGTAATCGCTGTGATTACCGTGAGATTTTTCTGTCTTGGTTTTTCCACACCTGCCTCTTACGTTCAGAATCTGCTTCTTTTCCAGAAGAACATCGCTTAAATAAATGCTAAAAGGACCGAGCCATACTCACGAAACCTTATCACAGTATATTTATCCATTTCACTCAGTACTGATAATTATGTTTCCCAGTATAGTTTTAGTCTGAACATCATTTTGAATCCGTAAGAAAATATTTGAGTGAAAAAATGAAGACATGTTCCTCGAACTCTCTGTTCCTAATTTTGCTAACTCTGCTAACTGAAAAGAACTACTGCTAGCTATCTCTGCTAATTGAAAATAGCTAATGCTAGCTATCTCTGCCGAGTAGAATAGAACTTGAATTAAGAAATCTGGACATTTTCCTCAAACTCACAGCCTTTTTTACTCTCCATAATTTCAGCACTAAAAAATGCTAATGCTAACTCTGCTCATAAAAACTGCTTGGGTTAGCTTACTTTTCTAATTGAAAACAGCTAATGCTATCTGCAAATCTGCTAAATGAACATAGCTAACTTTAGCTAACTGTGCTAGCTGAAAATAGTTAATGCTAGGAAGCTCTGCTAGTTGAAAATAGCTAACTCTGCTGTGTAGAACAGAATTATAGCTCTGTAGAACCAAAACATTTTATCACGTAAAAATCAAAACCTCCAAAATCAAACTGTTTTTTGACCTCAGAATAAAAAATCATACGAGAAATATATGTATCCTTATTATTTTCGATATTAATTATAATAATAAAAAAATTTACTGTCCAGGCCTAACAGACTGCATTCTGAACTTGAAGAGCAGGTGATGTGTTTGAAGGCCCTGAACACATCAGTCCTGTTTTACTATTTGTTTAAAACACCCTTTACACTGTGTGATTTTGTTGCCCCCCTACCCGACCCCCCCTCCCCTGTATGCATGGGTCTGGATATGAACATGCATGCGGACAGTCGTGCAGGGTGAAGCAGCGTGTGCATGATGCTTCCACTCCGTCAGTGAGGAAGTCTGAACTTTACTGTAATTCACTCTTCACAGGAACTGTTACTGTCCTTAATGTCATTAATGGTTATTTATGTCCTGATTAATCAAATGAAGACACTTTATGCGACATGAAACATATTATAGTGTTTATAAGTGTAGAATAAAAGACTGTAAGTGTGCAGCTACTGTAATGATAATATAGTTTTCTATTCATGGACAAAAGATACAGAGATTTAAAGGAGTAGTCCAGCTTAAAATCTAATTTACACAGTCCACCCCAACACCCCCCCCCCACCAAATGTATTCAGTCAGTCGAGTCGTGTTTACTGTCTGAAGTTTATTTCTTTAGCTTTAACACTGGAGCTACGAGATGATGTTTGATTATAGTCAAGCATTTCTGACATTTTATAACAAAATTCTATTATATCTTAAAAATATGTCATAAAAACAGACAGACAAATAAGACAGACAGTCAGACTGATAGATAGATAGATAGATAGATAGATAGATAGATGGACAGACAAACAGATTGACAGACATATAGACAGATAGAAAGACAGATAAATAGACAGGCAGATAGATAAATAGATAGATAGATGGATAGATAGATAGATAGATAGATAGACATGAATAGATAGATAGATAGATAGACAGATAGACAGACAACAGATAGATTGACTGACAGACAGACAGATAAATAGACAGATAGATAGATAGATTGATAGATAGAGGCAGACATACAGACACAGACAAATACAGGTTAAATAGAGAAGCTGGTGAGGAAGCACTGCCAATATGTGAGCTATGCTAATGTACTTTAGTCCATGTTTCAAGATCATAGTGAGTCATACAGTGTCAGAAACCACATTATCAAGACTATTAGAGACACTCTAACACCTCCACACACTCTGACACATGCAGTTAGCACAGTGCTAATTGGTGGGTATAAGCTTCCATTACTCGTTAGCTACATTAGCCTCGTAGCTCCAGTGCTAAAACTAAGCAATAAAATTCAGACACCAAAACCGTCCTGGCTGATCCACTACATTTTAGGGGTGTTTGTATAAATGTGATTTTTGCTGAACTATCGCTTTAATGAAATGCATGCTGGTAGCCTGTAGGTGTGTGTGCTGGTTGTGTTAGAGTTGTGTGTGTGTGTGTTGCCGTTTGATGTGGTTAAGTTGACCGCATGCCCTGAGCCAGAACCTGCTCTCCTCCGCCTCGCTCCTGCAGCTGTCTCCTCCATCTATCCCTCGTTACTCTCTCGATGGATGGAAAAAGACTGAGAGGAAGAAGTAGATCCTCCTCTCTCAGCAGCCTTCCTCTCTCTCCGAATCGGAATCCTCCTCTCCTCTCCTCTCCTCCCTTGCAGTGGAATCCTTCATTCTGCTCCTACAGTCACATCCATCCATCCCTGCATCCCTCCATCCATTCAGCCATCCATCCATCCATCCATCCATTTATTCCTCCTTCTCTTTGTCCACCTTCCACATTCATTTTGTGTACCTGTCATTCACACTGTTTACGTGTGTGTGTGTATGTGTTCGCGTGTTTGAGCTGCACAACATGGACAAAACACCGGGAATGTGCTCGTATTGCTTCGTATTGTAATTATAATGTGTCTCATATTGTAACCATAAACACTGTACGTCCAAAAGTCTGTAGGCTCTAGTGTTTCTTCTGAAATGAAGGGTAATAATAGTGAGTTTGTGCTGCAGTAACAGCCTCTACTCTTCTGGGAAGACTTTATACTACACCAGGGGTCGGCAACATGCGGCTCCACAGCAGAATTAGATTTGTAGGTAAACAAAAAATAATCCTTCTTTGCAGTAAAATAAAGCTCTGCTGATCGTTCTGTTGGTCTTAAACTCTGGGGTTAATGTAGAACTGCTAATTCATCTTTTAACCATAAAGATCAACGCAGACTGCTCATCACCATAGCAACATTAACAACAGTATCGCCTAGCTAGTAGCTAATGAAAAGGCAAAGAGACAGATTTAAGACGAACATCACTAATTTAGAGACGAATGGACTTATTTGTGTTTATAACGTTTAATCTGCAACGAGAAACGGTCAAACACTAAAAAGTCACGAGGCTGAAGTCAGTTTCTCATTCGCCAGCTTGTTCGAATTTTCCTATTCCACCTTAAATGGTGCAGCAGTTACATTCTGGTGCCTCGGGCACCATTTAAGGTGGAATGGAAAAATTTGAACAAGAAGCTGGTGAATGTGAAGCTTCAGCCTCGTAAAAGTTGAACGTTAATAGACGTTTTACAAGAATCTGTTCTACTTTTATGTAAAAGTTTCCTGTCAGAGATGCGAAAAAAAAACGGCTATAGTTGAGTTTAAGCTTAAAGCAGAGCAAAGTAAGTCTGTATTTTCGTTTATATTTTTTAGTCTATACTAGTACATTAGCACATACTGAGACATATTTACAGCCAAGCTGGTAAGATGGACATAAAATGTTGTGGCTCCCAAAGTGGTTTGATTTTTATTGAAAGGACAAAATGGCTCATCTTAATATTTGGGTTGCGACCCCCGCACTACAGTCTTAAAAGTGATGGTTCTTTAAGGGTTCTTCCCTCAACATCTCGACCAAATAAGTATGCAGAAATTTTGAAAAATAAGTGGAATTCCCCTTCAGAGGGTTAAGTATTGTGCAGCTCAGTGTGCGTGTGCTGATCTCTTGTGTTCAGTGTCACCGTGTCCACTCGTGCGTATGTGTGTCCTGCAGGTTATCTGTCCATCCTGGCTGAACTGCAGGGTTCTGCCCCCCCCTCTGCCCCCCCCACCCAGCTGCCCCTTCAGTCTGACCCTGATCTGCCCCCCGCCTACTGCGCTTCCTGGGGGCAACAGCGCTTCACTGAGGGGGCGGCAGCGGCACACAGCCCCAGTGTGACCCCGTCCAGGCCCAGTGACCTCGCACTGAGCCCTCACACATACACACACACAACAGCTGACCCTAACACACACACATGGCACACTGCTGAGCCCACACACACACTCGCAGGACCCCCTGGAGCTCTGCGAGGTCCCACTCTCACCTCCAGAACATCAGACACCTGCTGTTCCAGCCCAGTCCGCTCTCACTGCCTCCACTCTCTCCAAGGAAGAAGCTCCACCAGCAGCACAGAGGGAGAGCGAGGAGAGGGAGGACGAGAGGGAGAGCGAGGAGAGAGAGAGAGGGGCGGAGTCTCTTGAGCAGAGCGAAAAAACAAAGCAGAGCAAAGATGAGAGTGAGGATCTACCACCACCATCATCATCATCATCTTCATCCTCATCGTCATCATCACCATCCTCCACTGATCATAAAGCTGAAGTTCCAGCCCAGGGTGAGATCAAAGGTGGTGGTGAGGGTGGCCCCTCCCCCCGTCCATGGGCGGAGGTGATGAGGGAGGAGGAGGAGGAGAGAGGGCAGGAGCGACAGCACCACCTGCTGGCCCCAGGGCAGCAACGGAGAGAGAAAGGAGGAGAGAGGGAAAGAGGGAGAGGGAGTGAGGGATGGTGGAGGGGTGGAGTTAGAGGTGTGTTCACTCTCCACAGGCTGGATCGGTGAGAACCCCAGCGGCAACATGGAACCGCTCACTCAGGGGCGGAGCCTCAGCACTGACCTCATCGACAGGCAGGACAACAGGTAGCACCCAGCCAATCAGCACGCACTAATTCATTAATTATCATAAACATAATTACAATTCCATGGTGCAATTAAGCAATGATGCTATACCAGATGGATGCAATATTGCAAAACAGTAATTCTGCTGGCAGTATGGACAAAAATTTTATCACAATATATTTTCCCATATCATTCAATTGATTGATAATTCTCAATAATTATTATACTCATTTCCTGTCATTAATTTTAATCTTGAATAGTATTTTCATCCATGAATAAAACTAAAGACCTATTCTGGTGTAGTATACAAAAATATCTAGCAATTAAATGTCAAGTCAACACATTTCATGGTGATTCTAAATGCTCCAAAAATCTCATATTAATGTACAGTAATATACTTTCACACTTCAGAGATAACAAGGTTTTATTATAACAGTGAATATATACTAAAATATGTAAACATATAAGAAGTATATATAAGAACATATATACAAAAAGAAAAGAAAAAAAGAAAAAAAATACTTTCTCTAATAGATAAAATAATCAGCAGCTAATTCTGCTAACTGAAAATAGCTAATTCTAGCTAACTTTGCTAACTGAAACTAGCTAACACTAGCTAACTCTGCTAATTGGAAATAGCTACAGCTAAATCTGTTAACTGAAAATATCTAACCCTAGCTAACTCTGATTACTGAAAATAGCTAATGCTAGCTACCTCTGCTAACTAAAATAACTAATGCTAACCAACTCTGCTAACTGAAAATAGCTTACCCTATCTAACGCTAACTAAAATAGCTAACTCTAAGTAACTTTGGAAACTGAAAATAGCTGACGCTAGCTAACTCTGCTAACTAAAAATAGCAAATTCTAGCTAACTCTGCTAACTGAAAATAGCTAACGCTAGCTTACTCTGCTAATTAGAAATAGCTACAGTTAAATCTGCTAACTAATAATAGTTAACTCTAACTCTGCTTACTGAAAATAGCTAACTCTAACTAACTTTGGAAACTGAAAATAGCTGACGCTAGCTAACTCTGCTAATTAAAATAGCTAGCTAACTCTGCTAACTGAAATAGCTAACTCTAGCCAACTTGACTAACTGTCCTGCTGATTTGTAATGTTGTGAGTAAACGTCTTAATCCCTGTCTAGAGAGTACACACAGCGCCACCTAGTATACTGAGTTTAAGCCATTGCTTCTAACACTGGACTGAGGAAAAGAACAGTGTAACCAATTTAGTGAAAATGCTTCAAACATGTTTTATCTAAACATAAACAAACAATAAACAAAAAGTTTATTATTGTTGTGTTATTGTCCAGACCATATTATCCAACCCTGAGGAAAAACGTTAGCATTGTTATGAATCACCAATCTTAATTAATTTTTACCTTTAGTCAGGAAAACTCCAGTGACTCTGTGACATCATCGTCCAGAGGGGATTCTGGGAAACCTCGTCAGAACGGCGAGCATTCTGAGACCCCGCCCCGCAGCACAGCGTCACAGGTTTCAGCCAACGGATCAGGACGAGAGGAAGGAACTCTGCTGGTTGAGCACAAAGTCAAGGTGAGATTATAACCAGGACTATTATGGAATTATGGAATAATGACAGATCATTACTGCATAATACCACCATAGTTTAAAAACTGATTCTTATCAACTTGCATTAAGGAAATAATTTGGGTTTTTAAGAGAATACTTCGACAAAAAAAATCTAATTTACACAATTTCCCCCTTATGCCAGATGTAGTTGATTAGCTAAGACATCTTTGGCATCCAAGCTTATTTAGCATTAGATATACAAGGCTAATGTAGCTAACAAAAATACCAAACTAACTAGCATGGTGCCTACTGCATGCCTAAACCATCACACTTGCCTCAAACTGTATTGGGTTGTTAAATAATCTTACACTGTATGACATTGTTATTTATAAAAATAGTCATCTTGTCCATTTTTATAGATGTTATAGATGTGTGTAGATACATTGGCCTTGTAGCTCCAGTACAAAACAGTACAAGACACCAAATATATTTTGGCTGATAAACTACATTTGGTGCAGGAAAAACGTATGCAAACTGTTCATTAGAGCTCATATTTTGTCCTCTTTAAAGTACTTTTATCATTTAGATAAAATCTTCTACTTTATTATGAAAAGTTGGATCAACCCACACACTCATACATGCATTCTTTAAGAGCTGTGTGTTGTAAATACGTTCATTAGCAGCGTACAGCTACAGAGTCTGGCTCAGATGAGGAACGCACCGTCACCACGCGAGTGTTCCGCAGACGCCTCATCCTAAAGGTACACACCTGGAGCGGAACGATGGCCTTGGGATGGATCCAGATTCAAACCCAGCCACCTCAAACTGATCAACAGCAGAAAGAAATGCTAATGTGGCCAGTAATGAATGGAAGCTTGCAGGACATGAAACATGGGCCTGATCCTGGGCTTGTGTCAGATCCAGTTCCAGGCTGGTGTGAAATAAGAGCTGGGTCCAGATCCTGGCTAGTTTGGGTCAAGATCCATGCTAGTTTTGGGTCCAGACCCAGACAAGTATTGGGTCCAGATCCAGGTCGGATCCAGGCTAGTGTAGTTCAGCTTTAGGCTAGTGTTGGATCCAGATCCGGGTCAGGTTTGGATCCAGGTTGATTTTGGGTCCAGATCCAGGCCAGTTTTGGATCCACACCCAGACAAGTGTTGGGTCCAGACTCGACAGGATTGATATCTTGATTAGTGTAGGATCCAGATCAAGCTGGGGTTGAGTTTGGATCCAGGTTGGTCTTGGTTTTGGCCTTAGGTTGTTGTGCCACAGCAGGTGCTTGGTTTGTGGGTTTTTGCACTTTCTGACCATTTAATCAACTCACTTACCTGTGTGTGTGAATTTTGTGCTTTGGAGTGTTTTAACCTTTTCCTGATTTGAACTAAAACCAGCCACTGTTTTCTCTAAGGCTCTGCAAATCCACCGCAGGTCCAGATTACCCACACTGCACTGGGTGGCCTAATTCATGCTTGCAGGATCAGTGTGGTGCTGTGAGGACTGTGTGAGTGTGTATGTGAGTTAAAGTGTTTGTTGCTACAGGGTGAGGAGGCTCGGAACATTCCGGGAGAGACTGTTTCAGAGGAGCAGTTCACTGATGAGGAAGGAAACATCATCACCAGAAAAGTAAAAATAACATCATTCATTCATTCATCCATTCATTCATTCACCTGCCTCTCACTTTGCCCTTTGCCTCTCAGTCTGATGACACCATCCTGTTTGTCTCCACCAATCCTTTCCTTTCCTTTCCTCTCCTTTTCCTTTCCCCCTCCTGTCCCCGTTCCTTTCTTTTCCCCTTTCCTTTCCTTTCCTTTCCTTTCCTTTCCTTTCCTTTCCTTTCTTTTCCTTTCCTTTCTTTCCATGACCACTCTAGTCCCCTCTCCTTTCTTTTCCTTCCCGTTCATAAACCGCTTCTATCCCCTTTCCTGTCCTGTCCTCCAGTCCCCACCCCTTTCCTTTCCTTTCCTTTCCTTTCCTTTCCTTTCCTTCCTTTCCTTTCCTATCCTCTCCTCTTCTTTTCCTTTCCTTTCCTTTCTTTCCTTTCCTTTCCTTTCCTTTCCTTTCTGTACCATAACCCCTCCAGTCCCCTCTCTTTTCTTTTCCTTTCCTTGTCCCCTCTCTTTTCTTTTCCTTTCCTTGACCCCTCCAGGCCCCTTTCCTTTCCTTTCCTTTCCTTTCCTTCCTTTCCTTTCCTTTCCTTTCCTATCCTCTCCTCTTCTTTTCCTTTCCTTTCCTTTCCTTTCCTTTCCTTTCCTTTCCTGTCCTGTCCTGTCCTATCCTCTCCTCTCCTTTTCCTTTCCTTTCCTTTCCTTTCTGTACCATAACCTCTCCAGTCCCCTCTCTTTTCCTTTCTTTTCCTTTCCTCTCTTTTCCTTTCTTTTCCTTTCCTTTCCCTCTCTGTTTCCAAGAAGGCTCCTATTTTCTCTTTTACTAATTCAAACACAAAAGCACATTTTCCATTCATCATCACCCTTGACATTCGTCTCCCTGAACAGGTGATCCGGAAGGTGATCCAGCGGGTGGATGCCCCGACTCCGGAGGATCAGGATGATCAGGGTGGGTCTCTCCCAGTGTCTCCCTCATCCTGAGGTCAGCACTGTCTGAGGGGCAGTGACATGTTTGTGAAAAAACAAAACAGAAAAAATACCCTGTCAAAGAACAGAGGAATAATCTGGAACTGCTGGGAAATTCAGACAGTTGAACATTTCCAAATTCACTTGTTTCACTGAAATTATTTCATTCATTCATTTATTCATTTACAGACTCATCTATACCTCAAATGCTGTAGATCACCTGACTATGTGGTGACCTTCTAAAACTGTTTGATCAAATTTCACTCCAGTCAGATCTTCACTGTTCTTCTTCACTGCTGCTGCTTCTGTTCCACCTGCTCTGAGCTCAAGACTGTGAGACTGAAGAGCTTTTACTGATCTGTTTCTGATCCTGCTAATGATTCTTCTCCTGATTTGCAGATGTTTCGTGCTCTCGGGCTGCTGTGTATTGTGTGTATGTGTGTGCTAACTGATCAGGACTGATCATCAATGGGTGGAAAATGAATAGCTAATTTTTTATTTCTCCCTGTATTTGTGTGTGAACAGGGAGACGTTTCGAAGGTGAGGAGAAAGGACGAGAGAAGGTCTTCAGAGAAGAAGTTTCACTCTTAGATGAAGCTCAGCATTAGCAGGTAACCAAGGTACTTCCATTTACTGTCCACTATATTATAAACACCTACTTTGCGGTTCCACTAACTGGCTGCTTTATTAGAAACACCCACTGTGTGCTTCCACTCACTGGCCACTTTATTAGAAACACCTACCTTGTGATTCCACTCACTGGCCACTTTATTAGAAACACCCACTGTGTGCTTCCAGTCACTGGCCACTTTATTAGAAACAGCTACCTTGTGCTTCCACTAACTGGCCACTTTATTAGAAACACCTACCTTGTGATTCCACTAACTGGCCACTTTATTAGAAACACTTACTTGTGCTTCCACTAACTGGCCACTTTGTTAGAAACACCCATCTTGTGCTTCCACTCACTTGCCACTTTATTAGAAACGGTCGTACTTCCACTCTCTTTATTAATTATCATTATTAATGCTTTATTATGCTTTAATTCTTTCCATGTTAAATGTTTTTGCCATTTAAAAAGTTGACATTTTTTTATCATTGCTGTTCTCTTAACATCAAACGTATTTAAAAGTGATTACAGTCAGTGTCTGCACCACTAGGGGGCGTCAACAGACTGTGATTCTTTTGCCGATGACAGTATCACTGTTTTTCTTAATGATGTTCTGTTTCTGTCATTGGGCTCCAGGTTTTGCAATTTGTTTCTCGTCCGTCTCCGGATGACGGGGCCAGCAGAGACGAACTCGCAGGAAGGGAAATATTCGGCCACTAGAAATGCAGCTTACACAGCTTTCCCGCGCTCAGACGCATGGTGTTCTGAGACACGGACCACCCCTCCCCCACTCTCGCATGAGCATGACAGCACACTCTCCGCCCCTTCCGCTGTCTCACTCTTACCGCTTCCTGGTTCAGAGGGGCCTGGAGAAATCCACTTCCTGTCAGCAGCGGCTTCTGGAAAATTCAGTTTCCTGAGTTGGAGGGACCTGTACGGCTACGTTTTTACGACTTTTGGGAGAAACTGCAAGACTCCTGCACTGACCTTTCTGGAAATTTCTGGAAAATGTGTCACTTTTCCTGGATGAATCTCACCTTTCTGGAAAAAGGTGTCATGTTTTCTGGAAAAATCTCACTTTTCTGGAAAAAAATCTGTCACTGTTCTGGGAAAATCTCACTTTTCTGGAAGAATCTCACTTTTTCTGTGCATCAGAGGCGCTGGAGTGGATCTTGCTGCAGCTTTGGAGGATGCCAAACGAAGACCAACACCGCCGTAACCCAACACACACTCTTTCTTGTGACCAAAGATGGCACAAAAGCTCTTTTTTCACAGAAAAAAACCCAAGGACGCTTTTTACTCGCTTCCTGTTCCTTCCTATTCGCTTTTCTTCCCTCACTTAGCCCTGCTCCTGTCAGGAGGAGGAGGATCGCTGTGGTTTATTTGTGTTTGTTTTAAAATGAAAACAAACAAAAAACAACACAAGGAATTTTTTTTTCTGTACATAAGTTAACATTGTGTAAAAAAACAACTCTAACAGCCGCCAGGCTCGGGGAAAAGCACGGATTACGGAAGTGCTTTCGACGTTTTAAGAAAGTTTGAATGAAACTCTTACATGTTGCTCTTGTATAATTGATTATTAATTATAGAAGGTAGGTTTGTACATGAAAAATAATGTCAGACAGGGGACCTTTCCGTAACAGTAAGAAGTTCTCTGCGAATTTGAACAGTTCCCAAAATGGGAATTTCAGAGTACTATTAATATTTTGCATGCAGTCCACCTTATTTTAAGTACCTTCTTTTATAAGTTTGCATTCAAAATAGAATAAAAAAGAGACTTTTTTCCTCCTGCGCACATACAGCGCTGAGGAGTCCCACACTTTTCTATTCTGAAGATCTATAAACAGTGTAGCTGGGTTAAAGTGTGCTGCCCCCTGCTGGAGGAACGAACTGAATGTAACTGCTTAGAAAACTGGCTCATCGTCCAACTATAAGTGTCTGACGTTGTAGGATTATCAGCTAAAACAGTGTAAAAGTCTCTCTCTGTGTGTCCTAAGGCTGTGTATTTGACCACTATAGCGGTCAAGTGTCCTCACAGGGTTTTTTCCTTAAAGGCTGCTGTGGTTTTTAGCTAAAAAAAAAAGTAAAAAAAAGGCTTTTATTTTACCTTTTTTTCAGGTTTCTGGTGAATATTTTCTTCCCGGACGTTTATAATCACATGCAAAATGACGTCAGAGTTAATCATGTATAAAAAAAAAGTTATTTTACACATCAGATAAATCGTGTTTGTCCCTGTTTAGAGCAGAGTCTGTGTGTTGCCGTGCACTGCGTTGATTTTTAGAGGTTTTTTTGTTAGCGTTTAGCCATTTCTTTGCTAATCTGATCTAGTTTGAGTAGAGCGTGTAAAACTAAAGCAGATTGTAGTTTGCTGATTTACTTTTAAAATAGGAAGTGATGTCACGGTGGCGGGGGGGGGGTGTGTCTTTCTACCTCCCCTTTACCTGTCAATCAGTCTGTAGGCGGGGCCTGGCGTAGTCCGTTTGCGTTCGTTTGGTTTGATAACCCGTTTTCATCCTTTTTAATGTAAAAAATTCTTACTTACCGAGTGAAGCCATTTAAACTGAACTGTATTCTAGCACTTTGGTTATGGAAGGTCTTCTCTTTTAGAAGCTAGCAGCTACGATGCCACCATAATGTTTCAAATGTCTTAAAAGAATCAAATTTAACAATAAATAAAGACATTGATTTTGCAAACCTATCCTGTCCTTGTCTTGTTCACAGATTTATGTGGGTTATTCTTATTAATATTATTATTATTATTATTAGTGATTCCCCATTGCTCTGCAATGATGATTTCTTACTAACCATGTTGGATATAACAGCAACCACCTGAAATACCACAGCAACAGCCTAGCAAGCCTGAAAGCAACCACCTAACAACACCCAAGGATACCATAGCAATGACTTAGCAACACCATATTCCAGAGCAACCACATAGCAACACTCCAGCAACCTCATGGAATACCATATCAACCACCTAGCAACTGCCTAGCAACTCCTTAGCAATCATCTGGGATACCCTAGCAGCCACCTGGTATGCCATAGCAACCACATAGCAACCTCTTGGAATACCATAGAAACACCCTAGCTACCACCTGGAATACCATAGCAACCACCTAGCAACCACCTAGGATACCATAGCAATGTGTTAGCAACACTATATTCCTTAGCAACCATGTAGCAACACCCTTGCAACCACATGAAATACCATAGCAACTGTGTAACATCTTAGCAAGCCTAAGCTGCACAATCACTCTGCTTTTTCTTATGAAAAGCACTATATTATTTATTATTGTTATTAGAGCATCTCCAGCTTCAGTCTGTTTAAAGGTGTGACGCTTCGGTCCAGCCAACACATTCAAAACTACTGCAGTGCTGGAAAATGAATGTTTAAATTATATTTATTTGAGGGTCGCTGTGGATGTTGTGCAGATGTTCACCTCATCTTCTCACCATTTTAATAGTCCCCTACAGAATCATCTACACTTTACACAAGATTTTAAGGTTCTATATAGCACCATGAAAGCTCAAAGAACCATCTGCATGCTTCAATGGTTCTTCAGATTGATGGAGAATATGTTGTGTATGGTTCTATATGACACCAAAAAGGGCTATGCTATTGTTACAATATCAAGCCTGTCACAGTAGAAGGAACCATTTTTGGTGGCTGGTTCTGATTGGTCTAAAGGGATGAAATCCATTTGAATTAAAGTAATAAAAGCTCGCTTTTTAGCCATACGGTTTGATCGGATTAAGAAAACTTCAGGTTTGTGCTCATGGAAAATATACTTTAACACCACATTTACTGGGTATTTAGCTAAATGTAAGTTTTGCGGTTTTTATGCAGATTTTCTCCCCAATTCACCCTCGTTATCTAGCTCTCCCCCTGTCACACGACGCCCCCAAGCTGGGAGGGGGAAGGCTAGCACGCTCTTCTGTGACACCTGAAGATCCACCACATCTCCTCACACGCTGGTGTATAAAATGCACAGGACGGGAGAGAAGAATGACTTACAGTTCATATTCACAATCAATGTGGCAGCTTTGACCATTGAAGAGATCAGAGTCAGATTTCTGATGTTTTTATTTATTTTATTTCAGAACAGAGCAGAAATTCAGCCACTCAGTTTCAGCAGATACACTCTGAAGATGGTGGAAGCTACTTATTGTTTTAAATAACGAGATTCTTAAAAGAGATGATTCTTCAAGGGTTCCTTAGCAAAGACAGAACCGTGAACACTCAAAGAACCACTTGCATGGTGAAATCGCTCTCCAGATTGATGGAGAATGTGTTTTATATGGTTCTGTATAACACAAAAAAAGGGCTCTGCTGTTGTATGCAAGCTTGATGTCGTTACTATAGCAGAACACTTTTTGGCACTTTATAGAACCATATAGACAACACATTCTCCATCAATCTGAAGAACAAATTCACCCTGCAGATGGTTCTTTGAGTGTTCACGGTGTGTCTTTACTAAAGAACGCTTGAAGAACCATCTCTTTTAAGAGTGTAACATCTTTAGATCATTTCCTACAGATTCAAAACAAACATTAGCTTAAAATTCCCTTTACCAAAATGTAGACCAGAATATACTTATATATATATTTCATTAATTTTACAAAAATATTCATCTCATTCGCTCCCCTGAGAGTGAAAGTTAAAGTGCTCCCTGAAAGGTTTTGTCCCGTTACAGCCCGACACAAACATAGATACAAGAACCTGAGAGAAATGCACACCAACACATTCACACTATAACATTAATATCTGGCTTTATACAGAGATAGGAAATCAGTTATGAGTGACCCAGCATGGTTAAATTAATTTAACTACAGTAATTACATTAATTCTTCTTAAGTTACTACGTTATTTCAGCACTAATCAGCTTCATTTGCTGTTTTTTCTAAGGGGAGGGTTCATATCTAACACTTCCAGATTTAAAAACTAATTCATTTTGCACACAAATGCATTTTTAACCTCAATATCCTTTTTAAATATTATGGCTTTAGAAATAACAAAGTAACAGATCCTCATGAACGAGCTCAGTTCAGAGTAACCAGGCTGTTTTGAAGCATTTGAGCTCGGGCCCAACTGACACTGATTTAAAATGTCCAAACAGAAATGAATATTTCACATTTCATTTGTGTTGTATTTTATATTCTCTTCACTTTTAGTTAAACTGAGCTGATATCACAGTCAGTTCTGAATATTCAGACTTCTTAAACTTACAAACTCTCAGTCTTAACTAATATAATGATTGCAGCACAGGGGGCAGAGCCTGTTACCTGTCAAATTAAAAGTTAAAGTCAGTAATTAGCGGCTATATTTTTGCTGATACCAATTAAATCATGGGTCATCAATATCAGCCAATATTATTAGCCGACTGACACATCAGTCGGGCCCTAATGTGAAAAACCTGAACAATCAGATGTAAACAAACTCCTTTAACAGCCTGTAATAAATTGCAACATGAGCCAAACGTATTTACCTGATTCTACTGAACTATAACAGCCCAAATCTACTAATAATATTAGAAATTGTTATTTTGATTATTAGAATAAATAAACATTTGTAACTCTGAACCCCGATTAAAAACTCAGTGGAGGCTGGGAGTTACTGTACAGGAGTTTCTTTAACATTTGTTGAAAATTCAGTAGAATGACAGCAAAACTAACTGTAGTTTACACACTGACAAAACACCAGAGGGACACATTAAAGGGCCCGTACCATGGAAAACTGAACATGCCCCCCTTTTTATTTTAAAATGAGTGTGATGAAGTCTGTGTAATGTGTACAGTCCATTTAAGCAAAATAAGCTGCGAAAACAGCCTTATTTGAATACAGGCTGTATTTACATATATCCACCAATTCTTTTCACAGCAGTTTAGCCCCGCCCATTCAGCCCACAGCAGTTTAGCCCCGCCCATTCAGCCCACAGCAGTTTAGCCCCGCCCATTCGGCCCACAGCAGTTTAGCCCCACCCATTCGGCCCACAGCAGTTTAGCCCCACGCCAGAGCTATAAGGAGTGTTTAGTCCTAGATTTCCTTTAATCCCTGCTTTTTAAATGGGGCACTATACAGGGCTGCCAATCAGAACATAGCTCATTTACATATATCAGTATTAAAGGCACAGTAACAGTAATAGCCTGTTTCATTGTAAGGGATAAACAGAGCTTGGAAAATGATCATGTAAAATGAGTTATGACTGTTTTTGGAATACAAACATTGTAATAGGGAGTATAAACATTGTAATAGGGACCTCGGCTGGGGGAAAATACAGGATACAGGCCCTTTAAAGTTTTACATTTTAAAATTAGTACACTGCATCAGATGCAGTGTTGGCATGTAACAGAAAATGTTATATTAGTGTAGGTTTTGCTGCTGATACAGTCTTACTTTGTGAATAAATATCACTAAATACCACTTTTAATGAAGTTCTAGTGTTTTCCTGAGGGTGTAAAGTGCAGGGTACACTTTACTGCTGCTTTAACAGAACATCGAACGTGATGAATTTAATGTGATGAGATTCACTAATTCTGGATCATTTCTATTGATCTATGGTGGAACAAAATAAAAGTTAACATGATATAACAGTGACAAACGTTTGAGGTACGTTTGGCTCTGAACACACCTGTGCAGGTGAGCCAGAGAGCAGGTAGGAGCTTTAAGGGGCTTTAATGGCTTTAGGAGAAATCACTTGAAGAAGAGACCTGAACTTTTCACATTATGAGCTGAAGAACGGTGACATTATCGCCACTATGCATCGTCGTCATCAGGGAACTTGTATTTTGCATAAATGATGAGCATTACGATCGCCATGACAACGCAGAGGGATCCAATCACCAGGTAGGCGATTCCGAGGAACTGGTTCTTCCCCCCCATCCAGGAGACGTTACTGAACACCACCTTCTTAGTGCCCCCAAAACTCAGCACGGGGTAATCTGAGAGAGGGGTCAAAGATCATATCCATACAGGAGAGGGGAAAGTGCAGAACTGCGCCACCTGCTGGCTGCTTTCAGAACATTTTAGATCTCCATTCATTTCTACACAGAGAAATTTCTGGTAAAATTATAGATTGAAAAAAATCATTAAAACAGCTAAAACAGTCATCTTGAAAACATACAACCCACTTTAACTATGAAGACACTGAGAATTTTAAAAATTGTGTGAAAGTGTCATCTGAGTTTTATATGGAATGTTGATGATGGAAAAAAGTAGAAAATATGAAATAAGTTTTCTTTGGGGACTATTTTGCCTCACAGTGCCCTGCACGTATCTCTCCACCATGAATGGAGTTTAAGTTCTCAAAACTATCATAAAACAGTGTCTCAGACATCAGGCAGTGAATTCATAACCATTTCATGTAATAACTTTCTGTGAGGGAGCTTTTAGAGGTGGACGTCTGGTTCCTGTCACCACCACTGTGAACAATTCTGACTCGGTACGTTTCTCTAGAACTGAGCATTTTACACCAAACCACTCTGAACCACTCCCAGATAGTGATGTCATCAGTGCACAGTACTTGTACTATTTTATTCTGGGGAAACATCTGTATTTTACGACAATCATTTGGAAAATTGACACAGTGTCAAAAATAACAAGGGCTTGCTACAAGTATTATTATTGTAATTATTGCCATTGTTATTATTATTATTAATAATCATAATGTTGGCAGAACAATACCCAGATGTTTAAAAATGGCCCTGAATTTAACTAAACACGGTCAAAACATAGCATATTGTCATAATCTGTAATGTGCATCACCTCCAGTCCACTGCTAACCTACATTTAGGACACCAGGGGGTGACAGATCTGATCTGAATTATACAGATAAAATGTATGATCAGCTTTTTCATTAAACGATCACGATAAGATCTCAGTGGCCTCCATGATAGTATTTACAGTGATTAATTTAAGTAAATCTCGTTCCACATTCACCAACAAAAATGAAAAAAGGAACAAAACAACAACAAAACGGAAAAAGCTCTGAAGACTAAGTAACCAAAAGCTTCTTTACACTGAGATGGTCTGGACTTTTGACTAAAACGCCTGATTTAACTTGTTTCAACAGACACATTTAACATATTCAAAACATGCACCCTCTCTCTCTCTGTCTCTCTCTCTCTCTCTCTCTCAAGCTCAGCCACACCCAACCAGCCGAACCCGTCTGTGAGGATCTGATAAAGCTGCACCTTAAACAGAGCAAACAGAGGAACAGAGGGCCGTAGTTTTCCACTAAAACCGCATACAAAAGTAAACTCCTGCAGTGTTTATCATTTGCAAATGAATATATAAAGCAAAACGATGTAGAATGCCATGTGCCTTCAGATATAAAAGCGGTTTACATTAGCCTTTGATGTTTTATATTTGATGATTAGGATAGTAACAACTGAGTAGCTGCTTATATTGCATTTAACTGTATTATATTGAATTGAATTGAATTGAATCACAGCATATATTGTATCACAGAGTGTGTTTACATGCACTTACTGATCTGATCATCATCAGATTTCTGCAGTTATCTGATAATTAAGCAGTCGTGTTAACACACACTGATGTCTTAGTTTAGATTAAGGTCTATAAATCTGATTAAGAAATCTGCACAGCACTTTTGGAGTGACGCTGAAACCGAATACATGCTTTACCAAATGAAGGATTTAAATACTCTTCATCTTTTAGATGATGTATGTTTATATCTTCTGCGGAAGTGACTGGTTGTAAAGCAGAAATCTGATTACTGATTTTCTGTAGTTATCAGATTATTTAGAGCATGTAAACACACTAATCTGTCGCTCTGAGTCAGGTGTGAATCATACTGAATCTCTAATGTGTCACTCTGAGGCAGGTGTAAAGGATACTGTAGCTGATCTGGAGGGTGTAGTTTCCAGCTGGGAGCCCCTGACTGTAATCTCCTCCCGTTATTCTCCCGTAAAGCTTCCTGAAGTTAGGCAGCGCTGCACGCCTCATCCACACCAGGAAGTCCTGGTTCAGGAAGCCATTATTGGCCTGGTCAGTCGGGTCCAGCTCGTATGCCGGCTTCCACCAGTTTAAGGGCTTCACCGTCCCTGAGAATCAGAACGCAGGAGCTCAAACTGAAGCAGAAACTACAGACTGTGTATGAGAAACAGGCAATATAAACAAAACTAGACAAAATACAACCCCATTTCCAAAAAGCTTTTATGTAAATAAAAATAAAATGCAATGATGTGCAAATCATTTAAACCCTGTATTTTATTGAAAATAGTACAAAGACAACAAATCAAATGTTGAAACTGAGAAATTGCATTGTTTTCTGAAAAATATTTGCCCATTTTGACTTTGACTGCCAACAACACATTCCAAAAAAGTTGGGACGGAACAACAAAAGGCTGGTAAAGCTGTGTAATGCTAAAAAACACTTGGTGAGCCTCAGTCTTTCAGAAGTAAAGATGAGGAGGGGTTCACTACTCTGTGAAAGACTGCACGATCAAATAGTGCAACAATTCAAGAATAACGTTTTTCAACGTAAAACGGCACAGAACTTTTGCTTTTCATCATCTACGGTACATAACATCATTAAAAGATACAGAGAATCTGGAGAAATTGTCGCATGCAAGGGACAAGGCCAAAAACCTGTATTTGCTGGCCGTGATCTTTGGGCCCTCAGGCAGCACTGCATTAAAAACATGATTCTGTAGTGGAAATCACTGCATGGGCTCAGAAAAAGTTCTGAAAAACACCGTCTGTGAAAACAGTTTGGCGCTGCATCCACAAATGCAAGTTAAAACTTTAAAACGCAAAGAAGAAACCATACATAAACAGGATCCAAAAATGCTGCCACCTTCTCTGGGCCCGAGCTCATTTACAATGGACTGAGGCGAAGTGGAAAAGTGTCCTGTGGTCCGACAAATCAAAATTTGAAATTCTTTTTGGAAATCATGGACACGGTGTCCTCCGGGCTAAAGACCACTCAGCTTGTTATCAGTGCAGTGCTCAAAAGCCAGTATTCATGATGGTATAGGGGTGCATTACTGCACATGGCATGGGTGACGTGCACATCTGTGAAGGCACCATTAATGGTGAACAATATATACATGTTTTGGCAACATATTCTGCCATTTCAAAACTACAGCAGTTGCTCTCCTCAGTTCCCAAATGCTTACAGCGTGTTGTTAAAAGAAGAAGTGATGAAACACAGTGGTGAACATGCCCCGTCCCAACTTTTTTGGAATGTGTTGTCGGCATCAAATTCAAAATGGACATATTTTTAAAAAAACAATACAATTTCTCAGTTTCAACATTTGATATGTTGTCATTGTAGTATTTTCCTTTAAAAATATGGTTCACCTGATTTGCATCATTGCATTCTATTTTCATTCTATTCTCACAATAGTGTATCAACAGAATCTTGGGTACGGACCATCGAAGGCTGCTGCGAAGGATCCGTTGACTGGAGAAGGATTTCTATATTTGATGTTGTAATCCGACCACCACGCGATTCCTTTACCATCAAACGGTACCTGCTTCCTACTGCCGTTAACCAGCAGATACAGCCTGAATGTGTCTGTACACAAAACAGCAAACGGACAGTGAGCATCCACTCTGTCACACTGTACACCATCTGCTGATCCACGGTTCTCTAGACCTTTATCCGCGGTCGGTTTCTGACCACAGAGCTCCTCTCGGCTGTTCGTCCGCTCTCAACCTAGCAGTGAGACTGACCAGTCTAAAAACTCAGAAACAACACTGTGGTGCTACAAAAGTGGCAAGTTAGTTGAAGTAAAAGGTGGGTGTTCCAATAAAGTGGCCAGTTAATGGAACCACAAGGTAAGTGTTTCTGAAAAAGTGGCCAGTGTGTGGAAGCACAAGGTGGGTGTTTCTAATAAAGTGGCCATTTAGGGGAAGTAAAAGATAAATGTTTCTAATAAGGCGGCCAGTTAGAGGAAGTACAAGGTAAGTGTTTCTGATAAAATGGACAGTGTGTGGAAGCACAAGGTGGGGGTTTCTAATAAAGTGGCCAGTTAGTGGAAGTACAAGGTAAGTGTTTCTAAAAAGTGGACAGTGTGTGGAAGCACAAGGTGGGTGTTTCTAATAAAGTGAAAAATTAGTGGAAGCTTAAGGTGTCTGTTTCTAATAAATTGGCCAGTTACTGGAAGCACAAGGTGGGTGTTTCTAATAAAGTGAAAAATTAGTGGAAGCTTAAGGTGTCTGTTTCTAATAAATTGGCCAGTTACTGGAAGCACAAGGTGGGTGTTTCTAATTAAGTGGCCAGTTAGTGGAAGTGAAAGGTCGGTGTTTCTAATAAAGTGACCAGCGGGTTAATTTAGATGTGTTTATTTGTGTAGACACAAACAAGCAATGGCTTATTGAATACTTCTTTTAATTTAATTACTAAACAAAGCTTTGATTAGTGAGTCTGGTGTGGTGCTGGTGCTGGAGGAGGTACCGTTGAACATGCTATTTGCAATGGATCCACAGGGAACGATGGGTGTGCCGTTGGAATTGTTTCGATAGGGAGAGCAGTAAGACTGCGGGTCCTGCAGTGGCAGAGAAGAATTAGCAGAAAAATGAGGAAAGAGCGTAAGACCAGGCTAAAGAGGACTGTTTGGGGATGCTAAATTATGCTCTTACCAGGAAGTATTTGGTGTCTCCAGACAGCTGGTAGTCATCCTTAGACACTCCGTACTGTCTGTAGTTCTGGTAATAGTTGGTCAGGCCATAGTAAAAGAAGACCGGACCCTAAAAAAAAAAACAGAGTATTTATTCTGTCACTCAGCAGACACTCAAACCCTGAAGTAAAGTGATCAGAGCGCCTGTTTGTGTTCAAAAAGTAGGTTAACAGTGAACTAGTCGTGATTACAGGTTGTCGTAGCATCACACATCAAGTGAACTCCGTGTTCAGTGATATTTGACATACATCACTGTTTCACAGACAGTAAAGGACAGAAATACAGTTTAACGAATGTTTCCCCAAAACAGACTACAGACTTCGTCGAGTTGATGATGTCACTAATCACACATCCCACAAAGCAGCTCCGGCGCTGAGCCCCAAGTTCACACTTAGACATATCAGAAAAATATTCGGCTAATACATTGTACTTATGGCTGTTATGTTTATGGTCTTTCACAAAAGCTCTAACTCTGAGTTCATTTTAGTCTTCGGCTATTAAAAAACTTTCTATGGAGAAATGAATAGTGATGAATAGTGATGAATAGTGAAAATGTTTTAAACACAGCCAGCAGATGGCGTAGGTTTCCACTTTGACTCACCATAGCTAGACAGACAAACTTGTTAAGACAACATTGTTGATGATTTATTACATAATAAAAATTGCAGCACTTGCAATCTGAAAATTGCACTTTCAAAGTGTGATTTTGATATGAAAATGATTCACCTTTAGCTCTACTACACAGACAGATAACTATACAAATAACTAGACAGACACATAAATAAATAACTTTACAGGTGACCATATACACATGATAAATAATAACCCACAGAGAGACGTCCGTGCCAAAAACATGCAGTGCAGAAAAGTATAGGCAGAAAACAAGAGTGCGTGAAGGATGATACCTCAAACAGCTCGGATAGGTAGAAGCTGAGCTCACAGGTGCAGTTCTGCGTGGAGAGAGCGCTGCACTGAAAACAGGGCGAGCTCGTCGCAGTGCCTGTGTATTCCAACTACATAAAAACACACATAAACATTAATGATTCACCACTCAGCACATCACAGCGCTACATACACAGCTTCAACTTAACCCATGACCTCCTTACAGTCCTGTAAACTTATTCTGATCACTCCAACCCACATCACATTTACACAGTTCATTTTAAGATTTTAATATTCAACTTCACTGTTATTGTTTTTCCTCTCTTAAATTTGCCTGTTGTACTACTTCATTTCCAGGTGATTGCAAACGTTTTGGCACTCTGGTCAACTTATATATTTTGTTGGTTTTTGAAAAGAAGTAAACATGACAAACATGGCAGCAAAATACTGAAAAGATTTTAAATTTGTGGCATGTGCAAAAGTTTAGAATCCAAGTTTTTAAGTCTCAGAACTTACTAATTAGGCCTAAATTAACTCATTAGGCCTCAAGTTACTCGTTAGGGCTAGTTAGGCAGGTTAGGAAGTGTCAGCTGATGAAAACTCCAGAGTGTAATAAAGTTTGAGACTCTTCATGGCTTCAAACACTCAACAACCATGAGCTCCTCTAAGCAGCTGGCTGAGGATTTGAAAATGAAGGTAACTGATTCCTACAAAGACATCAAAGGAAACTTCTGATGACTTCTTAACACACAAGTCAGCATCTGAAGTATTCAAGTGGAGCTCTTTCGCCACAATAAGCAAAGGAATAAAGGATCAGCATTTGATGAAAGGGACATCATGCCAACTGTTAAGCATGGGGGTTCATCTATTGTGCTTTGGCAGCTGCACAGGTAGACGGAAGAATGGATTCCACTAAATATTAGCGAATTCTGGAAGCAAACGTAAACCAGTCAGTCATGGAACTGAAGCTGGAGAGAGGCTGGCTTCTTCAATGGGACAAAACATACTTCCAAATCCACCATAAACCACTTCAGGAAACGATGAAGCTTTTAGAACGGCCCTCACTGACTCATCATTGAAAATCTGTGAGTAGATCTTAAACATGCTGTGTGTGCAAGAACATTGCAGAACTACAAGTGTTCTCTGAGGAAGAGTGGGTAGAAATTCCTCCTAGCTGGATACAAAAAACTACTATTCATTTGAAAAACTTAAAATAAATATTAAGTAATTTTGCTTTAAAATTAGCAAAAAGTGTTTTTTAATAATATAATTTGCTGCAGTGACTCTTTTCATTTCAAAAATCAAGAAAATGTGTCATTTGGCAGGGTGCACAAACCTTTGCACATCTGTTTTTTTATTATTACATTTTGTTTCCTACTTATTTCATTAATTTGTAAAACAGTTGCCTTATAACTGCATGAAAGGGTTTATATAAATACATCTTATTATTGTGCTTGTTATTATTAATATTTTCCAAATGTTACCTCCTGCACTTTGATGTTCTGTGAGGTGATGAAGAGCGCAACTCCGATGCCGATGAAGGCCAGGCCAATGAGGGTGAAGAGTGGGATGACTATGCCTGCGGAGAGCATGGGCTGCCAGGCGGGGAGACGCTGCTGCGTGAAGGCCGTGTTGTCCGGACGGTTCGCAAACTCACCCTCAGATTTCATCCTGAGAGAGAAAACAGCAGAACTAATGACTGACGGAGCAAATATCTGAACTCCGAATGAGTCGATTCTCTACACAGTAGAGGAATACAGACAACAAAAACAACACAACAAACTTTTTAGGGGAACTTTTATGTTTAAAAATAGCCTGAGACATTTATTTTGGCCAAAAAATGAGTGCATCCTTCTTTTAATATAATTATAATTGATTATGATTGATTCATTTAAAATGCTTTAGCATTTTATTTTAGTTTATTTAGGACCCCAAACAAAGAGAAGAATAGGATAAAACTAACTGTATGGATTCTTAATCGCCAGCACATAACCATTAAAGGTGGAACAAAGAATTCAAATGAGAACCCAAGTTTAGCCTCATAGTCGCTGTGCTAATAAATGCTGGATGTTCTAAGACATTCCACTGCGGCTCTACAGGGGAACTCAGCTCTCCAACAGTTTTTGGACATGTGTTACTCAGAGCAGGTTGCTGCTCGTCACTGCAGTAATAATAATAGACGCCACAGAGTAAAAAAAAACGTATGAAACAACATCCAGGTGAAAGAATCTCTTTTTTTAGAGAGGATACTTTCTACATACTTTTCTACATACTTCTATAGTTTGGAAATAAAACACTTTGATGTAGCACATAAACATTGCTAAAACATCCATAAGGTCCATATAGGGAAACGAAGCCTCTAAACGGCCCTTTTTGAGTTCCTCATGGTTGTGATGCCACAACTACATACACATTTATGTGTCAGCCTGCAGCAGTTTAGCCCCGCCCATAAATGCTAAAGTTATAAGGAGTGTTGCAACCCAGATTGAATTAGGAAATGCAATGCAGGGCAGCCAATAAGAACAGAGCTCATTTACATATTTAAGTCTTAAAGGGCAATTTCACTGGTTTGAGTGTGTGAGATGTAATCAAAGAGATTCAGAGCAGTTTGGTGTGAAATGGTTCAGATGTCTTTACAGTGGTGGTGATAGGAACCAGGGGTCGCCATGACTACAACACAAATATAGACATTTTATTTACTATCCAAAACCACCAGTGAACCTACACATGTCTTCTGAGTTTCATATGGAATGTTGATAATGGGAAAATAGTGGAAACTCTGAAATCATAAGTTTTCTTTGGGGACTATTTTGCCTCACAGCACCCTGCATGTATCCCTCCACCATAAATGGATGGAAATTGAAAATCAAAAATGTATCAAAGTACGTTTTAGAACAAAATTTTTATCACAAAACTATCATAAAACAGTGTCTCAGACATCAGGCAGTGAATTCATAACCGTATCGTGTAATAACTTTCTGTGAGGGAGCTTTTAGAGGTGGACGTCTGGTTCCCCATCACCACCACTGTGAAAAATCTCTTGGTCTTGGTAGGTCTTGGTAAGTTTCTCTAGAACTGGGCGTTTCACACCAAACCACACTGAACCAATCTGTTTACATCTTAACCGTTTAATTCTGCAGGAATTTTGAAAAAATGGTGGAGTCCCCCTTTAAAGGCACAGCCTGTTTATTTTTACAAGGTAAAGAGAGGTTATGTTTTTGATATAAAAACTCACACAAATGTTGTAAATAGAAGTCAGAGGAAAGAAAATAAAGTTTGTACAAAATGAAGGATATGAGCTCTTTAAAAAACTCCATGTAGCTCAAACACAGAACTCCGACAACACTAAGCAGGAGTTCATATTTGTGAGAGTAATAGTGACACAACAGTTTTTACATTGTCCTTTTCTATAAGCTGGACTACAATTATAGATAATATTAGGCCTATACGCTCTTTAAAAGCCCCCTTACAAAGGTTTGTTATATAGTTCTTATTGTTTATTAGTCATGAATCATCCTCAAAAGCCCTGAATATGTCCGGAAACAGCATTTTCTTACTCGTCTGTTTGTCTAAAGTTGGTCTGCTCGCGCTTAGCCCAGTTTACTCACCTGGCTCACGAGCTGGATATCACGTGGTGAAAAAATGAACCAAAATTATCCAGAGAAAACGACATAAACGTCTTTTTTTTCCTTTATAAACAGCTGTAATCGCTGAGCTGAAGTACGTCCGGCATTACCTGTCCAGCAGGCTCACCTGCACACGTAGGTTAACTTCCGGTTTCCTCTCTAAAGAGGACTAAAATAAACATTTATCATCAATTATCGCCTTCATGTGTATCTACAGTTATGAAAGTATGGCATTAAGCATCACACCCACTACGACGAGAATTCAGGAACTGCCTTTGTTCATAAATATTCAAGCCATATTTTCAAATTTATGAACTATTTGTGAAATAATTGTTAAAGTCGTATAAAAATTATAATAACATTTTAAAATGTTTCAAAAGCAAAAAATAAATGGATTAAAATAACACTACAATTACGTTAAAGCGTTTTGCATTTACTTCCAATTCCCGGCCACGCATTTGATCGACGTGCATTTCAACCAATCGCTTCTTGGCAAAAGCCAAACCCCGCCCATCCATGCACCAGCCCGGTGACCTGATTGGCTGCTCCTTCACTGCCTCACGCATTGTGCTGTAGCTCCTTTGTGCCGAACGGTAGCGAAAGAGGTAAACAAATAAACACATTTATTTAACGAAATAAACAACAAGCAGCATCTGCGAGGTTGTGTAAAGGTACGTCTGGCTTATGCAGTAATAACTGTGCCTCGAGTTTAATGGATATTGGCTTAAAATCGGCCGCTGTAGCTGAGGGAACTTAGCGTTAGCGCATGGCTAAGCTAGCTGTGGCTATCTTTAGAGAAATAATGGAAATACAATAGGTAGGATATTGTGTGTTCAGTCGGTTTATAATTGGTTATTTCGGATTATATTGTGGTCTTATGATGTGCTTATTGACGAGACTAAAGTCACGAAGCTGAAGCCGGCATCGTATTCGCCAGCTCCTTGTTTGAATTGTCCAGTTCCACCTTAAATGGTGCAGCAGTTACAACTGCTGCACCATTTAAGGTGGAACGGGAAAGTTCGAATAGGAAGCTGGCTTTAGCTTGGGCTAATATTGGCGTCTACGCTTCAGGCGCCAGAATGTAAGTTAGCTGCTGCATCATTGAAGGTGGGACAGGGAAATTCGAAAAAAGGAGCCAGCTTCTGCTAATATTGGCGTCTATGCAGGCTTCTGGTCCACCTTAAATGGTGCGGCAGCCTGTAACTGCTGCACTTCTTAAGGTTGAAAGGAAATATTCGAATGTGTTGTTGTTTTGTTATGCAGTAGCTTAACACGAGTGTGGGTTATTATGGCTAGCTATATATAGCTTTAATATGGCTTTAATGTGTGCCATATTGAGTTATTGTGTGGACCGTATGTTATTAAATGTGTTAGGTGGTGAAAACTAACAACAGCAGGGGTCATAGTCTGTGTTGGGTTGAATTGTTGTGTGGTGCTAACTTTGGGATGCTCTTTATTGTGTTATTATTTGTGTTAAAGGGGAACTCCACCGATTTAAATTTTTCTCCATATTAAATGGTTAAGATGTAAACAGGGTCATTCAGAGTGGTTTGGTGTGAAATCTCACGTTCTAGAGAAACTTACTGAGTCAGAATTGTTCACAGTAGTGGTGATAGGGACCAGACGTCCACCTCTAAAAGCTCCCCCACAGAAAGTTATTGCATGAAGTGGTTATGCATCTGCTGCCTGTCTGAGACATTGTTTTAGGACTGTTTTCAGAAAATTTTGGCCTTAAAAATACGTTCATGGTGGAGAGATATGTGCAAAGGGATACATGCAAAATAGTCCCCAAAGAAAACTTGTTATTTCAGATTTTCTGCTATTTTCCATCATCATCATTCCATACAAAACTCGTGTAGGTTCACTGGTGGTTTTGGATAGTAAATAAAATGGCTATATTTGTGTTTTAGTCATGGTGACCCCTGGTTCCTATCACCACTACTGTAAAGACATCTGAACCATCATTTAAAACTGTGTAATTTTCCTTTAATATGATCATATATTGTGTTGTTTTGTGCTGTTGTGTGGTATCTAACCCTAGTGTGGTTTTGTTTTTTTGAGTTCATACTTTGTGTTATGTGCTCTCTATCCAGTGTATTGTTGTAAATTGTGTTATATTGTGTAGAGAAACCCATCATAGTTGTGATTATTCCAGTTTCCTCTTTCCTGGCCCTTATATGTGTTTTCTGATTCTGCCTTTGTCTCCCAGTGTGTGAATGGATATTTCCCGCTGCACCGAGAAATGGGTAAAACAAAACAAGGTTACTGTTTGGTTAATGTGCAGTCGACGTGAATTTACCACCATTAAACATCTCTCAGCGCATTAAAACAGCATCTCTCTGTTCATCACGCCGGCCATCAACAGGTGTTTCCATTCATTACGGTCAGTCACGGGCAGAGCAGGTGCTACACAGCAAGAGGGACGAGGAGAAAAGCCTCAATCAGTCTTAATAATGGAATTCATTCAGTCCGACATAAATATATCAAAGATTATAGTCGAATTCAACAGCTGTTAGCCATCTGTGACCTGTATGAACTCTCCCAATGAATTAACCTCTTCTTTTATTTAAAATCAGGCCTCATCTATTAAGGCCAATTATAAGTGTCGCTTGACAAAAAATGAAGTAAAAAGAGACAAAAATTTGCGTCTGCTACACAGTGCTACACTAATCACTGAAATTACAACACGTTCCCAGGTAAAACTAATCCAGTTCCAATAGGCCTTTATTAACACTTAGAAAATCAACACAACATGGAATTTGACCAGGGGTGCACAAACTTGCATACGACTGTATATAATTACATATCTGTCTTTATATAATCACATCCATCCAGTTCTGATATATTTTTTTTTAAATCAAATTGCTGGTTGTGTTCACTGTAGCTAACACTGGTTATACTGTCACATCAACCCTCATGCAGACGTCTACAGTGACGAAAAATTATATGTTGAGTCAAGCAAAACTACACATTCTTTACCAGAGTGAAAATATAAGCACTCATTCTGTTAGCATACATGCTAAAAACGTTAGCAAAGTTAGCACAAAGTTAGAAGTCACAACTTTTGTTTTTTATAAGTCTCGTGATATCTCAGTGAATGCTTTTACTGTTTTTCTTTTATTTACATTTGTTTGACTGTTCACAGCGCACCCAGTTCACATTGTTTGTGTGGCTTAATATAGCTGTGAAATGTAACGACTCTGGAAAACAGTTGCAGTGAGCTTAAATACCTGTGAGCATCTCAAATTATTGCAATTAGGCGATTACATAATGGTTTCCTGTATTGCGCGAATGTCAGCATGAATGTACCATCACTTAGCACATTAAACAGCATTTTTCTGTTCATCACGCCGACCATTGACAGGTGCACACGTGCCTTCAGCTGCCGTTCATCCTGTGTCAACTCCAAACGACTCTGATCAGCGCCACATTTCACCTCCCTCTTCCTCTTTTACATTTCTGCTCTAGAGCTCCACACCACCTCTCACTTCTCCTTCTCCTCATCTGTCTGTTGTTCCAGGAGAGGCCACTGTCTTCCTCCATCATGCTGTCGAGTAAGAAAGACTCCGCCCCCTCCTCCTCTTCTTCCTCGGGCGGTAATGGAGTTGATCGTACATTGGACGCTGCTGCTGGCTCCGCTCCTGGCCCTGCTGGCCCCGCCCCCGGCCCTGCAGAGGTGAAGAAGAAGGAGAGGGCGTCTCCAAGTGGGGAGGGGGGCGGCCCGCCCCTTCCACACCCCCCTGGTCCAGGGGGTGTTGACCAGGACTCCGCCGAAGGACGGAGGACCAGCCGCCGAAAACGAGCCAAAGTGAACACCTCATTAGTATCTTCCCCCATCAGTGCCTTCCCCCCATCCTTCCATCGTTGGAGCCCTCACTGATGGAGCCTTCCCTCGTTAGAACCCTCACTGATAGAGCCTTCCCCTTCAGAGCCCTCACTGATAGAGCCTTCCCCTGTTAGAACCCTCACTGATAGAGCCTTCTCCATTACAGCCATCGCTGATGGAGCCTTACGTCGTGAGACCCCTCACTGATAGAGCCTTCCCTGTTAGATCCCTTACTGATAGAGCCTTCCTCCGTTACAACCATTGCTGATGGAGCCTTCCCCGTTAGAGCCATTGCTGGTGGAGCCTTCCCTCATTAGACCCCTCACTGATAGAGCCTTCCTCCGATTCGAACCCTCACTAATAGAGCCTTCCTCCGTTAGAACCCTCACTGATAGAGCCTTTCCCTGTGAGAGCCTTCACCTGTTAGAGCCCTTACTGATAGAGCCTTCCCCTGTTAGATTCCTTACTGATAGAGCCTTCCTCCGTTACAGCCATCACTGATGGAGCCTTCCGTCTTGAGACCCCTCACTGATAGAGCCTTCCCTGTTAGATCCCTTACTGATAGAGCCTTCCTCCGTTACAGCCATTGCTGATGGAGCCTTCCCCGTTAGAGCCATTGCTGATGGAGCCTTCCCCGTTAGAGCCATTGCTGATGGAGCATTCCCTCGTTAGACCCCTCACTGTTAGAGCCTTCCCTCGTTAGACCCCTCACTGTTAGAGCCTTCCCCGTTAGATCCCTTACTGATAGAGCCTTCCTCCGTTACAGCCCTCACTGATGGAGACTTCCCTGTTAGAGCCTTCACTGATGGAGCCTTCCCTTGATAGAGCCCTCACTGATGGAGCCTTCCCTCATTAGACCCTCACTAATTGAGTCTTCCTCCTATTAGAGCCCTCACTAATAGAGCCTTCCTCCATTAGAACCCTCACTGATAGAGCCTTTCCCTGTCAGAGCCTTCACCTGTTAGAGCCCTTACTGATAGAGCCTTCCCCATTAGAGCCATCACTGATGGAGCCTTTCCTCGTTAGAGCCATCACTGATAGAGCCTTTCCTCGTTAGACCCCTCACTGATAGAGCCTTTCCTCATTAGACCCCTCACTGATAGAGCCTTCCCCCGTTAGAGTCCCTCACTCATAGAGCCTTCCCTCGTTAGAGTCCTCACTCATAGAGCCTTCCTTCGTCAGAGCCCTCACTAATAGAGCCTTCCTTCGTCAGAGTCCTCACTAATAGAGCCTTCTCTTGTTAGACCCCTCACTGATAGAGCCTCCCCCCTGTTAGAGCCCTCCCTGATATTCTTCCTTCGTTAGTTGTCTGTGTTTATAGAAGTGTCTGTTGTTTCCTGCAGTGAGAGTGTGGTTGTAATGGAGTGTTTATTGCGCCTCTTGCTGCAGGTGGAGTACAGAGAGATGGACGAAAGCCTGGCTAACCTGTCGGAGGACGAGTATTATTCAGAGGAGGAGAGAAACGCTAAAGCAGAGAAAGAACGAAAACAGGTGCTGCCCCCACCCGCCCCACCAGTGGAGGAGGAAAATGACAGTGAACCAGATGAACCATCAGGTCAGGGCAGCATGCACACATACAGGGTTTAAAGGGAAAGTGAGGTTAAAAAAAAATTACACTTTCCCATAGCTTACTCTGATGAACCTCATGTGGCTAACAAGCATTGGAAGCTTATACCCCATAAGTCAGCGTGGTGCTAACTTGCCACAGACAGTGTGAAGTTGCTCACTAATCTCTAATAGACCTGACTGTAACTTTAAATTCTCGGTACCATGTTTCTGCATTTGTCTGTTTAGATTCTGTTCAGAAACTCACCTGGGCAAAATGTGCAGTGGTTGCAGTGTATTTGTATACGGCATGTGTGCAGTTTATTTGTCTTGCAAAATTGCTCATGTTCATTCACCGTCCTGGTCACCTGTCAAGTCACATTTCCCCTCACTCTCCTGTCCGCTCGTCTGTCCTCTTGCGTTCTCACTGGAGCCCGACTGAAATAGAATTTTAAGACCGATGCCGGTTTCGATATCTGAGGATTTAAAATCTGATATATCCAAGATATCGGCAGATTTTTTTTTTCTCAGAAATACATAAGTACATCACTGGACATAATGAAGTTCGAAAAATAAACTTGCACCTTTGGAGTTTCACACTGTAGAATAACAAATACAGATGAACATCTGTCCTATTATTGGGAGCATCTGAACATGGCGTGTTACTTATAACTGTACTGGAACTCCTTTTTGAGGCGCGAATAATGTCTCAGAGCATATCAGTGTGCTCTGTGTGCTAACAGTGTCACAACACACACACTACACGTTTGAAAGACAAGCTAGGTGAGCTTGTTTGACTACCAAGCCATGTTAGATACTCGTTCAGCTCATGTTTATTTACATATCCCCTCTGGTTTAATTATTTCCAATGCACCAACTGTAACGACAGACAGACATATTTACCATCGGTTCATTTAGGCACGAGGCTTTATTTGCCAGCTTGTCCGAATTCTCCTGTTCCACCTTAAATGGTGCAGCAGTTACACTCTGGCGCCTGAGACTGTTGCTGTAACTGCTGCACCATTTAAGGTGGAACGGGAAAATTCAAATAAGTAGCTTCGTCATTTAGGCAGAATAAGTTAAGCAGTATCGTTTAACCGCTCATTAGCATTAGTTATTTTCCACTGATGTACACATCACTAGCTAGCTTTGTGGGTAACCTAATGCTAGCCACAGCGTTATAAGGTGCTGTAAGCTGTGTTGCCAGAGAATTTAAGAAGTGATGAGCTGGAGAGAAAAGACAGGACTGTTGTTTGTTTAGTTGCTAGAACTGACACACTGTTTCATAAATAAATCTACAGTCAGGTTTGTCAAAAGCTTAGCCTTCACCACCCAACTAATGTAACGCTAAACATAGGCTAATTGTGATGAGCTGAACAGAGGAGTGATAGCGATATTTTTATTATTATTGTTAATGTGTTTGTCAGCATGAATACTCTTTCGTGGGCTAACGTTACTCTGCTTAACTCTGCTTTGGTCAGCTGATTGTTGTGATTTGTAGCGTTCCAAACACATGTGTGTGCTGCCTCTGGGGAAGTTGCAGTGCGCCCCCTGATGGACAAACTATGCAGCTACAACATTCATAACGTGGTTGAAGGGATTTCCGCCTCTCTGTTTGATTTTAAATTGTTATTTTCTCAGTTGTTATTTCTCACTCACCGCTTTATCTGCAGCTAGCTCTTATCAGCATGCTGATTTATCAGTCAGCTCTAATTTTCCCCTGTCTGTTTACGTTTCTGCTCACATGCCTGCCAACCTGTCCGCTCAACTGTTTTCAGGTTTAGAGGGTGCGGCCTTCCAGAGCCGCCTCCCACACGACCGGATGACATCACAGGAAGCAGCCTGTTTTCCTGACATCATCAACGGGCCGCAGCAGACACAGAAGGTTTTCCTGTACATCAGGAACCGCACGGTGAGACACGGCTTGTGATCGGTCGAAAGCTTTACTAATGCACCAATCAGAGTTAGAGGAGGTGAACGAGTGTTTGAACGGTGCACTTAAGAATGTTTCAGTACAAACATTTCTAAAATGATTTCCATTGTGTGCGTTTTTAGCTCCAGCTGTGGTTAGATAACCCGAAAATCCAGCTCACCTTCGAGTCCACGGTTCAGCAGCTGGAGGCTCCGTATAACAGTCAGTAAATCCACACAAACACACACACCCATTTTCTAAACCACCCATAACATAGAAATACAGCAGTTTAGCCCCGCCCATTCTGCCTACAGCAGTTTAGCCCCGCCCATTCTGCCCACAACAGTTTAGCCCCGCCCATTCTGCCTACAGCAGTTAAGCCCCACCCATTCTGCCTACAGCAATTTAACCCCACCCATTCAGCCTACAGTAGTTTAGCTCCACCCATACACATTGAGTTAATTCATAAATAATTTTTACATTATCATTTTCCAGTCTCTCTTTACACCTGACAATTAAACAGGCTGTTTTTGTTATTGTGTCTTTAAGACTGAAGTATGTAAATGAGCTCTTTCCGGATTTGCTGCTTCATTCAAAAAATAGTCCAGACTGAAAGTCTTCTGATGACTTCAGTGTGAATAGGTGGAGCTAAATTGCTGTAAGCTGAATAGGTGAATATACAATATCTAAAAACACTGATTTTAACAACAGTTAAAGGCGTATAGCGTTTTCAGCTTAGCTTCCATATATGGACTGAACAATTGGAACAATGTTTACTTACATCAGAATTTTTCATAAAAAAAAAGAAGAAATTTTGGTTTTCCATTAAAAGGACAATTTAATAACAATTAATATAATAATCAGTTATATAGCAAGTGTTACTTTAGGTATTAAATTTAAAAGTAGTTTGCACAGGAATATGGAAAAAACTTGTAAATTACAGTTGTGTGGTTTTATTTTGCACTTGTGAGTTGAATGTTTGTGTTTATTATTTCAGGTGATGCTGTCCTGGTGCACAGAATCCACAGTTACCTGGAGAGACATGGCCTCATCAATTTCGGCATCTACAAACGGGTCAAACCTCTACCCAGTAAGTACTGTTTTTAAAGGGAGAGTTCACCAATAGATCAAAGTTCACTGTCATTCAGAGTGGTTTTGTGTGAAATGGTTCAGATGTCTTTACAGTGGTGGTGATAGGAACCAGGGGTTGCCATGACTACAACACAAATATAGACATTTTATTTATTATCCAAAACCACCAGTGAACCTACACGTGTCTTCTGAGTTTTATATGGAATGTTGATGATGAAAATTTTTTTTCTTTTAAAATTGTTTTATAATTTAGATTGTCTTCTAAGTATGTAAATTTGAGATAATATTGCACTGTATTTTTTATAATTCTATTCTCAATTAACAATGCAATAAAAGAATGAAGCTGAATAAAGCATAAACTTTATTAGATAATACAAGTATTCACAAAATATTGCAAAATATTGCGTAATGTCAATATTTATCATATCACAAATCTTTTAAGGGGGCCTATCATGCTTTTCTGTTTTTTACTGGAAGAGAGTGGGAAAGCTGACCAATCAGATCACACTAGGTTCATCAGGAGGCGGGGCATAAAAACACAGGAGCTCTAACAGAGTGGTTCAGACAGAGGGTCAATAGAGATGAACAGTATGAGGAAAATGTGTTTTTGGATCACTGAAGCTGTAAATCTGTTGCAGTAGAGCCCAAAATCTGCAATGTGTTTTCCGTATCACTGCTCTGGTATCGTATGCGACTGGTGGAACGTTTGTTCTGACCTGTTTGTGTCTGTAGGTAAGAAGACGGGGAAGGTGATTGTGATTGGTGCAGGTGTGTCTGGTTTGGCGGCTGCAAGGCAACTGCAGAGTTTCGGCATGGACGTCACCGTGCTGGAGTCCAGAGTGAGTACTGCATTACAGTCAGAATGACTGTGTGGATCATATGAACATTATAGAGCACTTTTTAAATGAAACAATAGAAGCCATATCGCCCCTACACTTCCTGTAGTGTGTTACAGTCTATCTGAATGGCTCTGTGGATCATATAAACTTTATTTTTTTTGTCGACAGGACCGTGTTGGAGGAAGAGTGGCCACCTTCCGTAAAGGGAATTATGTAGCAGATCTGGGGGCGATGGTGGTGACCGGCCTGGGTGAGACTGACCTTTACATTCACTCTTTCTTTATTAATGAAGTCCAGAAGATGAAGCCACACTTGAGCTGCTTTGGATCATCATAAGGCCCGGTCTTCTTCTACAGAGACTGGACTGTCTGTCCATCCACAGACCTGTCAGTCACTTCACAGCTTCAAAATTAACGTTTGTTCACAATAGTACAGAAAATAATACAATAAAGCTGCGACTCATTTGAAGTAGAAGCTCCTCAGCAGTATAAAGTGGGTTCACAATTATTATTATTATAACAATAATAACAGTTTCATGAATGTGATGTTTATTTCCCCAAAAATACCAAGAGAAACAGGCAATATATGGCTAAAGACAATTTATACATTGGTTTTTTTTCATTCATAACTTTGTTTTTAATTAACTTTCCATTTTTTTGTATGTTTTTTTTTTCTTGATTTATAATATGATTATTTATTTGATGTGCATGTTTGATTTGGGCGTTATTTAAATTGAAATGCATAATGATTGTTTAGAATACATTTTTAGTTGAGGCTGTTTGTTTTTACTGTGTTCTGTGTGGCTTAATATATTGTTGTCTAATTCTACAATATTTAACTCACCAGCTAATGGTGGACAAAGTAGTAATTTAGTAATATATACACACACACCCACACAGTCAGTGGTACAGATACATGAGTAAATGGGCCTGTAGTTTCAGGGTTTAAAATATCTTCTCACCAGCAGAGGGTGCAGTTTACCAGCTTAGACACTCTTATTCAATCTCTCTCTCTCTCTCTCTCTCTCTCTCTCTCAGGTGGTAACCCCATGGCTGTTGTCAGTAAGCAGGTGAATATGGAGTTGGCCAAAATCAAACAGAAGTGCCCCCTTTATGAGGCCAACGGCCAGGCAGTAAGTACACACACGTATTGATGTTTTAACCTTGAAAAAAAACTGTGAGCTGTAACTGAAAAGAATATATATAAAAATAGTGAGTTTCATATAATGCATGAAGAAATATACATATGTTGGCGACACTATCTAACACAGCTAACTGAAAGTGACTAACTAAGACCAGCTAACTATGCTAACTGAAGGAGACAAACACTAACTATGCTAACTGTGAAAATAGTTATCACTAGCTTAAATATGTTAACTAAAAATAGTTTTAAAAAATGTATATATTTTCTAAAAACAGGAGCTATGCTAATTAAGAGTAGCTATTACTAACTGAAAGTAGCTATTACTATGTACGCCACCTCAAAGTAGGTATCACTTGCTATGCTAATTCAAAGTACCTGTCACTAACTGTGCTAAGTGACAGTAGCTATTACCAAATGCTAAGTGAAAGTAGCTATTACTAACTATGCTAACTGAAAATAGCTTTTACTAACTGTGCTATCTGAAAGTATCTCACTGTAGCTAACCATGCTATCTTACTCTGCTAACTGAAACCAGCTAACTCTGAAAGCTAACATTAGCTAATCCTTCTAACTGGGAAAAGTTCATTTTAGCGAACTCTGCTAAATGAAAACATGCTCGTAAAGTTTTAGCCCTGAAGAGAACAGAAGCTGTGTTCTGGTGTTGAACACTAATGTGACCTGTGAAAAGAATACACATGAGAATAGTGTTCTTCACAGCTTACTTTAGCTATTCGAAAGTAGCTGTTGCTACAAAACTTTGCTGACTAAAAATAGCAGGTTTGTGCTGCTGTGATTCAACAGCGAGACGTCTTTCTATCTAGAGAGTAAAAGACACACAGCGCCACCCAGTGTGCTGTAGGAGGAACTGTTTAAAGTTTAAGCCTTTGCTGCTTATAGTGAGGCACAGATCGGCAGCATTTTGTCACAAAGAACCTCAGAGCCGCATTGACATGACTTGCTATTATTACAGTTATAGTTCTGCTAGCAGAAGTGGGTGTGTATTTTAGGGGCCCCTCCCACTTCGGCTGATAACTCCACCCTGTTTGATGCTCAAAGAGATAAATAGGCGTCAACTTTAACAGGGAGACCGGAACAAGGAGCTGTTGCAGTTTTTGTTTTTTTGTTTTTTCCTCTATCCTGTGTTCTGTAGTAAAGCGTTCATTTTCTTTCTCTTTCTCTCTCTCTCTCTCTCTCTCTCTCTCTCTAACAGGGAGAGCGATGCACAAGTGTGAGTACTGATTTAAATTATTATTTCAGTCAAAATGGGGGGAAAAAACACATTTTTCTCTCTTAAATGTTCCGTAACAGGTTTTTATACACTGTTTAGATGTGAATTAATTTTGTGCAGCTGAGAGAAATTACGCAGCTCGCAGTGGGGATGAATGACTGACATCATTTTCCTGAACAAACCACTGTAAAAGTATTTTTAAAGGAGTAATTCAGTGAAAACAACAAATCTACACAGTTTTATCCCACGTGTTCATATGTTGTGAAGCATTGTGTCTGGTTGCATGAAACACCTTAAATTTTCCCTTAAGATTTCCCTTAAGTATTTCCTAATGTTACGTGTGTTGAAACCTATGGTCTGTGGCGTGTCTGTGTTTTTGTAGGTCCCAAAGGAGAAGGATGAAATGGTGGAGCAGGAGTTTAATAGACTGCTGGAGGCCACGTCCTACCTCAGCCACCAACTGGACTTCAACTTCCTCAATAACAAACCTGTCTCTCTGGGTCAGGCACTGGAGGTGGTCATACAGTAAGTGACCAGTCACTACCAATCACTGACCAGTCACAAACTTGCACTGGTAATACTTCTGACAATAACAGCCAGTCACAGACTTGCTTTACTAATAATTCAGCCAATTACAGCCAATCACAGACTTACTCTAGTAATAACTCAGCCACTTGTACAGACAGAGTAAATTACAGCTACTAACTAACTCATTCTAATAGCACAGCCAATCATAGTTTTGCTCGAATGGCTTATTATAATTGCTTTATTGACCTGTTACTTGTAAGCTGTTCTAATGATATACACGTTTTTCTGTTGTGACGGTGTGTTTATTTATGGAGATTCTGTGTTTTTGTCCAGGCTGCAGGAGAAACATGTGAAAGATGAACAGATTGAGCACTGGAAGAAGATCGTAAAGACTCAGGAGGAGCTCAAAGAGCTGCTCAGCAAGGTACAGCAGGAGTAGCTGAGAATGCACCTCACACTAGAAACACTATGAAACTGAAACCCAAACCTGTACAGTACTTGCACCTCTGAGACCCGAACCAGGCCTGACTGGTGCTGCTAAATTTATCACTTTGACTGTGTGGATCATATGAACATTACAGAGCGCTTTTTAAATGAAACAGTATGAGCCATATCACCTCCTACTCTTCATGTAGTGTATTACAGTGACTGTGTGGATCATCAACATTATAGAGCGCTTTATTTTGCGGTAAAAGATGCAATGACAACAAATTCCATGTCAACATTTTTCTCAAACTTCACGTGCTCTCTTTTAGATGGTGGCCGCTAAAGAGAAGGTGAAGGAGCTCCATCAGCAGTATAAGGAGGCCAGTGAGGTGAAGCCCCCCAGAGACATCACAGCAGAATTCCTTGTCAAGAGCAAACACCGTGACCTCACTGCACTCTGCAAGGTACACACACACAGACTCACAGATTAAAGCGAACTCCCCAGGACTGTTTACATCCTGCTCCTGTTTGGGTGTTCACTAGTATCCGATATATCAGTTAGCTGATAATAGTGGCCGATATTACCAACCTCTGAAAATTTTGCTGATAGAACACCGACAGCTACTAAAATGTTTGATTGCGGTGTCACCAGGACTCGAACTCAGATTACCTGAGACCACTGGCGAGATGGTCTTCTAAATGACAGGGAGGTGGGGGGTTGAAAAAAGGCTGGTAAAAAGTGTTACATTTTTATGTACTTACTTACTTATTTTATTTTTTAAAGAATCTTAACTTTGACATGTACTCATTTAAGCCTATCTAAGTGTTTATTAGCAATGCTTCTGTCACCATAAGCCACAATTACCACTAATAATAATAAAAAAACTGTCATTTTAACAATTAATAGTAGTAGAAGTACTAGTTGTAGTTTAAATATTTAGAGTGTTTAATACACAGTTTAGTGTTAAGTTGAATCAAGTAAACTTTTAGCAGACGAATTATAGGGAACTCTTATTATGACAGTTTCTGCTGAATGTAAGTGCGGTGATTTCTACATTCTCAGTGGATTAGTTTAAAAATTCCATTTATTTCCTGTTTCTGTATCTCCTGCTGTGTCCTGAATGAATCCACAAAGGCAGTGCCAGATGTGCCTTTTGTTCAAATTACAATAATAATTTAGTTAGTTGTAGCTAAATTACAGTCAGTGTGCAGCGTTCATGTTGTGTCATGTTTGCGTTTGATTGGCTCCTCTTGCGGGCAGCTTTTAACATCGTAATTAATTTTGAAGAGCTTATGTTGGGGAACCAGACGCAGTGTCGGTGGTGGCTGAAGCAGATCTACCATCAGATGGAAATGTTTAGCTGCAGAAAAAAGTGTTAAAGGTAAACTGCAGGCTGGATTTATGGATAAATTGTAAATACGTGAAGGGCTGTATGAAGCTCGCTGATGGGCTGAGATCCCTGCATTAGACAGCAGTGATACTGTAGAACCCAATAAGAGCCCCTCTGAGGAGAATCAGAGCACAGAACACCACCATGGTTGCAAACATGTAAAATGTATCTAAACCTCACATTCAGCATCAGGATAACACATTATACTACAAAAAACCTTTATTTAAGAAGAATAACAATTAAAATAATTGGTAATTGTGGATAGCTCAGTCCCCAGTGCTACTATATTTATCCTATTTCTATATTTCTGTTTATTTGTTTGTTTTTTGTTTAAGAAGTGTGGCAATTAAGACCTCAGTCAGCAGAACACTGTTCAGCTACAGCTATGGGGATATAACATCACAAAACATGAATATACAGTTGTATTAGAATTTTTAGGCTCTAAAAATTGGTGTCAGCCACATAATTTTCATGTGGGTTGGGCCCAGCTGTGCACCCCAGGCACCGCTAAGTTGAGAAAATAAAGCAGCCTGTGGCTAATATGCTAATGTCGCAGATGTAATCAGCAAAGAGACCCATTAGTTCAACACATGCACAGGTTTTTCTGAAGTCCTAATGGAGCTCATTTAAACTATTTCAGTCTTTCTTTCACCTCATTTCCTATTCTGGGGGATTTTACTATTTTATGTTATTTATTTTGGCAGCAGCAGTCTCAGTTTAACACCAACAAACCGATTAAATATAATGAATCTGAACTGAAGGAAGATTAAATCTAAATGCTGCTGAAGCGCCCTCGTGCTCTGCACTCCTCCAGACCAGTTTTAAGTGCATATGTAAGTCATTAATGATCATTGGAATGGCTAAATTTAATGTACAGCATTAGTCACAGTTTACTTCAGTTTCACTGTCTGACCTTAAAGTGTGGAAGCGTTGTTTTAAGCCACACTGCCGGACCCGTGAGCATTTTCGGATGTAAAAATCAAACATATTTGAGGCCTCTGGTCACTCCAGAGCTGCAGCAGATCGAAAGGCTGAAGATTGACGTGTTTCTTCTTCAGACCATCCACATCCATGAAGCCCCTGACCTGGAAAATCATGTAGTTTGCTTCTGGCTTTACTCCTGCTTTAAACTGTGTTTTATAGGGCCTTAAGAGGCATGCATTGAACAACACTAGACAAAGTGATGAGTGTGATATCGTATAATCAATCAGGGTTGTTCTGTTTTATTTATGTGGAGTTTAAAAGCTTGTCTGTGTTATAGGAGTACGATGTGCTGGCTGAGCAGCAGGCCAAACTGGAGGAGAGATTGCAGGAGCTGGAGGCAAATCCACCCAGGTACATGCATACAGACGGACAGACTTGCACTATATGGCTAAAAGTATGTGGACACCTGACCATCACGCCTGTTTGAACTTGTTGGACGTCCCATTCAAAAACCATGGGCATTAACATGGGGTTACCCCCTGTGTGGCTATAACAGTTTCCTCTCTTCTGGGAATCTTTGCACAAGATTTTGTAGTGTGTCTGTGGGAATTTGTGCCCATTCAGTCAAAACAACATTTTTGAGTCAGACTCTGTTGTTGGACGAGAGAGTCTGGCTCACAATCGACGTTCCAGGTGTTCAGTGGGGTTGAGGTCAGGGCTCTGTGCAGGCCACTGGAGTCCACACCAAACACGTCAAACCATGTCTTTATGGACCTTGCTTGGAGCCCAGGGGCTCAGTCATGCTGGAACAGGAAAGGCTCTTCCTCAAACTGCTGACACACAGCTGGAAGTGTATAATTGTATAAAATGTCTTTGTGTGCTGTAGCATTAACATCACCCTTCACTGGAACTAAGGGGCCCAAACCCTGAAAAACAGCCCCAGCCCATTATTCCTCCTCCACCAAACTTTACTGTTGACACTGCATTCCAGTAGGCATCCACCAAACCCAGGTAGATAGAGAAGTGTGATTCATCACTCCAGAGAACGTTTTCTTTGCTCCAGAAGATAGGAGATTTTTACAGCACACAGCAGCCCTGCTCTGTGAGTTTGTGTGATCTACCGCTACACAGGTAAGGGCTATGTGTGCCTTGATGTTGCACTGTTTGTGTCGTTATATTGACCTCTCTCTTTCTCTTTCTCTCTCTCTCGCTCTCTCTCTCTCTTTTTCTCTCTCTCTCTCTCTCTCTCTCTCTCAGTGATGTGTATCTGTCCTCCAGAGATAGACAGATATTGGACTGGCACTTTGCTAATCTGGAGTTTGCTAATGCCACTCCTCTCTCTACTCTCTCCCTCAAACACTGGGACCAGGTAACGTTCCCTTTGGTTCTGTTTGGTTCTGTGAATAAATGTCTACAAACAAATTACCACAAATTCTTCCCTCAAGGAAAGTATCAATGAAAGTGTTCTACAAAAATGTGTATTTATTGTCTGTGTTTCCGTCTCTGTTTACTGACAGAATTGAGCATCTGCTTGTAGGCTTCTGTTTCTGTTTTGAGTCTGTTAGTTCCTGTGATTTTACTCAATATTATTGACAAAATTATGCTGTTGAAAACTTTTTGCATTGATGTCTTGGAAGCAAATGGTTTCAAGGTCAATCAATGCATAGCAAGCAAATTTTGACCAGGAAATCAGAAAATGCTAATGTTATCAAACATTGTCAGATAACTTTATTCTTTTTGTAACCTTGAGATTCTAGCTAACTAACTTCACGTTATTAGGCCTCTGGGGTCTGAGCATTTTCTAGATTTTTGCATATCGCTGCTGTCGGAAGAAAACCTTCTCCATTTTTGATGTTTTTCAGTTTTTGACATAATTTGAAAATACCTGTTGCCCTTTACATTGTGTGTATATTTCATGATCGGACCAAAAGTAATGGCCCAAAACAACCTGGAAAAAAATCTGGTTCCATTAATTTACATTAAAAGTAAAGTATGTTTTTCCTTCACCTTTAAAGGCCCCATTATATATTGAAATGTTCAGAACAATCTCTGCTCTCTATAATGAGGACCTTTTGATCTGGAGCTCTGTGTACAGAGATAATTCAGCCCTAAAGCTAAAAGAATGAAATCTAGTTTTAGAAATTGTTAATATCCCTTGTGAAAACACAGCTTTATTAATGTTTTGCTGCTTGAATAAAATAGTAGATAAATAGATAAACCCAAATGGTTGGGTATACAAATAAATGTGGTGTATTTTATTGACCTCAGTACATAATTTAATATAAGATCATTGACATAATTTCATGCAAGAATGTTCTGTTGTTGTTGTTATTATTATTATTAAATAACAGAATTACTTACATTATCCCTCTAGTAGGACTGCCACCATAATAAAGTAACCGCACCCCATAATAAAAGTTCTCACAACACCTGTGATTCTAGTGCCCCCTTACCTTTCTTTCTGTTTGTCTGCCTGTCTGTAGGATGATGATTTTGAGTTTACAGGAAGTCACCTCACTGTGCGGAACGGTTACTCCTGTGTCCCTGTGGCTCTGGCTGAAGGTTTGGACATCAAACTCAACACAGCTGTCCGCCAGGTGCGCTACACATCCTCAGGTGAGTTAGTACAACACTGTCCAGTGTGTAAAGATACGTTTCAAAACACACTGTTTATTCCCAAGAACATTCAGTCCATTTATAAACTGCAGAAACAGTTCAATTTGGTTGTGAAGTTACAGCTGTTAACATGGTTAGCGTATGAAGGCTACAGCACTTTAGCCCCGCCCATTCAGTCTACAGCAGTTTAGCCCCACCCATTCAGCCTACAGCAGTTTGGCCCCGCCCATTCGGCCTACAGCAGGTTAGCCCCACCCATTCTGCCTACAGCAGTTTGGCCCACCCATTTACATATATCAGTCTTAAAGGTACAATCACAAAAACAGCCTGTTTAAGGAATAAAGAGAGCTTGGAAAATTGAATGACTGTTTTTGGAAGGAAACTGGAAAGGGGGGAGTAAACTATTAAAACAAATTGAATATTTTAAGTGGAATAATTTTTCTTTTTCTCTCTTTTACTCTCTCTCTTTCAGGCTGTGAGGTGATAGCAGTGAACACTCGCTCCACCACTCAGACGTTTATCTATAAGTGTGATGCGGTGTTGTGCACTCTGCCGTTGGGGGTGCTGAAGCAGCAGCCACCTGCCGTGCAGTTCGTTCCTCCACTGCCCGAGTGGAAAACGTCTGCAATCCAGAGAATGGGCTTCGGAAACCTCAACAAGGTCTGTATGTGTGAACGAGCCCTGCAGCTTGGCCTGCTGGAGCACATGGATCTCCAAAACATTCAGGGTTTAGTCAGAATATAATTATTTTAAAGGTTTCTGACTTAAGACAACTAAAATAGTTGTACACTGTAGAGGATATGTGGCCTGTTTTACCCCAAACCATTTTTACAATAGTGTGTGTGTGTGTGTGTGTGTGTGTGTGTGTGTGTGTGTGTGTGTATGTGTATGTATGTATGTGTGTGTGTGTGTGTATATATACGCATATAATTTTGAGACTTTCTCAAACTTGTAGCATTTTACTCCCCATAATTTTCACCCTGAAAATATCTACTGCTAGCTAACACTGCTAATTGAAAATAGTTAATGCTAGCTTACTCTGCTAACTGAAAGTGGCTAATCCTAGTAAACTTCCTGAAAGTAGCTAACTCTGCTAACTGAAGGTGGCTAACACTAGATAACTCTGAATGCTAGTGAACTCTGTTAACTGAAAATAGCTGGATTTTGCTGTTGTGAATGGACGGCTAGACTTCCTCTCCTCTTCATGTAGAGACTAAAAGACACAGCGCCACCCATTGTAGGAACTGTTATACTAGAAGTACACAGCTGCAACATTTTATCAAAAATATCTCAAACATCCATTTTAGATGATGGAAAATATGTTTGATTATTGTAGTAATAGTCATTATAATTTTGTTGACAAGGCGTAGTGGAACAAATCCGTATCAGATCAGGTGAATTCTCTGGTTTTAGGACTGCTAATTTGTGTCTGGTTCTGTATAAATAATGCAGGTTGTGTTTGTGTGGTGCAGAGAATGCGGTGATATGATGTGTTGTAGTGATATCGGTGCTCATCACAGTGCCATAACAGAATCATCAAATGCATTACAGGGTTTAGTGTCCTTGGAACAAGGTTACCTCCACCTGAAATAGAAACGCCGCCTTTCCCCAGAGCCGAGCTGAGGGAGTGCACGTACGCACTCTCAGTGAACACCCCCCCCATCATCTCTCTCTTTATATTTTTCTCTCTCTCTATCTCTCTCTCGCTCGCTCTCTCTTTCGCTCTATCTCTCAGCTGCAGCAAAATGCTGCAGTATTATGCAACCTGCTGCTGCTGCGTTTCCTCTCTCAGACAACAGGGGGTGCAGTGTGCTGCAGTGCTTCTGCTGCATCACAGCCTGCATTGCATTCCAGTACTGATGCAGTGCAGTCGGCTGTGTTTATCTGGAGTGTAATGTTTAGTGGATTCAGAAAAATACTGCATGTACTCATTTTGAAAATTATTATAAATAACATTAAAGATGGGCACAGTAGTAAACAAAACTTACAACAGTCATGGTCCAGAAAGTCGTCCAGTGCACAGAGAGCAGTATGTAGATAGATGTATGTTTAATGTAGGACAATAACTACTGATTTCTACTTTGGTATTTAGGCCGTAGTGAATGTAAATATCACTGAATGCAGAGTTCATGCTCAGAGCCGTTCGTGTAAATATAGTTCTTGTTACGTGGTCCACTGATTCCGTGTGTCCTCCATTCCTGCAGGTGGTGCTGTGTTTTGACCGTGTGTTCTGGGACCCCAGCGTGAATCTGTTTGGTCATGTGGGGAGCACCACGGCCAGCCGTGGAGAACTGTTCCTCTTCTGGAACCTCTACAAAGGTCAGTGTTCTCCTTTAGTCTAGAATTATCATTTTGTTGTACATTCAGTTTATATAGTTATATCAATGTAGTTACGTTATCATGTTATTATTAACACAGATATTTATGTAAAAAATTACATTTATATTCAATTTCCATTCTGTATGGATGAGTTCGACTCTGAGGTTTTAACTTTTTTTTCCCCACACAGTTGCTTCACTCGTTTCTATGAACTACAAAATAATTTAATAAGTAGAGACGTTTTAAGGCATATTGACTTAATGAGACCATAATGGTCAGTAATCAATTACAGTCTGTGATCAATCAGTGTAGATCGATGAAGTGAAGCAGTAAGTGTGTAAGCCTGTTCCTGGGTTGGGAGGGTATGTGAGATGCTGATTTGTGTCGTTTTCCATCTCTGTTCAGCCCCCATCCTGTTGGCCCTGATGGCCGGAGAAGCTGCTGGCATTATGGAGAACATCAGTGATGATGTCATTGTGGGCCGTTGCCTAGCGATCCTGAAGGGCATTTTTGGTAGCAGTGCAGTCCCTCAGGTGAGCTCATACCTGTCCATCCAGGGTGCAACCTGCTCATCAGAAATTGGTTTTAATACAAATGATCCTTTTTTCTTTCTTTTTGAAAAATCTGTATTGTTAAAAACTGAATTTTTCTCACTTTTATGAAGTACGTGCAGTCCTCATTTCCTGACGTCACGAAAACAAACACACTTAGTCTCACCCATTCATCCTATGGCAATTTAGCTCCTCCCATTAATCCTACAGCAGTTTGTCCTACAGCAGTTTAGCCCCACCCATGCGGCCTACAGCAGCTTAGCTCCGCCCATTCGGCCTACAGCAGTTTAGCTCCATTAAAGATTTACTTTACATATATTCAAATGTATTTTACATTGTTTTAATTGCTGTCGTGTTTTGTGTTCTCACTGTACAGCTGCCAAATAATCATATAGTGTTTATTTGTTTGAGTTATATTGTGAGTTGCGTTAGTGCTTATATCCGACCCTCAGTAGACAGAGAGGAAACGTCCACCGAGACACACACACACACACACACACACACACAGTGGCCTTGGCTATGCTCCAACACTAACGTCAGTCTGATTGATGGTGTGTGTTGCCACGGCAGCCAAAGGAGACGGTGGTGACACGCTGGCGTGCAGACCCTTGGGCCCGCGGGTCATATTCATACGTGGCAGCCGGCTCCTCTGGAAACGACTACGACCTCATGGCCCAGCCAATCACACCTGGACCTGCTATACCTGGAGCTTCACAGGTGAGATGCGTATTTTTTTACCACTTTATTTGGATTAACATATTGACAATGAAACGGTTTAATATTTTATAGAAGTTAAACACAGAAACGTTTGTGATAAGTTTATGAGAAGTTTTTGGCCTACAGTGTATTTCTTGTTTAAACTATTATCTTCTGGTTACTTCAGTGAAATACATGCAGAACAATGTAATGAATTACACTAGATGAAGAAAATTGTTTTTTTTTGTTTTTTTTTATAGATTTATGAAAGTGAATTATGCTTGAAATCGATGTAATCTGGGGTTAGCTAGTTGCATGGATGGATGTAGCTGTCATTTTTGTTGTGATGCTGTTTCTCCGAGGCATTGAGTTACGTTGGCTAGCTAAGTACGAACAGCGACCGCACATGCTTCAGTCGTGTAGGCTACATTACATATAACACTTTAGCATACTAATAGCCAAGCGAGCTCATACAAATCACTAGCACAAAATAGCTAGCTTGCAACAAAATAGTTGGCTAGCACAAAAATAGCTAGATAACAGCTGTCACAGAAATAGCTAACTAAAACATAAATAGCTATTTAGCACAACAGTAGCTTACTAACACACAAGTATCACAGAAAATAGCTCGCTAATACAAAAAGCTAGCACAAAAAAAGCTGTCTAACACAAAACTAGCTAGAACAAAGGTGGCTAGCAACAGAAAGATTCCTTTTGGATCTGATGTAGAACATTCTCCATGTTTTCAGTCTAATTTTATGTTTGTATTGATTTGTTAATATTTTGCAGCCGGTTCCTCGTCTCTTCTTTGCCGGAGAACACACAATCCGGAACTACCCGGCGACGGTGCACGGCGCCCTGCTGAGCGGACTGAGAGAGGCTGGCCGAATCGCTGACCAGTTCCTGGGAGCCATGTACACACTGCCCAGACAAAACACAAACACAGCCAACACGCAGCCGTCGCCCAGCGTTTAAACGAACACATACAACTGCACAGATACGCCCACTGATCACCTCCAGAATGCAGACTCCGTCAGCACTGAACCTGAACTACAGCTCTGACATACTGTACATACAGACATACACACACACACAGTCCTCAGCTAACATGCCAATACAGATACATACACACACAGTACTATGTAAAAGTCTGAGGTGCCAGTCCGTTGTTTAAACATTCATCAGGGCAGTAAATTTGTTTTGAATTTCTTGTTTTAAAAAATAAGTTATTTTGTGAGCTGGTTAGAACTTGATTTAATCTAAAGGTGTTGATTAGATAAATTAGGTATTGGAACTACAGTGAATTCTGGGCTTCCTCCAGGAGAGGGCAGTAAATGGTTAAACACATTATTTGTATTTAATCTAATATTAATGTTTTGCTGGGCAAATCAACAGTTACTGCCCAACAGCTCGCAGGTGCCTAAAACATTTGCACTGTCCTGTGTAATGTTTCTGTCATTACCCAAAATTTCCCAAAACCTTACAGTAGAAGAAAAAAAAAAAAGTTTTGGAGAATTTCTGTTGCTCCATTCATCATGAAATTTATTTCTGTATATACTCGTGTGTGTGCATGTTCAGTCATTACCGATCTCCAAGTAGAAGCTGGCGTTTAAGGGAAGCTCTGGCTTCCCCACGCAACTTCCTTCTGCGTATTTCCTGGAAAATTTCCTAGGTAATTAAATTTCCAGGAAGGTTCCCAATGACCTTTATACAGGTTAGAGGTCACTTCTCTCCTTCGATGGCTGTATATTAGTGAGGATTAGAAACGTTGAAGCAGAACTACAGCAGAACTTCATGAGGAACATGCATACTACACACTTAAACTCACAGAATAGATGTCGTTGCGTACTCGCCATCATGCTAATAATAGGAACTCTTGAGTCTGAACTAGAAAATAAACTGAGGTTTTGACAGCTGCTGCTGTCGCACCGTTTAGTAAACATGTTCTAGACCTGATACGTTTTGCCACATGTATCTCTCTAGATCCTCTGAATTATGAGATCATTATGGAGCCAAAATATGATTACTGCTACATGTGAGCTAACGCTGCTGCGCACTGAACTGACATCATAAGACTGACCTCACCAAAATGCCCCACAGACTCTGTCTGGTGTTTAGGCTGCAGTTTGAGGAGCTGCTGTCAGTATATAACAGTGTTGAAGTTCAGTTGATGTCATTTTGGCGTACGCTTGGATGCAGCAGTGATTTGTATGAAAAAACGTATCAGCTGTGGAACGTCGTTTATCGCAGGGTGAGAGTTTTTCCCCATAGAGATAAACAGCTTTGACGTAGAACTCCTAAAACGGACTAGTCTTGCGAGGCTGGCTGTGACCACATAACAAGAATACACATCGGGGGACAGCTCGTTAAAGTTTTAGTGCTGGATTGTGCCGCTAACAAGGACACACACCCTCTAAACTCCACCTCTAAATTCCTCTAGCTCGGCTCTTTTAACATCTAGGATAAGATCAGTAATGCAAGCTAAACAAGCTAGCTAGCAAAATGCTATCGTTACCTTACAGGACTGTTTTTCTTGTTATATCTAATATTATTAATGTGTTCTCTGCACACACGACTGTTTAATTGGAGTGTCTGGAGGATCACGAGGTTGTAGAGTGTCTCGTTTCCCATTTCGCCGACTGGTGTGCTAACTAGCGCCCTCTATGCACCCTTACTACGGCCTTCGGTGAGGACTGCAGCGCACAGATTTAGCAGTGGCCTGTTACCCAGTTAGCTGTAAGATACAGATGAGAGCCAGTCAGAGTGGAGAGTTTTGTTTACAGCTGTCTGACCAACATAGTGGAAAAGGAACATGTTCAGATGCGAGTAAAATGTGAGTAAATGTTGCTTGTAATCTGAACTGAGCCTCTATAGAGAAACAACTTAAAAACACCACTATGACCGACAAGTTTCTTTAGCTGTATTTTGGGACTAGGCTAATGTTGTCAAGCTCACTGTCGCCTCCTAGAGTAAGCTCCACTTTCAGGAGGCTTTGGATTGGATTTGAAATTTCACTCTCAGTTGGTTTCCACCTTAAATACCACATTTAAGCCCACATTTAGCCCAAAATTACTCGTGGTTGTCCCCAGAAGTTCTTGTTATGAGACCACGTCTCGCTCCACGAGATTGAATATGGTCAAGCTGCATATAGAATAGTATACAGTGGTTGTGCATGTGCAGTCTGTATGGCCTGTTTACACTGAGGACAGAGGTAGCGGTCAGTTGGGTCCGTGTCCAGCAGAAATGACCATTAAATCCTATTAAAGTGCTGTGAATGCCTGCAGACATCCTGCTTGCTTGAATGAGTTTCGTCTGAAACGCTAACAGAACTTCAGAGAGTTTCAGCCCTGATTAAAGGGACAGTTTGATCTCTGCTGAATCTGCATCGTATGAAAAATAACGTCAACACGTTTCCGTCAGCTTAGAAAACCTGTTTACTTCGTACATGCGTGTACCAGCAGTCAGTGGGCAGATGCTGACTGATAAACGCTGGAGTTTTCCTTTGAGTGTAATTTAGTTTGACGCTGAGGACGAAAAAGTACGGAAACACATTCTGCCACTGGAAAAAAGAAAAAGCAGTATGTTGTAAAAATGAGAGTTTTCCATAATTATAACTTGGTGTCTCATAATTATGAGGTTTTATCTTGTAATTAAGACTTAGTATATCTTATTTAGGACTTGGTGTCTCAGATATCCTGTCTCCTAATTATGACTTAAAACATGACTTATTATGACTTAAAATCTCATTATTATGACTTAATATCTCATTTATGACTAGAGATCCTAGTATCTCTTAATCTTGAGAATTCTGAGATAATGAGATAGTAGGCCATAATTGAGATACTAAGCCACAGCTATAATATAGTAAGTCAGTTATGACATAATATCTCATTGTTATGGGTTAGTAAGTCATAAGTATGGGAAACATTCTCATTATTATTAGATCTACGTATGTCTTTTTATTTTTAAGTGGTGGAAAAGGGCCTCCATAATAAAGTGTTTGTGTGGAAGCTGATTTCGGCTGATCTCCGTAATTTTTCTTTTATGTTGCTGTTTAGATCAGTTTAGTTGAGAATGGAGAAACAACAGTAGCTTGTTAAAGTTTTTTTCTTGTTGAAAGATGAAAAAGTTGTTTTGCTTTAAGCTGAAGGTTTTTTTTTCCTGTATCTTTATTTTATGTCTGTCATTTTTTATATTTTGTTAGAATTTGGTATTAAATGGAGAAAATAAACACGGCTGGGTCGTTTCTTTTATGTGTGTTTTGTGCTAAAGTATTACAAGGTCAGAGGTCAGCACAGTGGGTGACTCATTTCCTCCTCTTTCTCTTTTTTATTTGTTCTCTACTTTCCCTGTTTCCTTTCTCTCTTTTCTGTCTCTGTTCTCATTCACTCATTTCCTTCTCTCTCTTTCTCCCAGAGAAGGCTGTATAACATCATGAATGTTCTATAATGAAATGAATTTTAAAAAAGGTTAAGATAAATATCTAAAATGTATCATTTTTTAAAAGTGGTGGTCAAATCTCCAGGTCTAACTTCATAAAAAATGACTAAATAGATAACCACAGCATATTATTTTTAATAACTTCATTTGGTTGCCAAAATACAACCCCAACGTTGGGACGCTGTGCAAAATGTAAATGTAAACAAAATGCATGATCTGCAAATTATTTAAACTCTATATTTAATTGAAACTGAGAAATTTTATTGTTTTTTGGAAAATATATTCCCATTTTGAATTTAGTGGCAGCAACACATTCCAAAAAAGTTGGGACGGGGGCATGTTCACCACTGTGTTTCATCACCTCTTCTTTTAACAACACTGTAAGCATTTGGGAACTGAGGAGTCCAGCTACTGTAGTTTTGAAAGTGAAATGTTCTTACTTCATGTAGGATTTCAGCTACTCATCAGTTCGGCATCTCGTCATATTTCTTGTTTCATAAAGTGACATATGTTCTCAGTGGGTGATGGGTCTGGACTGCAGGCAGGCCAGTTTAGCACCCTAACTTTTTTACTATAGAGCCATACTGTTGTGCAGAATGTGGTTAGGCATCCTCTTGCTGAAATAATCAAGGCCTTTCCTGAAAAAACATCATCTAAATGGCAACATATGTGGCCAAAACCTCTATATATCATTCAGCATTAACAGCCTTCACAGATGTGCATGTCACCCATGTCATGTGCACTAATGCACCCCTATACCATCATGAATACTGGCTTTTGAACTGTACACTGATAACAAGCTGAATGGTCTTTAGCCCGGAGGACACAGTGTCTGTGATTTCCAAAAAGAATTTCAAATGCTGATTTGTCGGACCACAGGACACTTTTCCACTTCGCCTCAGTCCATCTTAAATGAGCTCGGGCCCAGAGAAGGTGGCAGCATTTCTGTTCATATATGGTTTCTTCTTTGCATTTTAGAGTTTTAACTTGCATTTGTGGATGCAGCGATGAACTGTTTTCACAGACAGTGGTTTACAGAAGTGTTTCTGAGCCCATGCAGTGATTTCCACTACAGAATCATGTCTGTTTTAATGCAGTGCTGCCCGAGGGCCCAAAGATCTTGTCTAGCCAATACTGTTTTTTTGCTTTGTTCTTTGCATACAGAGAATCTTTTAATGTTATTATGTATCATAGATGATGAAAAGCAAAAATTCTTTGCTATTTTATGTTAAAAAACGTTATTATTGAATTGTTGCACTATTTTTCACAGAGTGGTGAACCCCTCCTCATCGTTACTTCTGAAAGACTCAGCCTCTCTGGGAAGGTCTTTAGCTACCCAGTGATGTTACTGACCTGTTGCTAATTAACTTCAGGTGTTGACGCTGGCCTGTACAGCAGTGCAGCTAATTCTTTGTAGCTAAGAGATGATGTTACCTTGTGGACAAAGTTTAGCTGACATGGAGCCAAAAAAGACTTGATTAACTTCATTATTTGCTCTTTACATTCTGAATATCGACTACTATGAATCAATTTTTAGTTTCAGAATTACTTTTTGTCTAAATCACAGCGCAGCAGAACTGCACACATACTCCACTAAGCAAGTCAGTTGGCGAGCTGACACTAGAGCTAACAGTTTAACGCTAGCTGAGGGTCAGTAGTCATCTTTTTAATTATCTTCTGCTCAGTGGATGATGTGGAAACACTGGGATGCTTTAGCACTCAGCACTTGTGTTTCGTAGTAACGTTAACAAATATACATTAGTAAGACGAGGTTCGGTCTGCAGTTGTCGCTTTATTAGGTACACTTTTTTGTCTTGAATACTCTTCTTCTACATTCGATCCTACTTCTCTAGAATCTCACTTCTGCTGTCCATGCTGGAAAAACCAGCGTTTGTTTTGTAGGCTGGTGTGCTGGTCAGCAGCAGTGGAAGCTGATATGATGATCACCACCAAAACCAGTATGCGTTGTGTTTTGTATGCTCATATAGTGGTCAACCAGCATGAGCATATGTCTGCAGTACAGATAAAAGAGTAAATGTACAGATAAAAAAGTAACCTTATTGGGAGATGGACGAGGGATGGTAGCTAGCTGACTAGCATGTGGTTGCTATCCATTACATATAAAGAGTTTTTGCAAGCACTTGTCAACCCCGCCAGATTAAATGTCACAGCGGAATGTTTTCCATCTTAACTGTCTTGTATTCTGGAGCCATTTTGTTTTTCCTCAGTTGTTAGCTGCCTCTGTAACCTGAACTAAAACACCAATGTTTATTGCACAGTTCTTAACTAAGACTACTGTAACAGGAAGACAGCGTTGACACATTAAAGATGTGACTGCAGTGATAGCAACATTGTTTATAATATCTTAAAATTAAAAACCAAACAGACCAAAGACACATTCAATCTCAGTGTTGTGCACCGTTTTGCTACAGTTTCCAGGTTGAATAACGGTTCATTGAAACCGTGAAACCATGTGAAAAGGGGTGCAGCTTTGAGGTACATCTCTCATTTGATGGGTGTCAGAGGTGTCAGCCAATCAATCAGCTGCAGCGTGTATATAAATCCCGCTGTATTGAAAAAGCAGCTATTTAAAACACTTGTTAGAGTTTGCCATTGTGACATATTGCTGAGGAAGTACAGAGCCTGTATTTTAACAAATTTTGATGAAATTATATTTATTAGTGTTCTAAATATTTTTATTATCTAACTCAGTCTGACTGACCTGCGGACGATTATCAATAAAGCTGATTCATTCAGAATAACATGAGTACCGAGTACTGAGCAGAAATGCTGAGAAGCTACAGCAGCTCAGCTGACTACAACACGGTCTCTCTATAGCCTGTTTAACAAGGACAGTTAAAAAAAAATAATGAATGTTTATACCTCACAGTTCCACTCCAGTTTTTTATTCCAGTCAAATAGAATAAATTCGGCATATACAAACTTGGGTAGGAAAAGTCAACATTCCGGCCCCTTTGCTAGCCTGTGTGTCTCCACCTGTGTTGGGGAAGCAGATTTAATGGACGGGCTAAAATCACACAGTGAATTCTTAGCGGGAATTTGTGACCTCCAACGAGTCAGTAACACTTCTCTGTGTGAACAGACCGTCTGTCACGGCCAGATTGGGATGTTTGTTCAGGAACGCAGCAGTGCATACTCTGCTTACATCACGGTATCGGCTGGTATCGGACGTCAGTATCAGTTAATTTTTATGTATGAATAAATGAGTCCTATATCAGCCCAATACCAGTATCAGTATCAGTGCATCTTTCCTGAATGTTACTTTTTATGCATTGCAATGGAATACAGTACTGAACACATTTACAGTGTACTCAGTATTCAGTCTTCACTACTTTAGTTTCTGCCAAAATCTGGTGATGTATGCAGGGCTAGAGTACGTCAGTGTCCAGAGTCTCCCTCAACTCTTCATCTTCTCCTGTTGGAAAGGCTTTAGCCCTTCATCTTTCTAACCCACATTAGACACGCTATGCTTTCCCTCACAAGCAGGTCAGACTGGACTGATTAAGCTGAATGTGGTGAGCTTTATTTACATGGTTGAATAAACCGAGCTGAAATCAGGTTAAGCGGTGGTGCCCGGTGGATCCAGCAGCTAACAGGTACGAGAGAGCTACTTATACACCAGCCCACACCTACCTGTCCCCCTACAGCCAGTTAGATAGAGCAAGTGGTGACAGGAACCAGGGATCGCCGTGACTACAACACAAATATAAACATTTTATTTACTATCCAAACCCACCAGTGAACCTACATGTGTCTTCTGAGTTTTATATGGAATGTTGATGGGAAAATAGTGGAATAAATCTGAAATAATGTGTTTTCTTTGGGGACTATTTTGCCTCACAACACCCTGCATATTATCCCTCCACCAGGAATGAAGTTTAAGTGTTCAAACTATCATAAAACAGTGTCTCAGACATCAGGCAGCAGATGCATAACCACTTCATGCAATAACTTTCTGTGAGGGAGCTTTTAGAGGTGGACGTCTGGTTCCTATCACAACCACTGTGAACAATTCTAACTCGAAAAGTTTCCCTAGAACAGAGCATTTCACACTGAACCACTCTGTTTAACATCTTAACCAGTTAATTATGTGAAAAAGTTTAAAAATCACCTTTTACAGTGGAATTTTAACTGAATAGTTTGCTGCAAAGAAATTTCCCCAACTTAACTTACCTCAGATGTAGTCAAAAAGCCGAGACGTGTTTTGATGTTGCTTTTTCAGTTTTAGCACTGGAGCTAAAAGGCTAATGTAGCTAACAAGTAATGGAAGCTTATATCCCACCAATTAGCATGGTGCGAACAGCATGCTTAAAGTATCATACACTTGATTCAACCTTCAAAATGTCTAAAGTATGGACAAAAATTGCTGCTGTTTTTAGCTATGCTAACATACTTTAAAAATAATAGTCTTTATTTTTCATACTGGATGAAGTGCTTTACAGAAGTGCAATAAAAGATTTCAAAATCATATAAGACAATAACACATCAGATTACAGAGATAAAGACCAAAGAGCCATAGTCTTAATGAAGCGCTGAGTTAAAGAGCTGTGTTTTCAGATATTTATTAAAAGTGAGCTCTGAGCTTGACTGTCTAATAAAAGGAGAACTGAGCTCCACAGTTTAGAAGCAGAACAACAGAAAGAGTCTCTCCACGTTTTCTGTATTTTACGGAAGGTGTTTGCAGAAGGTCAGTATCTGCAGATCTAAGATC